GAATTTATTTGTTTAGATGTTTGTTAGAATGTAAAATGTTTGATAATTTGCCTCAGTGAAAATTGGACCGTGTTTTCTTTAACTTGTTTAATTGTCTAACTGTATATTCCTGGTAAAGCCAAGTGGTGTTTTTATCTGAATATGCTAACTTCTGAATCTTTAGTCATTGTGGGATTATTGATTACCGCTTAAGGGAATATCAAAGTGGTGTTTTACTTTTAAAAATCTGGTAAAATCTTGAACTTGTATTTATTATGGGGAAGGAATGAAGATCCGGAGACAAGCTACTGGTGGCAATGGAATTAGACAAATTAGGTGATACATATACTATGAGGCCAGCTCATTGATATGGGCTCTTGAAACAAGCTGATTAGTCTAAGCAAGCAAGCAAGTAGTGGAGAAAGGGATGATCTGCAGGAATGTTAGGGTGACGGCTTAGGAAAAAGAAGAATGGGTAGGGTTTGATTGGCTCGATTGTTGGGATAGTGAGTGCATTTGAAAGGAAAGGGCTAAGGTCTTTGAGGTCTAATGATCTATGAGCCTCTGACATTTCTAGCTTTGGAAATCAAAGCCCAAAAATCTATAGCAAGTTGATAATATCATTCACAAAAATGCTTCATAAAAAATAACATCTAAATATAAAGTTAAGGGCATATGTATTCTTCCTAGTCAAAAATAGAGATGGTGATACTGAAAAATAGAGAGAAGGTCAAGGGCATAGTTTTATCCTACTAATCTATGAGGCAGCCAAATATATCAATCCTACTTTTAGACTCTTTATAACTGAATCTGAGTCCTAAGTTTTGGATAGTAGGTGAAAGAGACACCTAGAAATGCCCAAGTTAAACACCCAAATGTGAGGCTAGTTTTACATACTTTATCATCTTGTAAGTAGCATATCTAGGAATGAAGATTCTCATTCATGGAATTTTAAATCTTTCCTGAATGACTTGGAGGATACTAGTTTGAGGAATTCATTCTACTTGTATGTCCAAATATTCAGGTCTCTGTTACTATGAAGCTTCTTTGTCCTGATCTTTCTCCTAATTCTTAGCATGGTCTTGAAGCCCTAAACCTCATGATTTTTCTGTTTCTCCAGCACGTTATCTGGCTGATGAGACAACTTGTAGCTAAGTTTGACTAGCTTTGTCTGTTGCAACCGTAGTTTATCGCTGTCTTTGGTTCCTTCTAGTAACTTTGATTCTTTGATATGTTGTAGGAGTCTTCACCTCTTTCACCATTCTATGTTGTCTTGTTGCGTATTATCAGAAACTGCTGTTATCTACTATGTTATTTAATTTATGGCCATAATTGCTGAAAGAACTGTATGGCTAGACTATATTATTATCTATTTATCATTTACATATTAATTAACTTTTCAAAAGAATATGTTATTAGATACAAAAGTTTGCTAGTTGCCAGTTGGGGCTATGTAACTCTGTTGTGAACAATTCTTGGAGTCTGAGAACAGCCATAAATGACAAAGACAAAGTGAATATAAAAATTCCTTCCATTATTAAAATTTATACAGAACTATCAATCATGTTACCAGAAAATGCTAGGTATGGGTCCTAATATCAACAACTGCACTACCTGAACTTAACAATAGGCATCCATCCAACTTTTCTGGTAGTTGAGGATGCAGAAGAGTTGCTGTTATACTTCATCACGTTCTCCCACTTTTTGTTTAGGAGCAGGGAATCTGCAGCTATTGAAGTGCCAAGAGAACCATTCAGGTCCAATCATTTAAATGTACAACTTTCAAAATTGTTCACAAGATGTTCTTTTGTCGTGATGTGTTGGTCGACTGTGAGACAATTCCTAAAGTTCTATTCAAAATTGGCTATGGTGTTGCTCTTAGGGTTATAACATAGAATGAATCATCCATTATTGAAGCTCACTATAATGTTTGGTAGGCTTATAACATAGAATGTATCATCCATTAAGTATTTGTCAATCAAGTCTATGGAATAACTTTAGAAGTGGTGAAGATGCTCTTGCAACCTTAGTATCATATATGTCAGTATTATACTTGAGTTTGGCCTGCAAATGAAGCACTTTGTTATTATTACGTACTGCTATAAAGTATAAACTGCAAAACTTGGAAACTGATTATGTTTTATTATGTTAAACAAAATGTTAGGGTGCTCAAAAGGATGACAGTACTGAAGAGGTATGTGCCGAGGTTGTTCATATCACTCAAGTACGTCACAGCAAATGTTGTAGACAGAAATAAGGGATGGATGGTTGCAACATCATCAACGGTTGATCACGGCATCAAGAACTCGTTAGTGTGGACGGTCTTGCAATGCCAAGACGGCAACCATCGTTGGAGAAGTGTTGGCTACGCGACTCAAGGTGGTGGGTCTTGAGCAAGGACAGGGAAGAGGAATTCATGTTGATGTAAACGAGAAGGTTGAGAAGAAAGGCTTTAAGAACAGGACCAAGGTCTGGGCTGTAGTCAATTCCCTTAGGAACAATGGAGTTAAGTTGTTCTTGAAGATGATGAAGATAATCCATCCCGGCAAAGTTGCCAACAATTCATGTAATTTTACAAAACTCTAACGTTGATTCATAAAAAGAAAAAAAAAATCTTACTGATTGAACTGATTCATGTGGATATAAATCTCAATATTATTACAATTACGTGATTTAAATATCTTTTCCTTTTTATTTTGGAAAAACGAAATGAAATTTCTTACAGAACTAACCTGAGTGAGCATATTATTACTCAACGTAGTCCCAAACAAATCAACCCCTGTCAAAAAGTTTCTTGAATCATCATGGGTTTGTGCCACTTGCTTTCCAAAACTCATCATGAACAGGTAGACTAGAAATCCATGCAAAATAATAATAGTAGTAGTACCAGCTTTGAATTTATCAAAACTTGCATATTCTATAAAGTATCAACTATTAATGTCTTGGCAATTCCACAAGCTTGCTTTATATCTCTGTAGGCCAAATTATCAAAAAAGAAAGAACCTTTAACATTTTTTTAATCACTTTTTTTTTCTTTTTATCCCTTTTTCTCCCTTTCTTATGTCTCAGCAATATCCATATATATATATATGAAAAATGAATCCCATTTTTCTCCCTTTAATCCACCTTTTGATAGTCTACTTCTGCTCACATGGGATTGAGCTCATGCAATCATAACATCCTTATAAAAAGGATTCAAGAGACCCTTTGATCACATGAATTTGGAATCTTATCCTACATAAGTAATTTTTTTTTCTTTTGTCCTCTTGAATTTACAAGGAAGAACATACCCTCAATTTATCCATGAAATCAAATCACACTCTTAATTTCTTTTCTTTACAATGTCAAAGAATATCTTGATCAGAAAGATGGGAAATTAAGAATAGACAAGCGTTTTGTACATAATCCCAATTTCTATCTAAGCGAAGATTTATTAATTATTCAAATGATTGTTACCAAAATTTTTGATAATATTCAAAATTAAGTGTTTAGGTATTGTTTGTGACTTCGTGTGCTACCTTTTCCCACCCTTTGTGGAAGGTTCCCCTTTATTTCACAAAGGCAGACAAAGGGAAATGGGGGATTGGAAACATGGTTGTACAGCTATCTGCTGCACGAAGGGCACATTGAGACATTATCACGATGGGATTCATGTACATGCACACCACCCACATCATGATTTTACAGGTGCACATGAAAAAGAGATAAGGGTTTTTTTTTTTTTTTTTGGGCTTGAAGAAAAGGGTTAAGTCTACATGACACGTAATAATGAGTTTCCTTGAAAAAGGAGTGAAAAGGAATATGTTTGCACAATGAGCTATTTGGAAAATGGAAACAATGACTGAAGGAATTGGAGAATACATCAAGGGCCAAAAAAAAAACCAAAGCTTACAACCAGGTGATGGCAACATCCAACATGAAAAATTGGCTTCTTGCACACTGCTCTGGTGGCTGGTGTGTTCCTTTTACTAAGGTGTAAAACTTCGGCACGGGGACTGGGAAGAGCCCGTGAACATTCCAGGAAATGCCGCATCTGCTCATCCTGTATTTGATAACAAGACAAAAACAAAGCCTTTTTCCCTATTTTCCTATCCAGGACAGCAAAGAAATTGATTAACCAATGCCTCAAGGCTTAGGACACAAAATAAGGACACACAAAATGTTAAGGCGTGTATCGCAGGGTTCAGGGACCAATTTTGTCGAATAATTTGGTAGGTCTATGATTCAAACTCTTTTTCATGTCATTTATGCTGTGGACCCAAAAAGTGACTCCTCCAGCAAAGAGGATAGTCTGCTAATTTCATTTGCCTCGGTCATCGCTAACCAGTTACCAATCTTCTGCTGATACCATAGTGAGCAAGCCTTTGCGCATTCACAAAATCATGCAAAGTGCATTTTCTCTCCTGGTTTCCTACTTTGAGAGCTTTCCTTTACATTCGGTATGCTTGAAAGATTAAAATTTCCCAATCCTGACGTCCCTCATTTGAATAACTGTTATACATGGTTTAAATTGATATATCTTAGCAATTTTCTTCAAAAGAATTACAAATCTGATGATTCCAGATGTATATATTAAGTACCATAAGGCTGCATTTCATGGGAAATGAAAATAATGCTTCACCTAATTTGGCAACTTGTATGTATGTTGATTGCTAGTTTGCTAATACTATGCAATATTTATATCAGATGTATATTTCCCAAGCGTCAGTCAAACTATAGAAACAGGGATATAAATTCTGAAGCTGTTATGACCAAAGAAGACAGCCTCAACAGGCTGCAAACTAGAAAAGGTGAAAAAAAACAACCTTAATTGTTCAACTCATTGAATGGGGTGAAGGGTAGGTGTGAGTGACTAGATTTTTAAAAACAAATAATCTTCCAGGTCAAGCATGCTTTCAAATATATAATTTCTAATCATTTTTGTAAAGGTTTTTCTTTCTCTTTCCCCTTTTCCTTTGGGATTAGATGGAAATGAATGAAACAGTAGTGAATATGACTTGAATGTGTGCCAGTGTCCAAATCTTAGTGGTTATACATCACCCAAGAGTAAGCTGTAAACCCCACCCCCTTGTGTTATTTTCCATTTATTGAGTGGCAGCCTCTATTCTTCCTCTTTAGTGTCTCACCCAAAGTAGAATTGCCAGCTGCAAATTAAAACAAGACAAATCCCACAAACCCCACATCACAAAAAAGTTACAATGCTAGTAGCCAGTAAATCAGATGAGAGAACAAAACATTGGTTACATAGCAAAATAACACTAATCACATTAAAAATGCCGACAGTCAAACATTTTTAACAACAAATAACAAGATAAAAACCCTAGAATCCAACATATATAAAACCCAAACAGGCTGTGAAGCTCCAATTTTAACCCAAAATTTTCCTTCCCAAGTAAACTCTCTTCTCTATTTCTTATATACACTTTTCCATTTTACCTTAACCTAAAGAGCTATAGCATAAACCCCATTTCTCATTTCTCCTCACAAAATGGCACAAGCATTAGGATTCTCATCATTGAACATCTGGTGAGGTGGATGAACAGACACCGGGTAACCTGGCACGTAGCCAGGGTAACCATATCCATGTTCGTGCCCTTGTGGGTGCATGTGCCTGTAACCATAGCCGTAGCCCGGGTGCCCATATCCAGGATAAACCGGCATGTATCCAGGGTAACCAGGCATGAATCCAAAATCGGGTTGAACCATAAACTCCATCCTGTTCCCGTCCGTCTTACCACCACCGCCACCAGCTGCAGCATTAGCCTCATTTCCACCATCTCCACCACCACCACCACCACCACCACCATTGCCACCTTTGTTCTTCTTCTTCCCACCGCCGCCACCACCGCCACCACCACCACCATTCTCGCAGCCCTCATTTTTGCCGTCTTTCTCTTTCTTAGGTGGCACAATCTCAACATTCTTCTTCAGTTTGCCCTTCAAAGCCTCAGCCAGGGCTTTAACATCCATAGTCCCCTTAACAGTGACCAGCTCCTTCTGCTTATCTACTTTCAACTCATGCACTCCTGTCAAAATTTTAAAGTCAGAAACTAAAACAAGATTTCAACGCCCTTATAGTAACGGAACGGTGAAAACCTATGCTAGCAAAAGGCAACGATAAAGTCATCACCTTTGGTCTCAGCGACAATTTTGCGAATCTTACCAACGCATCCCTGGCACTGGCATTTCAATTGCACCTTCAAATCCGCCGTCGTTACCTGGGCCTAAACAAAGATAATAAATAATCATCTTAAATGTAAACAACAAGAAAGTTTGTAATAAATTTTTGACAGAGATGTTGATTTGAAAGCACTTCAAAACCAACATGCAAACACAGTTATTTGACTGTCGAAATGAAATTAAATTTTGAGAAAGAGAAATGTAAATTTTACCTCTTTGGGTTTTTTCTCTTGTTTATTATCAGAATCTGGGTTTTTGTCTTTGTCAGGTTTTTTCTCCTTTTTCTCTTCTTTGTTATCATCTTTCTTTGGTTGAGGAGAAATGACGTCAACTTTCTTCTTGGTTTTCTTCAGGAGTTTATCTTTAATGGCCGTTGGATCCATTGCTCCATTTACTGTCACTTTGTTTGAGCCGCTCTCTGTTTTCACTGTCTCCACCCCTGCACAGAGGAAAACATAGTAAACAACAAAAGATGAAACAAAATGGAAATCTTAAACGTAAAAAATAAATTATACCTTCAAAATCACGAATGTATTTGAGAATTTTGGTGGCACAACCTTCACAAAGACAATCAACTTTGAGAACAATAGTTAAGGAACCCTTTTCATTCTTTTCTCCATCCCCTCCTTTCTTGTTTGCACTCTTTTTCTGTAACATAGACAACAAACCATATATATTATCAACCCAAAAGAAAAGAAAAGAAAATGAAACGGCAAAAAGAGAAAGAGAAATGGGGGAGAGAATATTTGCTAACTGACCTCTCCCATTGTTGTGAGTCAAAATCCGTTATGTTAATTGGTTTTTGAGATGAGTGGAAATAGGAGGAAATGAAGGAGCAGGGGAGTTGGAGTATTTATAGAGGGGAAGATGGCGTGGCAGAGTTAAATGCTGATGGTGGTTTAAAGGCGTTAAACGAGGAGTGTGGGCCGTGTGGCGAAGGGGCAAAAGTGGTGGGTTAAAAATGACTACGGCTGGAGTAATGTTTGGGGGGGGGGGGGGGTGGGGAAGGAGAGAAGGAAGATTGGAGGTTCTTGGCTGTTTCTTTGTTCCTGTCCCTTATGCTGCGGTTGGGCTCTCAATAGTTATTGCTCCACCACCAGTACCTACCTCAAAAGTACGAGGCTCTTTAGGACACTGTATCCTTCATCATTTTGATTTTTTCTTTCTTTTGTTTTAAAAAAATTCAAGGGAGTCTTTCTGGGTAGATTGCAGGCCTCATGAAGGATTTGTATTAAAGATCGTCCATCAAAAAATTTTCTTAACAACAGAAATCGAATCTAAATTTTAGAAGTAAAATATTCAATTTTTGCCAATTCAACCAATTTCTATTGGCATCATTTTGTTTTTTTCTAGCTCCTTAATTTTCATTGATGTGTTAAGATTCATGATTTGAAGAATGATTTGTAGTATTTTTAGTGATGTTCTTAAAGAGCATGACCCACGACCATCAGGCATTGAATTTTAGGCACCCAACTCTCAACCTCTAGAATGATATCTGGACTCATGATTACTGACCCAAATAATCGAAATCTCTGTTGATAGTAACATCTCTTGGCCCAACAGGAAACCTAATCTAGGCCTGGAAAGCTATTTGAGCGATTTGTTTAAAAAATTGATGGGCTTGAGATTTGGGTGTACGCAAGGGCCTATCTTGGGCCAGATCTTTGGGTCTTTCATTGTCGTCATGTGCAATAAGTAGAGGATGAAGAAGTGAGGATAGAATCAGAACCCTTCGACTTCGAGATATGAGCATCAATTCACCCCTAAAAATAGAGGAGCTGCCAATGAAATCCATCAAGTCATGGCAGTTGTAATGATGTTGAGTTGAATTAGCCAGTTAGGAGAAGAGGGTTAATGAAGAAGAGAAACGCCAAATGGATGTATGGCAGGCAAAAGTGGAAGCAGGAAAACCTGATTTATTCTGGAACAAACTAAAATTCTGTCACTCTAATCTAATGACAAAAATGATTTTTTCAGTCTTCTTGAGTTCAATCCATAAGCTCTGGTAAAACACGTTGAAGTTCTTGTATTAAGCTGAAGGTAGTGATCAGTACTCTTTGAATTCCCATGCTGATATTTATGCTTAATTTCATCATATTGCATTTGGGTTAACTTAGATTGATTCAAAAGTCTTAATATATTACAGTAGTACTATTTATTTTTCTGTCAAATGATTTACTTATTTGGTCTTTGATTCCCTCCTAGGTCTAGAATATCTAACTATTAGATTAATTATTGGATTAGTAAATTTTTTATGATTATCTTTTTCAATCATTTCTACCAGACAGTCTATGGTTAAAAATGATTAGACGGACACAGAATTAAAAATCATGCATAACAAAGTCTAATTCAAAATTTTCGGCCGCCAACCGAAAAATATCAAGTATAGTAGCCTCATATCATGGATTGATCTAATATCTTAGGAAGAATTAGTAAACAAGAAAAAGGTTGTTGTCAATGGGCGGCTGCAAAGTTGAACATACAAAAAAGTATTATCCTTTTCAAAAGGAACGTTTTCAAAGCGATGTAAACTGAATTAAGCAAATTGCGAGAGAACTAATACCCATTTGTGGACCAGAAAAATATGGCTAGCCAAGCTACCTTTGTCATTGTCATGTTTTATTTTATAGAGTTAAAACTTGAACGGAGCTCCATGTGCTATATGTGACTTGGATTTTAACGCATCTATCGTATCCAATCTTCCAAATACCAGAAACCAGGTTGGTTTCCAGGATTCAGCCAAGGCCCAAAAAATTTATGGTCCATAGAAAATTCCTGGAGGGTGAATCCCTGACAGCATCCGAACCTGTCGATGTTGTTGTCTATTTCCAGGACTTAAAGCGTTTCCAGATTCTAATAAACAGTGTTGATTGCTGATAATCGATAACAAGTCTGCACGTGCAGGGCCTCGAAAACTACAGGGGGTTTAATTATTTGATGATCCAGGCCCCAAATGCGGTAAATGTTCTATGACACATCTATTAGAACCAAAATCGAAATCTGAAATCTGTTTATGGTAAATTAAAAATAAATAAAAAAAAATTTGAAGGCGTATAACAGTGAGATTTTTTAAAGATTTTATTCGTTCACATTTTATTATTTATTTAATATGAATATAAAAGAGTTATAAATAATAAATTTTTAAAATATAATAAAATTTAGTGATTGATTATATTTTGTATGAAGAAAACAAGTCACCAAATATTTATAAACAAATTATAAGATATCGAATTTTTATAAAAAATTTTTACATTAAAATTTTACTGATAAAACTTTAAAAATTATTTAAAAAAACAGAAAGTTTTGCAAATTATTTATGTTCTACGTTTTTCAAAAACATAGAAGAACTATTTATAATTAATTAAATGTCTTAAAATTTTACAAAAATAACTATTTGTTTTAAATAAATAGACTGTGTTTTTCATTAAATAAAAACTCTGTTTGAATAAACAAAAACGTTTATTTTTTAACAGATTTAACTGTCTTTTTTTTTTAATTTTAGAATTAAATTTCTTTAAATAAAATAATGTTTTATTTTCTACAAATATCAAGTGTTATTAATTAAATATTAAATATATGTTAATATATTAACTAAATACAAGATTAACCAATCTTAAAAATCTAAACCCATGTTTCATTTTACACTTTAACCATTAAATCTAACTAAAATAAACTTTTATTTCTCTTAATTTGAATGACGCTTTTTTTTTTTTTCAATTAGAATTACTTTCCTCACTTTTATTTTAAAAATCTCCAATAATATCAGCTTTATTCGACAATTTTCTCCATTATCATCAGTTGAACCTTGTTTGATTCATACTTCCCGCCCAGGGAGGTGTCAACTTTATTCAACAATTTTTTCCATTATCATCATTTTTCAACCTTGCCTGATTCATATGTTAGGAATCATCACAGACTCAATCCAATCATATTAACAGAAGTAAAATCAAATAATTAATCAAATACATAAAAATAATAATTTAATATAATTCGATCCAATTAATTTACGTCCACGAATGAAAAATAATATTTATTAGTTATAAAAAATTATAAATATATATCAAAATATATCAACAATTCAACAATCAATACCCATAAACCTTCTTAATTTCTTTTAGTCTTATAGAGTATTCTCAACATAAACAAACACATCTCATGTATACTTTTTCAACACAAACAGGCATATATCCATATGCACTCATACATCATACCTATATAAATCATCTCAGTTTTCTCTATCTAATCTCATACATACACACTTATAAGACGTAAATCTTTAATAATCTTATAGGATGTTTATCTCATTAAATCTTATAATTTTCTTATATCTTTTTTTCATATCTAATTCTAAAGAGACTTTACTTATTTATAAGCATATAAATTTGTTTATTAAAAATTTTTTTTCTTTTAAAATTTTTCATCTATAAGTTAAACTTGTCTATTAAAAAAAATAACTTTACGTTTTTTAATTTTCTTTTACTAATTTTTTTATCATCAAATAATATCTAACAAATTTTAAACAAATTTCTTATAAAATTTGAACCATTATTCTTAATATCATACTTGGCCTTAAGCCTGGTTGGACAGTGGGGCAGCACAAAAACTTTGAATGATAAAGTAAAGAGAGAATAAATATAAGGAAAGGGACAACATTGCTTTTTCTCTTTATTTCATCTCAACAAAACAAACCACAACTTACAAAGAGTGAGAGTATTTTGTGCTGCATTGTACCATATAGTAAGAGTAATTAAGCCAAAACTTCACTTTGCTTTTTCATCCATTTAATAATTACAATGCATTTTTCACTATAAAGCTATGCCTATAAGTATAGATAATAGGAATGATAATGGTTCAATTCGATTTGATTTTTTTAAATATTATATAATATTATAAAATTTTAAAATTTGATTCGAATTTTAATTAAAATTTCATTGGATCCAAATCGAATTGTATTTTATCGATTTGATTCAATTTATTAGTTTTTAATTTTTAATTTTTTTAATTTGTATGTATCATTTTAATATAAAATTTTAATATATTTAAGTAGATTTTGATATAAAATTATTACTTTTATTTTATAAAAATTAAAAAGTACATAAATTAAGAAAAATATATCATTCGGTTTGGTTTGATTTTTTTTTTAAGCTCTTAATTCAAACTTAATATATACATTTAATATTCAAACTTGATTTGAATCAAATAAAAAAAATTGATCCAAACTAAACTAAACACTATGATTTTGAATCTATTTTTTGATTTTTTGATTTTTTTTCATTCCTAATAAACAATGCTATGATAAAAAATAAAAAAGTACCCACATAAAAAGAAAACATAAAAAGCACTACAAATAAACTAACAAAATTTTTTAGTCTAATAATTAAGGAGCTTTTAGGAAAATATAGAAATCTTATGCCCATATAAAAATAAAAAAAAAAAACTCCCAAGAAAATAAGTAAAAAGAAATAGGTTTTTATATAATGCAAGTAAAGATATTTTACATTTGTTTGAATTTAGATCTTGTTAATTTTGCCGTCCCTTGCTATGCTATGCTATGCTCATATATAACAAAATCATGAAAATAAGTCAAAAAATATTTTTTTATATTACAATTAAAGATATTTTATATTTATTTGGGTTTAGGTCTCGTTTAGCATTGTTGTCACATGTTATGCTCGCGCGCGCGTGTGTGTGAGTAAATAGTCAGTCCGATCGGTTTAGTTTGAAAAAATCAATAATCAACTTAATTGATTTTTATTTAATAAATAATCAAATCGATCGAATATTATTAAATAATTGATCATAATTGAACCGATTAAGATCGATTCGATTCGGTTAAATAATCGATTTTTTTATCATTTTTTTTCTTATTATGAATAATTATTTAATCACAAATTCAATTCAATAAAATTCAAATTCTAGTATAATTTAAACTAAATTACTAAAGAATTTAATAATTTCAACAATATTTTACAAAAAAAAAATAAAAATATTTATCTCAATTTTTTTTATTTTTAATTATTAAAAAATTAATTAATTCGATCAGTGCGGTTATCAATTTTAAAAATAAAAAATCGATCAAATTAATCAATTTAACCGATTTAAAAAATCGATTATAACTAAAACCAAATAAACCGAACTATTCAATCAAATTCACTCGATTTCGATCGATCTAGTCGGTTCAAATCAATTTTTGCTCACCCCTATATATATATTTATATATATATATATATAAACCATGAAAATAAGTCAAAAAAAGTTTTTTTTTTCTTCATTTTTTGTAGTGCTAAACAATAATAATAATAAAAAATAGCTTTTCAGTTTAAAAGCATGATTTTTTAATCCAAACAAAAAATTTATCAAGATATGCTTTTGCGGTGAAAAGTGCATTTAGAATAAAAATTTATTTTATTGTTTTATAATATCTTTTTTGATATTTCAATTATTTATAATATATTTTTGGCAACAACATCAAGTACTTGAAATTTTTAATCATATTTTTTATCACACTTTTTAAACATACTTTTTTTTATTGAAAATATTTTTCAATTACAATAGTAATGTTAACTAGCTCTTAATCTTCTTCATGAACAATTTAAAAAATGTGCTCTATCAATTGAATACATTTAGATTTCATCATAGTGTTTTCTACAAAAATCAATTCTTACAAGCTCTTTTTTTAATTAAGCCCTTGTGATATAATAAATAAATTATAAAAATGTCGTGAAGAATATTATAAAGAAAACAACACAAATATAAAAAGCGGAACATAGAAAATATAAGTCGGTGCTATGTGCAATAAAATATTACACTGAAATGATGCGCTTACATATTTAATTTTATTTAAAAACTTAGTTAGAAAGTAATAAAATTTATATAAATTATAATAAAATATTAAAATTTTATATTTTTCATATATGTATAAAATAAGTTATTATTTTTAAAAGGATTGATTAAGTTACATTAAAAAAGTTTAATATTTTTTATTTTTTTAATTATTAATTTTAATAAATTCAAAGATAAAATTAAATTATTTTTTTATTTAGCTTTGGCTTGGCTTGGCTTGGCTTGGGACAGGAGGGTGTCGCTATCAGATAGAGAGAGAGAGAGGGAGAGAAGGGTCCTACTGGCAGGCTAGCTTCCATTGCCATTAGTGACTTTGCAAGTGAAACAGAGAACATTTGTGGAAGATCCACTCTCAAAAATGCCTTTATTTTTTCCCTTCTTTTATCCCATGACAAAACTCAAAGCCACGAGGCAACCAGCTCCCATTCCAGTGAACTGGCAGACGTGTCGTACACGTGGCACTTCCTGATTAGTAGAGATTCCAATGCCCACGTGCTCTTACGTCTCCCATCACGTGGCCATGGAGGAACCCACCCAGGCCAGGCCAGCGTTGGTCTGTGAGACAGGCATAAATATGGTTTACTTCCCTCTTTTTTATTATTATTATTATTTTTCACACAAACAAGGACATTAAATAATGGAGGCTTGGCTTGTCAAATCTTATCCCATTCGTAAGTGTTTCCCTTTTTGGTTTAACAATCCCTTTGGCCCTTCGGCTCTTTCTAAAAGGTAGTTTGAAGCCCTCCAGGCCCCAGCTTTTCTATTAGTACTTGGAGTCTTAGATATATGGAGTAGTATTTTTTATTCTCAGAAAAGTGCTAGATGGCTAGCTTTGAGAGGATGGTGCCAATATTTTTGCAGCGGGCAATCCCTTGCCAAGATGTAGCGTTTATCTGCATTTGCACCTGCACCTTCTTGTTTTCATTTGGTTCACTTCAGCACCTTCAGCCTCAGAAACCAAAGCATAGCAGATGGGTTTGTGGTGGCAGGTGGAGGAAGATAGAACCAAGCAAAGAGGTGCAGATGTAGGTGCAGGTGAATGCCATTTTGGCTTCTGTTTTTAAGACACATACCCATATCACTTTCCATACTTCTATCGTGGTGGCTAGCTTGTGCTTCTGATACAAGGTTTTCCTGTTTTACAATTTGAGTTTTCACTTTTCAAAAGCTTTCACAACTCCTTGGTTTCCAGTGTATGATTGTAAAAGGGCCAAAAGGGCTTTCAGTTTTCAGGTCTTATATGGATATAGATCTCAGCAGTCATCGTTACACTACTAGCTCTAGCTAGGATCCAGCTACTAATGATGCTTTGAAGAGGTTCCATTACACATCTCTAGGGCTTCTTAAGGTAACAACTAACAAGAGTATTCTCTCTTTGCATATATGTGTCTCTTTCCTTCCTAGGACACGCATCTGTTGCTTTGATTTTATTGGAGAATAAATTAATCAAGGAAGAAAAGTTGATTTCCTGATAAGAGGATGACCTAAGATTTGGATCAAATTTAACATTGTCATATACACAGATTCCCCAAGTTTTTTTTTATTGGGTATTTCCCTCTCTCTCTCTCTCTCTTTCCCTTTCTCTATCTCTTTTTCGTAAGCTTTTCTTCTCGAACGAGGTCCCATCTTCTTATAAATATCTTATGTGCAGAATTATTTGATCAGTCTTTTTCTATAGCCTCAATATTATTGATAAACTTCGGAAAGGGAAATGTTGTGCATGGGGCTTGGGATGTAGTATTATATACCTTAGGGAAACCATCAAAAGCCACATCTTGTCTTAAATATGTTAACCGATTTAGCTTGGTAACCACATCAATATTTAGACATTAGTGTAAATGATGATTTTGTTTCTTCTTCTTTGGAGACTGGAAAGCTGTGGATCTACCTGTGGTGCAAGTCAGTAAGTACTTGCTCCGCATAACTGACGTTTTCAAGATGGGAAGTTATCTTTGAAATTAGACTACACAAGCTCTAACACGCAATTAGCTATGATATACTGAATAAACATGTCTTTGTATAGTATATTTAACTTGACTGATGCTGCAGGTACGATTCCTGGTAAGCTCCTTAACCAAACTTTCAGTAGTTGCTCCTTTCTGTTTTTCTCTCAGCTTTACTGCATTAGGGGATGTTGCCACTTATCCGAGAATCATTAATGAACTTCTGTTTACGAGATATGTTGCTGTCTGTTGTAGCATGCTTTTGAGATGAGCTTTTTACACTAGCATTCCAATTATTAGTTGTCTCTCAGCTTAGCTTTTCAAAGTCAATTAAGCTTTAAATATTAATTTGCATGAGACTGAAAGTTGGGACCATGAAAGATGAGCAGGAACCCTATCAGTCTTGGCTATTCAACCAGCATTGGCAAGCACCAGTGCTTTAAATGATGAATATGAACATTTTGAGCAAATCGCAGTAGATCATTCAAACATTGAGGTAGATGAGAGTTATACCAAGGTACTAATGATCAGTAATCAGGCCTTCCTAGTAATATGCAGATAGTCTGATGTTGAAAAATGAGATATTTTTTCTGAAAAAACAAAGAGATCAATCTACGGAAACTTTTTTTTATAGTAAAAAAAGTGATAAAGTTGTTTCACTTATGATATAAAATTATAGTTACATGGAGAAATTATACATACTGTATATTAATTGACATGAAAAATTATAGCTACTCAAGCTGAATACTTACAGTTTTCTATCAAGGAACTGGTATGACTTTCAATTGAGAAGTTAAAATTTTCCTAATTTCTTCATGCACTAATTTTTTTTCAAAATTTTCCTAATTCTGAGAGTTACAGCTCTTTGGGGTAACAGAAATGAAATTTCCAAGAAGAACATATTTAAGTCAATAAAAAAAACCCCATCATTTATGACGATTGAGATTCAATCAAGCAAGGCAATCATAGAATTGAAAAAAAAAAAAAAAGAAGAAGCTCAAAACAGTTTCCATGGATTCTGACTGAAAACCTGGCTCCAACAGTTTGAGAGCTTAGCTACTAGAAGAATCACTTTTCTGCAATATGCTCAATTCTTGCTCAAATTAATCCACTTATGTTGGGAAATATATGACTTGTATGGTTACAAAATCTATTCCTCCTTTCATGCTTTACCTTGTATCAAACTTGAACAGACAAAAAATTGAAAAAGCCTGAACAGATGGCTCTTTTTACCCGTCTTCTTGTTAATGATTATATATGTACTTCCATGCCTTAAGGTCATTATACGTACGTGGCATATTCCCAGCAAGCAGCTGAGTACTTTAATTTTGGTTGATCTGCTCCATTAATTACTGTCCAAGTTAGTGGATTGAGCCTAATTGGTGAATGACTATAAAATGCATGCGGCCAGAAAAAAGTTTAAAACTTTTCATTATTCAATGTTATTGCTTCTTGGAATGAAATTATCATGTTTTGGAGCTAAATAATCCGCGCTGTAACACCTGCTTTGCTTATCTGCATGGATCAATTAGCACAATTTTTGACAAGGTGGCTTGTGGAAAAGTGCGGAGTTCATGGAGTAGCTAGAGGGAAAAAACAAGAATTTGTTTCAAAATTAAGTGAGGAATTTGTTATGTTTTGCTTCCCCTAACAAGAAAATATAGGGGGCTTGTTCTTGAAGGGATATATGTTCCCAGCTTACAGGTAGATGATTAAAGCATTGCAGCCTTGCTAAGTCTAATTATTGGCCCAGCAATTGTGATAATTTAGCAACAATCTTTTGTCATTGTAATTTTTCCACAATTAAATAAAGACAACTTTAAATAAACCCCTAGTTTGTGTTGAAACAGAATCATAGGATTTTACATTTTGGATCGTACTTTGGCTATTAGTTCTCTCCTCAGGATTTTCCCTGAAGCTGACTTTGGGACACTGCTTACGAATGTCACCGTCTGTAATCTTTTGAAAGGTGCCACCTGTAAAGCGGAAAAATATATTCAATTTTTTTATGCAAAGAAGAAAAATTATGGCAAAGGCTTACTAGATCAAAACATAAATCACCTATTAACTATCAGAAATAAGAAGATAAAGCTCATTTGATTCAAATGGAGAGACCTAACTTGAAAATGCTATCAGGCTATCTTACTTGTTTAGCGATGAAATTTTGCACGTCTGCTTCAGTCAGAGAACTGTTGGGGGAGCGTACAACGTATGCAACTGGGACCTCACCAGCTTCAGCATCAGGAAGATATCTGTAGTTTGGACAGTCTTAACTATCAATGGTGTCTTTACAAGGCAGAACTCCACATTGATATTTTCCAGATTTAAATTATGCAAACAGTTAAATATTTTCAGGAAAAGCTTAGGGGATGACAACAGCATCCAATATTTCAGGGTGAGATACAAGTAGCCCTTCAAGCTCTGCTGGTGCAACCTGGTGAGTATTTATGAAGTAAATGAAGCCATTAAATCATGCACATTAACTTTGGGATCACCAGAAAAGGGTTATAAACAATTAAAAACCAGAATACACTGTAAAAACCATCTATTCTACCCAAAATTCAATGACAGAAATGTTATAGAGATTGCTACCATGGGGATATCAATCATTATGTAAGTTTTCAAAGTTGCAACATCGAATGAATGATAACTGTTAAATTTTATGTCAGACATTCATCTTAAAATCAATTGGAAAATAAGTGAAGAGGTTCTTAGGATGCCCAAACTTAAATTGATGTGGAATTTCTGTTATCAATACAATAAAATATAAGAGAACCTCCTAAATGAGTAGTATGAAAGCATAGATCAAAGATACAAAGAAAGGAAACCACATGATAAACTCTAGTCATACAAGTAGCCATTATGTGAATCAACTGCGGAAGAAACTTAGAAAAACCATAAATAAAAGGTTCATCACTCATCAGTTATTTTTCTACTATATATTCTATTAAAATTGTTCCCAAAGGAATAGAGGATGATTGAGACAATTCTTGCATATACAAACTATCATATATCTATCCTTATTGACATTATTGTTATTCATGAAGATTGAGGCATCTTTCTTTTTTCCGAAACTTTTATTTGATAGAAAATGCAAAGTAGCCATATAAATTATATTTAAAAAATACAATAAAAATAAGTTACCTGGAAACCTTTGTACTTGATCAACTCCTTAATTCTGTCAACAACATAGAGATTCCCATCATCATCAAAGAATCCAAGATCTCCTGTATGTAACCAACCGTCTGCATCTATTGTCAGTTTTGTTGCCTCTGGATTGTTGAAGTAACCTGAAACGGTTATTGAAATTACACTGAGAGAAAACAGCATAAGTTGCGAAGAGCTTGCTGAATAACTAACAACCAGGAGATAAATGACCAAATATAATTTAACACTTTTGCCAAGTTGATTAATTGTTTGCATAGTACATGTAGTTTGCCTTATATCAAATCAAACTCTTAACCCACAACCAATAAGGACTGCTCTTAAGAATTCTACTGATCTACATATGATATGCATAGCTTGGAGTTATTATTATCCTACAATAGAGGCTTAAGAATTAGCATTTACAATGTGAAATATTGCAAATTATCAAATTCAAATGGATCTAATAATTGCTGTTAGCCTTAACCAGGATAGAAATCCTGCAAAAATTACCCTAAAGTCATAGTAAACAAATTGAAGAAAAGTATTCGATGTCCCATGGAGATGAAAACAGAACACCAGTAACATAATAGTTTAAGCACATAATTAGATATGGCAAGAGCTAATTATAGACCAGCAGGTCTGCAGAAAGTGCTCTCTATAAAGACCCTGTCAAAGCACAGTTCAGGGTTGGAAGAAGCATAAAGTAGGGGGAGAAACTCTATAGCTCACCCCTAGCCTGCCCATCAGTTTAACCAGAGAATCATTAGGGGACAATGGGATCAAATTTTGCAAAGAACCAAATTCAGTATCTTCTGAAATTAAATTACTAAAAGGGAAAACTTCTTAGAGTAATTTAGAAGTCAGAACAAGAATTTGACAATATGAATAGCTATTGGGACTGATATTTATACCAAAGAATCAATCTTCTTTCATTTCGTCAGGACAAAAAAAAAGCAAATAATATTACCTTGCATGATATTAGGCCCTCGAACCCATATTTCCCCTAATTGATTTGGAGAAAGAGACTTGAGATTCTTTGTACTGACTATTTGAGCTTCAATGTTTGATGCAAGCATTCCAGTTGAACCAGTATGTCGGACACCAACTGTAGGACTCTCCACTGAGATAATGGAACAAGTTTCAGTCATTCCGAAGCCCTGAAACCACAGAAAGCCTCATGATGATAAGGCAGCTTCTCTACCCCAAGCTATTCCTAGAAATTCAAAAAGCATGAATTGGAACACCTTCCAAATTTCTGATCCGAGCAAAATACAGAAGGCCAAAATCTGAACATCCTTTTACAATTACAATCCTACTTCACATATGCCAACAGATTAAATCATGACTTGCAACATCAAGGAATGATGTTCAGCATTCATTGATTCCCATTAGAATATTGTCCAAGAGATCAATTTGGAATTTTAACGCAATTTGGATATTTGGCGTAATTTTCTATGGTTAGATAGGACCACATCAGCAGGCAATTTAGTTTTCTTTTCCTTCAGCCTCTTTATCAAACTTTAACTTTTCAATAGAAATTCTATCTCAATTTTATATAATAATTTACTACTAAAATACCTGCATAACCACAGCCTGAGGAAAATTTTTTGCGCACTCCTCCATCAACTCCTTCCTCAGAGGTGCAGCACCAGAACCAATTTGCCTCAGCGTGGAAAGACCAAACTTCTTAACCACACTCTGCTTAGCCATAGCAAGCACAATTGGAGGCACAACCCACAAATGTGTAACTCTATACTTCTCCACGTTCTTCAAAAACATCACAAAATCAAACTTTTCCATCGACACCAAAGCATTTCCCTTCTGCAGCTGCCCGTATACGATAACCGCCAATCCAAACACATGAAACATAGGCAAAACACCCAAGAAAACCCAGTGCATATCCCCAGCAAGTTCTTGATCCATGGTCACCATCAAAGCCGTTGCTATGAAATTCCTATGTGTCAAAACAACACCCTTACTGACCCCTGTAGTGCCTGAAGAGTACAAAAGCGCTGCTGTATCAGTCTGCTTAACAGAAACCGCAGGAAATTCTGTTACATTCCCTGCTAAATAGAGAAGATCATGAAAAGACAAGATTTTTGGGACATTTTTTACAACAGATGATTGTTGGTTCCATTTAGAACCAAGCAAGATTACAGGGAGCTTGAAATCTTTAACTTTGTCAAACAATTCAGGGATAGTGACAACAAGCTTCGGAGTGGAATCCTGGATTTGTTTTGAGAGTTCGTTGAAAGTATAATTGGGGTTCGCAGTTGTAGCAATGGCACCAATGGCTGTTATAGCAAAGAAACAAAGAGGGAACTGGATTGAATTGGGTGCAAAGATCAAGACTCGGTCGCTTTTGTCGATACCCAGATTGAGAAAAGCATGGGAGAGCTTGATGACAGTGGATTTGAACTGGGAGAAAGAGAGAGTTTCATTGGAATCAGCATCAATGAGGGCTGGTTCGTCAGGGTAAGAAGAGACGTTTCTGAAGAGAAAAGAAACCATGGAAAGATTTGGTTCCTTGGGAAGAACTAGAGGTCGCCTTAAAGACCTGTAAATGCCATCTCTTCCATACCCAGATTTCTCCATTGAAAGCTTTTCCTTTATCCTTTGGCGCTTTTTTGAGATAGTGAAAAATGGAAGCTTGAAAGAGTCATGACTGACAAGGAAACTTATTAATTTTGATTATTATAATGATTTCTCTTTAATTATAAAGGATTTGCTTGAAGAGGCAACCGCAAGTGAGAACAAGGGGACAAATAGTAATGGCAATGTCAAGATATCGGGACAAGACAGGCACTAACTTGAACCAAGAAAATGCAATTGAAAGTCAGAAGCCAGTGTCAGACGGCAGGATTCATACTTGGCTAGTCTTGGTTTTATAATTTTTCCCTTTTTTTTTTTTAACGCGTCGGGCTTTATTTATAATTTAGAATTATTAATTTATCTATAGTACATAATTCTTAAACTTTTTAAGTCAAACATATATTTTTTTGGCTTGAAAAGTCAAACATTTTATTTGCATTCAAAACAAATCAATTTTACATATTTATACAAAGATAGTGTTAAGAGAATAAGGCTTAAACTCAACAATATCAGATTACCGACAAAGTTTCATGTACTAGATTACAAGGATAATCAAACACATATTACGGTGGAAATCTTTGAATTGCAACTATGAATCTTGAATAATAATAATACTAATTAATAGAAAAAATTATTATTTGTACGTGTTTTTTAAAATGTATTGGATAATCCAAAACTATAGATACTTTTCCATCGCCATTGTTTCAGCTTCACTCTCACCAACTCTTAAAATTCAAAGGTTTTAAAATTCAAAGGTCTCTACCTTTGAACCTTTGAATTTTTTGATTCTTTGTTAATGCTAAATGTCAAAAATGGCTTCATTTTTAATCAGCGCCGCCTTACGTCGGCTTTCTCCGTTTCATCTAACTAGAAAATCCTGCCCATTACGTTCTTCAGTCTCATTTTCTTACATTTCAAAACCCCATAAAGCAAAGGCTTTTACTTCTGAAACCAAATTCATTAAAATTTGATCTTTTCTCTAAATTCCAAAAACCCAACTCTCAGAACGTCTTCTTCTCAGAAATTTAATCGAAAAGTTTGGATTTTGGTTGGAACAAACCCAGGTTAGGTTGCATTCAATGGCATCATCAGGTTCAAAAGAATCAGCTGCCAATAACCCTGGGCTTCAAACTACCCCTGATGAAGCCACCAAAGGCTACATCATGCGGCAAACTGTAAGTTTGTTTAGTGTGTATGTATGTAAATATATGTTTTAAAGGAATTTATGTTAATGCTTTTGTTTTTATTTATTTATTTGTTTTTGGGTTGCAGATGTTTCGAATTAAGGACCCCAAAGTCAGTCTTGATTTTTACTCTCGTATATTGGGCATGTCGTAAGTTATACTTAAGGTTTTTTTTTTTTTTTAGTAAAGTCTACTGGTTATTTGTTTTCTTCTGTTTATCTAATTTGATTAATTAGTTGGTTATTTGTTGAGGAACCAAGCCTTTTTCCTTTTTGGTGAAATATCTCAGTGTTGTGGAAATTTATGTGAATTGGAACTTTCATTTCTCATAGCGTTTTTGTGCTTTGGTTGCTCTTCGAACTTTCATTTCTTTCTTGTCCATCTTTTTCAGATTGCTTAAGAGGGTGGATGTTCCAGAATTGAAGTTTACCTTGTACTTTTTGGGCTATGCGGTAAAATCCATTTAATTACTCTGCAAGAAGTAATCTTGTATTGTAGCATCTCTGTATTCATTTCTTCCATTTAGGTGTCACCGCATTTGCTAATAATAATGATGTTGATTCTAGATGCATATTTCCTTTGATGTAGGATGTTGCATCAGCTCCAAGTGATCCAGTTGATAAAACAGTTTGGACCTTTGGAAAACCGGGGACAGTTGAACTAACACAGTAAGAATACATTATTATTGTTATTATTATTATTTAAATTTAATCTTTCTTTTGTGTTTGCAAAGTCATCATTCTTGTGCTCTAGCATGCTTAACAGTTTAATGCTTCCTACAGTTATTGGGGTACTGAAAGCGACCCTGAGTTTAAAGGATATCACACTGGCAACTCAGAACCTAGTGGCTTTGGTATGAATAGATTTTACTCATCATTTTGTTTATATCTTCTAACTTTTTGGTCCACAATTCACAGAAAGATTGATGCTATCCATTTTTTTGTGCCTTGTTAAATCCCAAAATGCTTTTATTCAATGATATTGATAGGGAAAAAAACTTCATGCTGTTGGTACTAATCTTCATTAAGGTGCATTTGTTTTGGTTTATCTCTTATGGAGACTGCCATCCTATGTTGTTTTTATTGCAATAGTGATTTTTATTGGTCAGGATTTACTGAATTTCTTCACCCATGGACTTCTTATGATTTGTCAACCGTACATTGTGGGAAAGGCTTAGTTTGGTGTTTGTTCCTGTAATGTCTTATGATTTTCTGCTTCGAATAAGAGTAGTTTAAAATTTCACCATTTCGTTTCAATTAACCTGCTAGCTTATCTTATCAACTATGCTGAAATTGATCAAACAGTTGCTGCTTCTAGGTGGATTCACTTCTACATTCAAGTTCATAGAAGAAAAGCTTGTTTACTTTATATGTTCTAAATGTATGGATTCCGTATTTAAGGAGTTTTTGGGGTATTTAGGTACTAACTGTTGTTTTCGCCTTTTCAGGGCATATTGGCATCACTGTGGATGATACATTCAAGGCATGTGAGAGATTTGATTGCCTTGGAGTAGAGTTTGTCAAAAGACCAGATGAGGGTAAGCCTTCTCATTTAGATTATAGAATTTATTAAGAATAGTATGATAACTCAATGGATATTTTGATTTCCATTTAAGTTTTAGATGGGGATTTCTGGTATGATCACTGGAAATTTGCTAGACAAATTGTGAAATTGTCTTTTGAGGAAGTTAATCAATTGTTAAGGGAACTTGTTACATCAGCAAACTTGGGTGGTTTGGAGCCTGAGGTTTGGTTAGAGATTTTGAGTTTGAGCCATAGTGCCCACCATTTGGTCTCCGAAAGGAGTAAAACTAATGAGGGATGGTAATTTAGGTCTAAAATGATAAGTAGATTTCAAATAATATGAGAATCGGAAAAAGAGAAAGTAGAAAAGCAAAAACAGTTTTGCTTATATTTCACTGTAACAAAAATAAGTCATAATGTCCTCAAACAGAAGTGGAGAGACATAGCTATCCAAATGGACTGTTAAAGTACTCATTATCTTCCAAGAATGATGAAGAATCAGAAGGGAGCATTTCTCTAGTTATGCAACTACAATCCTCTTCTTGACCTGCCAAATAGGATAGTTCTCTAAACAAGCTTTGGCTGTGTGCAATTTGCCTATTTGATAACATCTTTCTCTGTACAGTATCTTAATACCCCTTAATTGACACACAAGTCAAATGGTCACTGAACAAATGGCATCCTTTTTACTCTAATAGCACTTAATTATATTCATCTCACACATGCATGGATGCACTTGGTTTTGGTGTATATATTGCATGAATCAGCATGTATAATCGAGCATTACTCCATGGATCAATTTTTTGCTAACCTAGAATGAAGAGCATTCTCTGCATACCAGGAAGCAGACATTTTTACTCAAATTTAAAGTATGATTACCTTTTATCACATTTGATATCTGGGATAGCCAGAGCCCCTGTAGAAATGCTACTGCTGCCAAAATACTAGGAATATGAATCCTCATGTGCCCTCATATAGTCAAAGTTACTTTAATGAGATTCCTGAATTAGTAGCAAACTTGTTTTTGGTTCATGAAGTAAAAGCACTGTAAGCATTATCAGTTTCTATTGTGACCAAATATTAAGCTGTAGTTACAAGGCGTGAATGAGAAAAGACAGCCTCTGAAATGTTAGCTTTCAGGTTTTTACCTTTTTAAAATGCTTTTATTCATCCCTAATCTATCTATCTGATTTGCAGAGGCGAAAGGGTTTGCATTCATTAAGGATCCTGATGGTTACTGGATCGAAATCTTTGATTTGAACACTATTGGAGAAATAGTTAGGGGTTTTGCCTGAGTTAGTGCATCAGAGTTCAGGTAGCTTTTTGAGTTTTTATTTTGCTAATCTTCTATCGAATCTAGGTCCCATATGATTGAATTCATAATCTTCGTAACGTCAGTGAAAGCTATGGCTTACTTCTGTCAGCCACTGCCCTTCTTTGATGGACTTTGTGACTTGTTTCCATAGCCATACTGCTTGAGTGTCTGGGACTATATATATTTACATTTTACAAGTATGGTAAAAAGAAAGATTTATTTCTAATTTTCAAGTGGATAATTGTGTAAGAATCCATTAATATTTAATATCAGATAGCAAGAATAATATTTCCAGGGAGAGTCAAGACAGTTCTTTGATGTTGGAATATGTATTTCTGCGATCTGGAGTTATGCATTAAATTGAAGAGGGCTATAGGTCTTAACGAGGGGAAAAGAGAGTTATCAAATGGTTTTGGTTGTTTACCATTTATGATGTGGAAGTTTTATTGAACAATGTCGTAACATGGAATAATCAAGAACCTTATATCTTCATAGCTTTGAGAATGGTACATTGCTTTATTGATATATGTTCCCTGTGGAATTAATCATGGAATAATCAAGGACCTAATGACCCTCCTCTCAATCCCTTTCTTGAACTTGAACTTTGCGAACATAAATAGAGGAAATGTGGTGAGGTGGGTCGTATGAAGGGTAGTTCTTATTGCTTTTTTCTCTTTTTAGATCTTTGCAAATCAATCTGATACGTGTTGGACTTAATGCAGGAAATAAGGATGGCAGGTTTCACTCAATCGTATCAGTTTCAGTGTATATCCCCCGATACATCATTTCTTTTGCTTTCCATAAATTTCATGGATGGGGCTGAAATTTCAATCGAAGAACATTGCAGTCCAGTGTGCGTTTCTTCTGCTTGTCGTTGTCAACTATTTCAAACAGGATAATGAGAGTTGTTATTGTGGCAAATAATTAATTTGTTGGTTTTGTGAAACCAAAGTGAACTTTTTAGACTATTTTCGCCTTTTTGTATGAATTTTTCCTAACATTATCATAAAAAGCTCTGGTCAATCTCTCGAGGTTTTTTAAAATCTTTTGAACAATATCACCGTGGCAAGAACTGTGACACTGTTAACAAAATGCTTGCCAAGTCAAAGCATGAAGTAGATAAGTGGAGTGTGGGAAAGTACAAAACTTTGAATCCTGGAAAATTGGTTCTTTCGGGTTTCAAACATCATTTGCAATATCGAGGAAAATTGAATTCTATAGTGTAATCTGGTTGAAATGTGAAGGGCCAAAGGGTTTTGATTAGTTTAGTAGTAAACATCAACCATACTAATCTTCCACGCTCACACTTCGAAAAGTGATGGCTAAAGCCATTTCTTGCAATCTTTCAAGGCCATATCCAAAGAAGAACGAAAAAGTAAAACTTTTATACGTTGACAACAGATCATCTATTTATTATTTATTAAAAAAAAAGTTTTAAAATTCATATTAATAGTTTGAGTGTCAGTCTGTGAGTAGGTACCACACTCTTTTGACCTTCACTAGAAAACGCATTCCTGGAAATGCTCTCAACATTATTTCAAAAAAAATCTATACCTAAACAAAATTATAGCAATACCAATTTATTAAGCAAAAATAGGTGGCAAGTGGCAACCTAGGCTTGCCACAAAACAAGGCTGGATCTCATGATAGAGTGATGCAGCCTGACAAAGATCTTGTGATGATGCAATTTTGGAGCCCTTTAAACTGTTTCCCAATGGGGATTCCCTGTCAATCAATTACATTGTCAAAATATATAACTCCAATCTTTCTTGATTTTATACATACAATTTTTCCATCCCAAATTCATCCACAATCATCTAAAGATTAATGGTAAGAAAATGATCATGAGTAAGATATTCAAACTCACATGAAATTTTTGATTCAACAACTTCCATATTTTCTTTATTGTAACTATTTTTTTTGCTATACTAGCTAGAGTATGAAATTTTGGAATAATATATGATTTGAACCGATTGAAGATTTGAAGTGTCAACTACCACCAAATAATAGGGAAAAAACAATAAACAAATAACAAACTACAAGAAAACAGATATTAGACTCCTAGCCTTAGGCAATGACAGCATGCATCCATGCAAATTATTAATGTATTCTCCTGTAATAATTAGTATATTGTTGAATGAAGCTCTTACAGTCCGAAAAGAAATAAAATGACCAAATTAAGCAAAACACACAAGCTAACTTATTATCTCATAGCATCTGCAAAAGATTTAACAAGGATGATTTTCATTGGTTTCATTTTATTGTATATATGGTGGTGTTTGAACCAAGTCTTTGGTGGAAATGTGGCTCACGGACCTTCAGTTATCACTCCTTAAAACACTTGGTACTTATGAAAAATCAAAGGAATTAATATAACTCCAAATAAAAACAAATTATAATGGAGAAAATGGCTTTTACTATCGTTTTCTCTGATCTTGTTGCATCAATTTATTCATCGTTTTTTTTTGTTACGTGTCCTAAAATGGAGATCATCTGCAATATTCAGAGTTCAGACTCCTATACCTGCCTTGAATCCAGAATACTACCAACCAAAAGGTCTTCTTCACATTTAGTTTTCAAATGGTGATTAATTGATGAAACCAACTTCCAAACAAACATTTGAATTGTTTATTTTGTGTTTCTCCTATCGAACACATATGCATAGAGTTGACCTTTTCAATTCTTCAAAATAGGTATATATATAAATTTAAGAGGATTCTGTTAGGAAAAATTGAGATTATGTTTAACCGTAAGTCATTTTTAAAGCTTTGCCTCTCCATAAAATTCCAAAATTTCCCCCATCATCCTTAGTTTTTAAAACACATGGTAAACAAGTTTCCACCTTAAGTCTGACTTTAGCTTACTAAAAAAATTTTTGGACCTTCAATATTATGGACAAACACTGCTAGCAGAAAATCGTAAAAAGACCCTACTGCCCTTTATTGGAGGAGGGACAGAATATTTTCCTGAGGGCTATAATGGGGTTGTCAGTTGGATTTGGCATCCCACTAATTACTGGCCAATGTCTTTAAAATTCAGGATAAAAAATGGGGAAATTAATTAAAAATAGGGAAGAACAGTGCGTGCTTGGTTTATCTTGACATCAGGATTCTTGTTCTTGAATGGTGATTATTAATTTGTCTAGTTTTCATAAACTTGATTTCTGACTGGGGTTTGCAGTGAGTTGATGTCCGTACAATCATAAATCATCATCACCTTCTAAAAAGAAAATTGCACAAAATAAAAAGCTTTACCATGTACTGTCAAAAGAAGAAATGTTTCATTTCATCAGAACACAAGACACCAAAAACTGAGTCTTTATCTATCCATCCAAAACCCCCACTCCCCTTACCTTTGCCCCTTACCCCATCAAATCTTTCTGATTTTAGGTGCAGTTAGTCCATCAGTAGTAGTAGTAGTGCATGACTTTCTCTTGTGTCTTGTTTTCATCAATGAAGCAACTATTACTGCTAGAGCTAATCAGTCGCCTAACATCTTCAAGATCATAGTCTAATGGGCATTCTCCATAGGACCCACTTAGCTTCTCAGTCCATTGGTTAACATTTTCACCTCCATTATTGGTGCCATAACTTAACATGAACTTGTGATTTTCTTCATACCCATTAGAGACACCAAAACCTTGAAACCCCATGTCTTCTTGCTTGATCTCTCTGCCATAGCTGATCTGGCTACAGCTACCATCAGACGAGCTGCAGCTTGGTTCACTCCCAAAGATGAGAAAATTTTCTTTCACTGGATAATACTGCGTGTGACTCACCAAACTCTCTGGGGTGTGAATAAGAGAAGAATTGGCAGCCAAATTAGTGTTGTTATTGTTCAAAAGATCAGATTGAACAGATGAGATGGGTTCAAAGGCTGTGAAAGATCTGGTTGGAGTGTAAAAAGAAGTGCAGCCCTTATACAGTGATGAAAAAGATTGAGAAGAAACAGGTGGGGTGTGATGAGAAGATGGGAATGGTGGTGGTTTTCTCTGGGATTGAGAAGTCATGGCCATGAGCTTCTTCCTAAGCTTGGTGTTCCAGTAGTTCTTGATATCATTGTCTGTCCTGCCTGGTAACTGAGCAGCTATTACTGACCATCTGCAAATTGCATGTTAGAAAAGAAAACGTTCCATAAGGAGTAAAATTCGTGCTCCTTCGTAACAGTTGTAAGTAGGTGATGATGATGAATCTAAACTTGGCATGCATGCAGAAGAATTATCCAAAAATAGCAGATTCTCGATGTAAACAAGTTTCTGAAATTTGGTTTTTAACCGAAAAAAAAAAAAAAAACCTAGAAAAAGAGTCTATTTCTTTCTTTTCTTTGTTACCCTTTTAGGTAGATTTCATTAACTTCCCTTCATCAAGGTAGCTGATAATTTTGGTAAAAAGGAAAAAAATGATATTGGCCTTAGAAATTTCGATTTTTTTTTCTTTTTTAGTTTTGCTTTGAAATCATGAGCCCATAGGATGAAGAAGAAGAAGAAGAAAGAAGCTCTCATCAAAGAAGTACCTGCTTCCAATGCTAGCAAACAGGGTGCAGATAATCCTATCTTCCTCATCAGTGAATTCACCATGTTTAATGTTGGGCCTGAGATAGTTTAGCCATCTCAATCTGCAGCTCTTCCCACATCTTTTCAGACCTGATTCAAAGACAACAAAAAATTAGCTAAAGAATAACAACTAGAGAGATAGAGGAATCTTCATTTCTGATTAAATCTTTACCAGCTTTCTGTGGGAAAGCTATCCAATTCCCACCAGTTCCGTATTTCTCTATGTACTCCTTAAGCTTGGAGTCTTCTTCAGGAGACCATGGCCCTTTCTTCACATTTGCCTTGTCACAGCAAGGAGCCCTCCCCATCTCTCTCTCTCTCTCTCTCTCTATCTCCAACAGAAGTCTTGTGATCTGTTTGATATCTGCTGACCTCTTTATGAAACCAAATGTCTCTTTTCTACTAATAAACTTTGGTGGGGGAGGGGGTGTAGGTGCCTCCAGCTGCCTTTTAATAAAAAAGACTTATGTAAGAAAACAACAAACATTTTTTTACTTTAATTATTTTATTCATAAGTACATTTAAGTCAAAATGATCAACCTCCTATATGCCTAATTAGCTAAGCTAATAGAACTTTCTAACTCTAGATTTTTTGGTTCCCTTTGCTTTCTCTTAATTCCTTTTTCAAAGGTCTAAATTTTTTAGCAGAAAATCATACATCATTCACTAAATCAAATGTTTTAGTGGATGTTAGAGTTATTATCATTTACCTTCTCTTCATTTGTTTTATTCATTTTCAAAATCCAATTACCTCTGCTTCAAATCATTCACAAATTAATTTATATATTGCCATGAAAGGAGAAATTGAACCCTGTTTGTTGATGTTTTCAGATACCATTTGGTCCATTACTCGACGAGTTGCTGTTCATAATAAATTGTACACAATTACATGTGCTAAATGGGATCGATGATAATGAATACAACATTGAAAGGAAGGGTTCCCATCTATCAGACTCTTTGTCCTCAATTTCATCTGATCAGGTGTTTCCGGCTGACTCATCAATGCTACCTTTCAAAACTGTTGACCCATCATAGGCTATTGCCACACAGTACAGGAAATAAAAGTAGGCAAACAATACTTACTGATTGTTTCTGCTACATTGTAACATTTCCCAATCAGGGAGCCCTTCTTTGTTGCCAAGTGACACAAGGAAATAGACCCCTAAGTAAGGGACCCTTGCGAATGAGTACCCTACTGGATGTTCTAGCTAGGGTCATAAGAAAATTCAACTTTGTTTTTCCTTTCCTTGATCGTGCTGTAATTAGACTTCCCTGGGATAGCAAAATCTATTCTAAAAGGAGAAATGTTTTCTCATTTATGGTGAACATTTTTCTAGGCACTTGTGCATTTTATATAGGCATTTGTATAGCAGATAAAACACATGCTTCAATCACCATTCCTCGTCTGTCTGTATGGTTACTGCCCAATACCGACACGAAGAATACAGGCATATATCCGATAACTAAAACCAACTTGGTGACTGAAAGAGAGTTCATTAATAACCATGTTATTAAATATTATGAGTCCTAAAATGGATCTAACTACATCAAATATAGGAAATCATTTAAGTGAAAAAAAAAATTAAACACATTTGATCACATATTTATAAAAGGAAAATTGTTTAATCGTACACTAACTTAGTTAAAGCAATCGATATTTAAAAAATATTTTAATTAATGTATTTTTTAATTTGATAAAAATTATGCATTAAATAATTTTTATAATAATATTGTAATTGATCGATCATAACTAAAGTTTTTAGATACTCGATAACAAAATTCATTAAGGAAAGCATTAATTTGTTTCGATAAGGATACATGTAGGGAACTTGAGAAACCGAATATATTAAACAAAGCCTATGTATTAATTTGACGGCATTTATTAAACAAGTATTTGACAGCATAACCATAAGCTATACATTTATATTGTATTCCTTCCCTCATTTAGAAATATTATCATTCTAAGCAATAATATTTTAGCATGTCTTTCCCTGCTAAAACCTGGCTTTGTATATGTTTGCATGTTACACAAGATGTAATGAAACGTAGATGCATGATAATGATGTCTTATTTTCTTGTATTCAAATTTGCAAACATGGAAATGATAAAAAATTTTTAAAAAAATGAAAGATTTTGAAATTAATTAAGATATGTTGGGTTAGAAAAAGAATTGTATGAAGAAATTATGCTACATCAACATATATTTTTTTCATTCAAATCATACCATATAATTATATTATTTTTAAAAATAAATTACTTATTATAAAATAATTAATAAATATATTGAAATAAATTTCACCATTTAATTTTCATATATTATGTGTAATAAATAATTTATTTTTTTAATAATATAATTATATAATATGATTTAAATAAAAATAATATATATTCACGTGAAATAACCGTCTCGTACTTTTCTTTCTTGAAAAGGGATTCTTATTCAACATAAGATCGAAATGGTTGTGTTTTTGTTAATGATTGTATTTTCGTTCTAACTCATAAAGGCAATTCACTTTCGTTTTTTTTTAAATGAAAAATTATAATAATAATATCCTTTAGATGCCTACGTGCTAGCTTTCTGAATAAGGGATATCCACATAATAAATTTTTTTTATTTATATAAATTTGACTAAAATATAGTTTTATGTTTGTTGCTAACTTTCTGTATGAGGGATATCCATATAATAAATTTTATTTTATTTATATAAATTTGACTACAATATGGTTTTATATTTGCTTCTATGGATAAAGTACATGGCTGCCAAAAACACCTAAACCCGAAAATCTTACTTTGTATAAGGGTGTATTTATAATTAAAAAACAAATTAAATTTAATTAATTTGATATTTTAGATTGAACTCCAATGTCTTTTCTACAAAATGGATTTTTTGGCTGTCTTTTTCTTCTCATTAGAATCTTTCAAATTAAAATAAAATTGCAAATATAAGCAATTAGTTAAATTAAAATGTTTTCGTTATTAATTAATAATAGTTCAGTATCAAGATAACAAACAGATGGTTAGTTAATCAAATCAATATATGATTGGTTCAAATAAAATAAGCATTAAAAAAAAAAAGAAGACAAGTGTCGTTATCTGACTTGGACAGGAAAGAGCGATCGCTTTTGTTTTTTCTTGCCTTTCTCAACGGTTGGCAAACTAAGCTAGAAAAATTTGCATGCTATACCCGCTTTGTTATTATTGTTTATTATTTTATAATAATAATTTAATATTATATCATATTATGAACTAATTAAGACTCTGCTTATTTTCAACTCTTTGCATCGTTGCCCCCTTCTTTATTGCTTAATTTTCTAAGTGCTTCTCAATGTTTGAGATTTAGGATGCCTGAGTTAGAGTTTAATTCCTTATTTAATGTTTATATTATCTTTAATTTATATGATTTTCATTTTTTTATTAAAAATTAAATTTCAATTGATTACAATGAATAATATTTTATAGATTAATGTGAATTATAAATTATAATTGTAATTTGTTTCGAGATATTAATTATGTATTATTAAAGATAGTGAATTATGCATTTAATATTTTCATTTTTAGTATGCAAAATTTTTTATGAAATAAAGTCATAAAATTAAATAAATAATAATAATTTATAAATTAGTGTGACTTATAATATTATATATTTCACGTTGAATGTGGAGTTATAAACTGTCAAGAATTGAAATCTTTAAGAATAAGATAAAAAGTACAAATCATAAGATTTTAGAAAGATTAGGGAACAAAGAGAAAATTATGAGAAAAAGAGGGTCTTCCTTTTGAAAAACAAAACACACAAACAAAGAGACAAAAGTCAAACAAAAGTCATCTCAGGGCTTCATCAAATGAAAAACACTCCTGGAACTGGGATTCTGAGTGGACAAAAGGCAAAACCCTTTCCTCGCTAGCTGTCTCCACTGACGTAACATGTTGCGTATGCCATGTTACAAAATCAAAAAAAATATTTAATAGTAATGAAGTTTATTTATTTATTTTACTTACAAAAAAATGAAAGCTTTTTTTTTTTTAAATTAATAAAAAATAAATCATTTTCAAGTTCGTGGTTTTTTGGTGGTCGAAACGTGTCCGTTTCTTTCTCGACCTTCGTGTCTGCTTTTTCATCTTTTTCTTTCGTTCCTTAATTTCTCTCAGCCGTCCCACGTGCGGGCGCTTTCGCTCGTGCGTGCTATACCTATGCTGGCAGGCTTTGGGTCAGTTTTCTTTCACTCAAATCAGACGTGGTGAACTGATAAAGCGAGTACGTGAGTTTTGCCAAGCGGATGAGGACTGTCATAGAATGACGTGGGCGGTTTTGTTGGTTGAGAGGTGGCTAAGATCAGACGGTAACCAATCAATCAATCAACACAATGTAAATCATTTTGAAATTTATTTGGACCCGGGGGATTCTGATTCCTGTCATCTCCTCCTTCCTTACAAGATCTATGCGTTTGATTTGGTTGGTAAGAAAGTTCAATGTCTTGCAAAATAGAGGTAAGTCCTAGGAGTAGGGGTGAACTCATTTTGCAGACAAATTTGTAAGTAACTATCTAATTCACACTATCAAATGGATTATTCAACCGACAAAAATCATCTTTTTCAATATGAAGATTTTAGATTCGAATTTAATAATTATTTATTAAAATTATTTTGAATTATTTATTTTAAATTATTAGATATAATATATTTTATTTTAATTTAAAAACTAAATAATTTATTTATTTTGAATTCTCATTCATTTTTTTTATAAAAATTATCTTATTCACTTTTCATAAAAAAAACTATCTAATTCACATATCACAATCTTGAAAATAATAAAAAAAAATATTTACATGTCAATGAAATAATTGAATGTATTATGCAATTTAAAGATTTTATATTTTGAATTATATTGCTCGTTTAATTTAGTTTTTTAAATTTTTTTAGTTTGATATCTTTATAGTAAATATTTGAACTTTTCTTTCTCATCAACAAAATTTAGAAATAAGTTATATCGTAATTTTTTTATATCGTAATTTAAAAATAAAAAAAAAATTTACATGAATTAAAAATTGAATATAAAATTTGTTGAATATTATTTTTTAAAATTGATTGAATACGATTTTGAAATCTATCAACATAAGATTTGATCTATATTTTAAGCATAATTAGTTATTTGCAACGGACACTAGTTCGAATTTCCATCAAAATAGTAGCCATATCATAAAAAATTCCACTTATTAAAGAGACAGCAACTTATATACCACTATGTGAGGTATATTCTTTTTCTTTTTTTTTTTCCAACCAGCCAAAGTGAAAAAAGGGAATATTCTGTTTCCTCAAAGAAACATAATTTTGATTGTTACTATTTGATCTTAAATTCTTTTGTGAACTTTTTGATTTTTCCTCTTCCACCCCCCTCCACGTCTCCAACCAAAACAACTATTTGTTCATCATTTTGATACATGTAAAACTACAATAGTTTCTTCTTCCTTGCTCTTTCTTTTGAGTTTGTTGATTGACAAAAGTGAAAAGCCTTGGGTGTTAGTTTTATTGGTAATTTCGTTTTTTTGGTCCGATTTTGCCTTGGAAAGCCTACAAATACAGTCCACTTCATAGTGGGCTTTAATTTGAAGGGTCAACTATATTTTAATAGATATAAGGCCAATTCATAGCCCAAAGCTTCTGGCATCTCCTCTGAGTAGCCTATCACAGCGCAGAAAATCTGAGCCCATATTCTTTTCTCTAATTAAAAAAAAAAAGTTAATTGCTCTGTGTATAATTGAGTTGAGTTGAATCTATTTAATGAGAAGTTAGAATTTAAGATTGACTTAAAATTTGTTGTTTGAAATTTTAATTTTTAAATTTGATCTTGATTCGAGATAAAAATTAAATTACTTAAATTTATTTATTGAATAAAAATAAGCTTAATTCTCATATTTATTTTTAAATTTGATTATTTATATTTGAATTTAAATCTGAACTCAAATTGATATATATATAATAATAATAATTTTTAATTAAATTAATAAATATTTAAAATATACAACTTTAATTAGATTCACGAGTTATTCAAATTGAATATTAAAATATTTTAATTCAGTTCACTTACTTAAACTCAAACTCAATTTAATAACAATCGAATTAAATTTAAATTTTATTTAAATTAAATCTTAATAATTTTATGAGTACGGAGATATTATTTACATCTTATATAGTAACTATATAGGGTTTGAGGGCTTAGGAATTCGGGAATTGGGTTTTTTCACTCTACCAAAAATGAAAATGGTCCTTTGACCTTGCTTTGAAGTTACTTACTCACACATGGATTCATCCTTTGCCAATTCGGGGAAGCGTATCAGACTTTGGTGATTAGCTCGAATTGACTTGTTTCACAGAACAAGGTAAAGTAACCCTTAACAGCCCGAAGGTTTAAGCGCCTGCCAACCTTTGCGTAAAAGCCTGGGTTGGGAACACTCTCAAGGCCACTGCCTGCCCACAACAAACCAAACCAATGTTCTAAATCCTCATTGCCAAGCCTTGATTACAACAGGGAAAAATTTTAGCAAAATTCATTTTACAGTAAGTTTCGCTCGAGAACTCCATGTTAACAACTATTTGATTCAACTTATTATGCTGTAAAATTTAGAATATATGAAAGCTATTAGATATGCACTGTAAGATCAAAAAATCATTTCAAGAATATATGTTGCTGAGAGGTCAAACGAATTTTACAAGTGAAATAAATAGTGTTCATACCTAATTTGGCTATTTCTAATGGGATAGTTTTGACTTTTGAGACTCTAGTTTAAATTGTATATATAATGAGTTCTTCCATATCGGGATCTCTGTTTTATGATTGAATGCAGATTTGAATGCAGTGGGAAGGTTCCATCATGCATTCAAATAAGGCGTAATAGTTTGACTGATAAACTCTAAAAAAATGTAGTAGTTTAATGTGTGCTAGTGTCATTTATAAACGTGATATTGACCACTTTGTTTTATACAAGAAATAAAGCCATACCAGGCCAAGATTTTCTCTACAGGTGGCCATCGGTGATTATCAGCAAGACAGCAACAGCCAACAACCCCTTTTTTGCTTCATCGTATGTCAAAACTCAAAAGACTCTTCTTGAAGTAGGATGAAACCCACCATTGAAAGCCAAAATACAATATATGTAATTGCAAGCGGAAATTGTCGTACAGATAAGTGTTAAAAACTATTAGTAAAATTTATCGTTACAAAATTTGGGCATTTTCAAATGCTGAAGGCATATATAAGTTGATAGTATAGCTATAGATATAGCATTTATGAGTTTATTTTTGCGCATCTAGAAAAAGGAATTTTCTGATACGCATCTAAAAGAAAGGAAAATGAAAAAAAGAATTGGATCCATTTGACTAGTCCTTGTAATCTCATTTTCTTGGAATAAGGTATAAGCCACAAAGGTGTGGATTGTTGAGAACAATGAAACGCTTTGAAAATCACAATACTTTACATTGCATTAGTGCCTAAATCGACATTGTTGAACAACCAGTCGTAACTTGTGGGGTCACACTATTTGGGAGTGACTCTCTCAGCTATCTCAGACGATGCTAGCTTCCCCTGCATCCAGTTCTGTAGCATCTGTAATGATGCTTTTGGTTGATCCATTGGAACCATGTGACCAGCATCATGGACCTGCAATTAAGGTCATCATCATCAGCCAACTCAATTACACCAGAACAATTAAGAGACATTAGAAAAATGGAGAAAGCGGCATGAAGTGGCACATATAAGTAGAGAGAGCTGACCTTGAGGAAAGTGAGAGGACCATGGCTTTTCAGTTTTCCCGCTACTGCACCATCAACTACGAAGGGAACGATGTGAGCTGCCCCAAACTTTTTCTGTCCGGACCATGTCATAGCATGAACCCACTTAGAATTTCCTATCCAAAGCCAAAAAAAACATTAGTTTAGAAGAGTAACCAATCTGTTGTTTTCTTTAAATTTTCCTTAGTTAACAAGTCAAAAAGGGACTGTTAGATGACGGAGAGAGTCTCACCAAGCCAGTTGCATATAAGATCATACTCTCCAGCATATATAAGCACCTTGATGCCATCCTCGAGAAGAGCAGGAATGCCAACTTCAAAATTCCTCATCCAGTCCATAATCATGGCTTCATATACTGCGCTGCTGCATGACACAAAGTCGATGTCTCCGACCCCTAGTGCATCCCTAACTGATTTCAGATTGAGGAATGTCTCAACGTCCGAGAAGTCGTAGCACAAGTCAACTTCGCATTGCTTTCTAATGTCATAGTACTGTACATCAAAGATATGACAACTGTTATTTCTACTTTGATGTTCCTGCACGATTGAAATCACTTATAACAAGCATAGATGTTGAGTTATCTTACATTTACATTACCAGCAATCCCCATGATCTGATTAAATACATTGTTGCAGATTTGATAAGAATCCACACAAGCATCTCCGCTATTGGTGCCTGACATGGTTGTTTAACATGAATACCAAATTACAGAAGAAAACATAGAGATATTGTTTTAATTTTTTATTGCTAAGAGGAACTACCACATCTTTTGATTGCCTGCACACACGATGGAACCAACTTCTTAATGCTGACATAATCAGATTGTGTAATTAAACTTGTGTTCAAAGCATAATCTGGGTATGCTTGATACTGGATTTCAGGATTTGTTAGCCCATTACCGATGGCAAAACCCTGTTCAACCATTCAAAATTAATCTTAAATCCAGAACATGAAGAGGAAAGGTCCGTATTCAAAGGGTATGAATGAAGTTAAAGGGATGTACACCTTGAGGTTAACATGAATTCCCTCTTTTGCTTTGTTTCCCTGGTGAACTCGAACAGCAAAAGCAGGAATATAATGCCCAGCATACGATTCTCCGGTTATGTAAAAGTCGTTCTTAACATACTGAGGATGTTGCTTGAAAAACTCCTAAAAGTACAGAGACAGTTCACTGAATTCTGAGCTGAAGTGTTAATTCTGATAAATTCTGAACTGTTTCTGTTATGGAAGGAATGTCAGAACATAACTTAGAATCGAGCAGACCTTCAAGAAGTCATACAAATCGTTGCTGACACCATTTTCATCATGACGAATGTCGTTCTCATCTGAAGTATAACTGAAACCAGTTCCAGTGGGCTGATCTACAAATAAAATGTTTGATGCCTGCCAAGGGACAATAAAATGTGGATTGAGAAGGGATAAGAGTATAACTGAAGCATATCAGAGAAATTTTTTTTAACTCTATCAGATACCTTGTCCCAGCCATAGTCATTCCATATAAGTGACAAGTTTTTAGCAAGATGGAAAGGACCATTTTCATAAAACAATGCTAATTCACTACTGCACCCTGGACCTCCAGTCAACCAAATCACTACAGGGTCTTTTTTGCTGTTCCGTGATTCGAAGAAAAAGTAAAACATCCTGTGACATTAGAGGAGAGAGAGAATCCATAAATAGTTTAAGAAGCGAAATACGACGGATGTTAGCAAGGTAAGTCCATCAATTTCGCATTAGCACCAGTTCTTATTGTGCCATCATGTTCAAACTTGTACATGCAAGTAAATCATCTGAAACCAACATTATTAATGTCTGCATTAGGTATATTAAAGCTTTGAATCCTACCTATAACTACAAAAAAATAGGGCATGATTGTGACTAATCCTGTAATTGAATTGATATCATTTGACGGAAGATATGGAAAAATGTTGATATCTCTAGTCTAGATTGAGAAAATTTGTTCCAGGAACATGTAATGCTTATCATACCAGAAACATAGTTTTCTATTCCAGGGATTTATTGTTCCACAATTTACTTACATATATATGATCCAAAAACAGAGTCTTGTACATATGATTTGGAACTCATGGCATACCTTGCAGCTTTAGAATGTGGAAGTTTATAGTATCCAGCATGGTGACCAAACTCCTTAACAGAAGGCCCAGGAGCACCGAGCACAGGGAACCTGAATTGCTTTTCAACAATCTTCGAAGTCTCAACCGTAAGGTCATCGGTACCAGCATTAACAACATCTTTTGGGAACAAGTTAAGTCCTCTAATAAGCTTTTCCGCCGGTATCTTTGCCAGGCTAGAAGTGGGAGAAAAGTGAAGTTGGTTCTTCCTTGGGAAAACAGCTTTAGCGGAGAATGCTGAAAAGAGCAGAAAAAGAGAAAGCAAAAGGAGTTTTTGACAGAAAGTTGAGGCCATTCTTGAGAGATAATGCAACACAGCAACAGTAACAGGTCTTGTTAGGTTTATATAGAGTTTAAGTTGATCAAACCCCACTAGGAAACAAAGTCCAAATACAAAGAAAAAGGATAATTAACTGTCACTAGCTTTTTCTGTTCTCTCCAGCTGTGTGAAACTACTGATTATTTTGCATACTTAAATCTTAATGAATCTCCATAGTGATTTACACAGCTGGATTTTTTTTTTTTTGACTTTTTTCATTACCAGTAAATGTTGCCAAGAAAATGAAGCATACCAAATCTTTAGAGTCAAGACATAATAATTTTTCCTCAAGAATTTCACAAATATATATTTTGATAATTTCTCAAATATTAATTTAAGGCTATAATTATGACTAATAGCATGAAATCATTAATAAGGAAATATTGTTTCAGTGACCCACTCATTTGTCTTAACGATTTACATAAACAGTAACTTAATAATTTGTACCCTTTTTTTTCTCATTAACAAGCAAAGGTAACTTTTGTTTTAATATTTGAAGTAGCAAAGCTCAAGAATTTCCTATAACCTCCTTACACCCCCACTAACCCCACTATTTCACCAACTTCCCACTTTTTTATACAAAAAAATTCAATTTCTACTTTCATCCTAACGATGGTAAATTTTTTTTTGTCCACAGCAGATAAACTACATTCATGAATTTGTCTCAGTTTTTCTTATATTAAATTTAGCTTTCATGAATTTGAAAAAGGGTGATTTGAATTTAAGATTTGGAATCATCCAAAAGTTTTAATTTAATTTTCAAATCTTACAAGAATCTATATATAGATTCATCAAACTTTTATAAAGGAAATTATGGACCTGAAATAGTGATGATCCTCAAAATCATTAATCCTTGACTATAAAATGGATAGTTACATCAGACAGTTGATTTTATTATCTTCATAATTAATTCATTGAATTTAACCAACAAATCAAATTAAAGTTCATCCTAAACTTTTATTATTCAAACAAATCATCATTAAACTGATTTGGAGCATCGAAACTAATGTCCCATATCAAATTGCTCGTCTCTATCATCATGTTATTAAAATTTGCGCTCATTAAAACTTGTAGAAAGATTACTCATCATAAGTTTCATTAGGCAAAAGTTTGTAGTACATGACTTGCCTTGGCTTGTAAGGTTCGCCACCTTTGCTTTTCATTCAGGTTATGTATATCTTTTACCATGACAATATCTTTTTCTTTTAGAAAGAAATTGACTGAGACAGCTTGGGTCATATTTGTTTGACATGAATAATGGAGTTTGTGTACAATATTCACGTTTCCTTCTTTATCCGGAATTCTTGTTTCATGAAACCTAGCTATAACAGGCTCTCTCCTTCTTTATTTATTTTTCCTGATCCTATTCAATAATAGGAAATTGGGCTTTCAAGACAAGTTTAGAACAACAATGTTGCGTACAAGACATCGAAAACCTGATAAAATAAAAGGACTAAAGGATCCCCAAACATGGCGAAACATTTGACTTCACTCAATGTTTGAATTGACTGAAGAATGAAATGAAAGGAACCTGGGATCTTCCTAAGGACACTTTCCGGTACCCATCTTATTTATGCCTTTACGAGAATGTGATTTGATCATCGATGGCAGCAAAATGAAATGCCATTGGCTGTGTTCTTTCTCCTTTTTTTTTTTTTTTATGGATTCTACAACTTTAGAAGCCACACTGTTTGCAACCTTTGTCAAGAATCTTAACTCTACTTTTGACTAAACAGATTTGGCGTCACTAACTTTCGCATTTATATGAATTATTTGGTGCGAAAGAAAGGGCTTTCAAGATTAGCAAAGAATGTGAAAGAAACGGCTAAGAAACCGGGAAATTAATAAACATGGAGACTTGTCTTGTATATATGTGGCATTTTTAAAATGTTCAGTGTCATGTTTGGGTTGGGATTATTTTTAACAGATTCTTTCGTTTCTGCTAACCTTTAATTGCAATGCCATCTCACATCGTTTGTGTTGGAAGATATATGGTTCACAAAAAACATGAAGGAAGCTGATATTTTTGCAGATCGAGAAGTAGTTATTGTTATTCTCCTGCAAATGTCTTTGCCATCTCTTGTCCCCATGTTTATCAGCTTTCTTTTTCACCCTATCACTATGCATGATAAAAAAAAGTACAAAATGCACAACCATGACCATTTTCCAAATATAAAAATTTAACTAACAAAATTACTTAACAGATATATACAACAAATTATTAAAAATGGTTTCCCAAATGGTTTATTCTCTCATCACACTCCAAAATCTCCAAGATGTGACAGATCTTGCCCATAGGAATAATTAAATAACAGCCGTAGGCGTAACACGATACTATAAAATATGCTGATTTATGGATATCCTGTTTGTAATACATTATACAGAAGGTTGCTTTGTCTAAGTAAGTGTTAAATTTTGGTTCTGCCAGCAATTGCAGTCGAACCCAAAGGCAGCTCATTAAGCAAGGAGAATAGGCAAAGGCTAAAAGCTTGACTTATGAGTTATGACATAACTTTTGCAAGTCTAGCCCTTATTTCTTTTAGTTCTTCCTCATTATCAACTTCTTCGGCTATAGCTACTTCCTGTGGTGCTGCCTGAGCTGGCTGCTTCATCTTCTCCTTCCTGACTGCTTCTGGGAGCTGTGGAACAGTCTCACCAGCAATTGCTGTCAAGACCTTGTCAACTTCTTCTTCCATCTCCTTCGAATCCAGTGCATTGTCAAGATTGGCTGACCGCTAGCACCAAAAGTTTAATCTATTCGAAAATCCCCTAACATTTATATCCAAGTTACCAATGGGAACCACACGTAACCAACAAGGCTACATTGGACAATAATAGCTCAGGCTGACACATAACTTACAGTTAAAGGCAACAAGATAGAAGCTCAGATATCATTAGCAATAAAAATATATACAGCCAAAACAAGGTGTTCTGACCAAACGAAAGGTCATCATTTATCTATATTTTTGGTATTTGTAAAGTCAAATTGATCAAGAACAAAATCGTTTTTCTTATGTTCTTCTTCGTTCTTTTAGATTGGATCGGTTGACATTTCATGACCAGAAAAGACCGTTAACTGGTCAATTATTTTCTTTTGCTCTTCTCACATTTCCATTTCCCCTTTTTTGGTTTCCAATTACTATTGGAGAATGGATCAGGCAGTCCCAATTGCTACATGGCATAAGTCGTGGGACCTTTTTTTGGACCCAAATTTACCCAAAGTTTTGGGCTATTGTTAAAGACTAAGAAAAATGCCCATAACTTCCCTGCTTGTGGAAAAGAGTTGAGTGAGCTCAAGTGGAAAAGATTGTTCACCAAATTACAAGAAAATATGTCCACTTCTTTGCTTTTCATGGAGGAAAAAAGGTTGTTCTATCTATTGCATGCAAAATATGAAAATTTTTCTTTTCTATAACTAATGTTTGGTTCATATATATATATATATATATACACACACACAAAAGATAAGAAAGCGAACCCCATTACTCATTCCCAATCTTCTTCCATTGTTTAATAGGAAACCCAACCTTGACTTCCCCGATGATGATCATATTGATCGGTCTGAATATAATTTTGAAATTAAAGAATATATAAGAAAAACAACAAACTTATAATATCCGAAATTATATATATCATGTACCTAAACCTTCTTACCTTGTCTTTTAAACTTTTTTGTTTTTGTTTTGGTTTTATTAATTCATTCCCATCCAATTTATGTAAACTATATATTTATATATTTCAAATATGAATATAAGTGGGAATGGAATTTTTTAGCTTTAAAGCCTAATTTTCATCAAAGGGAATTATCCAAGAGTCGATAGAGCATGATGCCTTCATTTTTTGGACTTAAAAGACAAGCTTATAAAATTGTATATTACAAAAATATTTATAAGAAGATAATAAGCATTTTCTCACCCACTTGTTGAAAAATTTTCTTTTTATTTATTTATTTATACATATGGTTGGACATTGCACATGCTTGGCTTTCCAATTTTGAATTTTATATATGTAGTCAACGTTCTCTTTTAATTCTAAGGATAATTCATGTCTTTCATAGAAAATGTTTGAATTAATCAATATACACCAAATTAGACTGTCTAATTCAAAATAAAATAAAGGACAAAACAAAAAAATATTTTATGGTTGTATACAATTTGTCACTAAACAATTAAGTTTTAAAATGAAATTTTCTGTTTACTTTTTTGCATCAAATTTGAGTTCAAGCATAGGACAATTAATTTGTAGAAAAAATGGGGCTTAAATTAAATAATCAAACAATTAAGTTGGAATTTCTTTTATTATTATTTTTAGTTGTGAAATTGGCAAATGTTAAAGGACCGATGATTCATCAACTTGTGTATATAGGCAGCTATATTGTAGGGGTCGAGACATTGTCTTCAGTTGATTCGAATCCTGTCATATCATGTCAGTTAATGCTTGTGAAGTCATGAAAATCTTGATAAAAGATAGCATGAAAGCTATGTTTTTGGTGGCCAAAATGCAAAAAAAAAAAAAAAAAAAAGCACAAATTCGACCTAATCCCAAATTTAAAACTAACATTTGTAAGTGTATGCATATAATATATTATATATGCAGTGGATGAATTACACTGACAATTTCATTTTATGATTTGGGTCCTTAAGAACTAATCTTACCGATGAATAATTTGCACGATATAAACAAGAAATTAAGGTGAAAATTATAGAAAGTAATGGATGCTATTGGATTTTTTTTTCTTAATCACACCCTAAAAAAAACTATAACTAATTAATTTCTTGCTTTATTGGATTAATGTATACATCATTTTTTGAGTTACCATTGAATTTGAATTCGGAACCTTTAATCTTAAAATCAATTTCAATACCTCTAATAAAAAACCTAACTAATAAATTAAATAGTTGTAAAAGATGAAAATGAATAATGAGGCAGAGTTAATTTTGTGAAAACATCTAGAAGATCATATATGGGGCCCATGTATCACATTCAATTCTTTGAATTTCCATGTTCAATTATTTTTGTATATTTTTTCTTCAAAAAAAAAAATTCTTTCTTTAAATAATAATATGACTCCTGCTTTTATTGGTGCACATTGTGCTTAGTCAACTATCTAATCATTCAAGTGATTCCATAGGCTTAACAGTTGACATCATTTTTAACCGTCTCAAAACTTGTAAAGCAATGCCGTAACTGTTTTGACATTGAAAGTTTCGAATATGATTGGCTTTTAATGCCAAATCCGTACAAGTACTTCCTGGATTTGTTCAACTTACATAAATTTGTATGGGTTTGAGGGTTTAGGATTTGTCGGTGATCGAAGAGGTCCCATGCATTCAATCACGTAGACCACAGCCGGCCCAGCACTCGAACATAGACAGTTTTGTCAACTTCTTCATCGTGTTTAGTCTAGGCATTCTCATGCAATATTGATATACCTGTCAGAAAAATATGTCTTTGAAAATTATTAGATACCAAATTAATCTGTGAATTGATATCTATCCATTAAAACAGTTAGTAACGTTTTCAGAACCAGCCAGGACAAGTTGTCTAGTTTATTGAAATTTGCTGAGTGTAACTTTCATTTTGATTTTGAATGATGTAAAAGACGTAGGAAAATTATGCATATATTATCATAAAGTCTGAATGATAAGACATATATATTATAATTATAAGATTGCTAAAGAGGAAAATAAAAAATCTAAACCAATTTTGCAATATATAGAATAAGTAAGAACTAAAAGCTGATTCATATCTGTACATCACGGTAATGGTATATAGCACAGAAGGAGCAGCATATTTTACATTAAATCCTGAATTTCATGCCATATGATCTGATTGAATACATTATAATTAACCACTCAACCACCAGCTTTTGTTTGAAGCACTGAAATTAATCAATACTCGGATGTTATTACTTTTTTTTTCTTAGATAGGAAACAGTTTTAGTTAGGCAATTTAATGTTACTTGTAACTAATGTTTTGTTGATATACTGTATTCGTTTTGGCACTCGAAGACGTGCTCTAAAGAAAAAAAAAAAACCCTTACTTATAAAGTCACAACCCAATTTATATTATTAGATGTGATATGTTTCCTTTTCAGCATGTTTAATTGATAAAATAAATCATCCCATCACCTGTTGAGTATTGCCAATTTAATTTCCTCTCTGATTATCTTTTTGTTCATGCTTCCAAGCAACCATTGCATTTTTTTCTACTTTCCGTCTTTTCAGGTTACATCCCCTGATAAACAGCTTTGGTCATTTCCATTATTTCGCTTTGATTACGTACTTCGGATCTGTTTCCTGTTGAAAAAGTTAATTAATCAACATCATTATTCAATTTTCTTATTACTAATCACTTTTTGTCAAACATAAAACAGGCGTTTTTATAGGGTAGGTTAGGTCTAATTACTTATTTAGTATTGGAGAGAGAAAGATAAAGAAAATATGATTCTTCATTCGCTAGCATGCAAAGAACAGGTGGCCTGGAGAAATTGCGACCTACCGATCAGAGCAATTATGAAAATTAAACCAGGAATATTATGTCTACCCAAGACTGCCTATTCACTTGCAAGCAGTTCAACAAGTTTGAATTCTTACAACTTACATCCAAATTCCGACAACTACTTTGCCCCCATATATCCCCCATGAAAGTCCACTAGACACGATAAAAACTCCACTTGTATGAGAAAGTCTCGAGTTCTTCAGTCACCCTAAACCGATGAGGAACTCAATTAATAGTGGTTAATGTGAAGAGTCAAAATCAAATAAGTAACTATATAATAATAAGAAACATATTAAATCGTTTCACTGACAATCTAGTGTCGATATATGGCTAACTGGTACAAATACAATGACTTTTGATCAACCGATATGTGATAGAAAATAAAGAGGCCCCAAGTCAATCGTTTTGCCAATGAAACTTTGAAGCAAAGCTTAAATTAAGAATTAGCCAACAGATTAAACAAGGGTGGAAATAGGAAATACTTTATCTGATAGGAGTTGGATCAAAACATATCCAACCTTTGCGCTAAAATGCTGACTATTTATCAATCTACGAAGCAAAGATTTAAACATTCCCATGTGCATTTTCCTAAAAAATCCTAATTTGAACCTTGTCGTATAACATATAACACACTAATTGCCCGACCTCAATAAATCAACTTTACTAGTTGTGGATGAAATTATTAATTAGCATATTGCAAGCTTATGCAAACATCAATCGTACCATAGTTTTTGATTTGATAAATACATGCTTAAATTCTCTCAAGCTCACAATTTCCAAAGATCTAACCAGCATCAAAATAAAAACATTGTTGTAACAAGAGATTTGCTCATGTCAGCTTCATACCAACATGAATATATAATAGCATTTGTTAATGGCATCCCTCAATTAGATTTTTAATTAAAAACTACAATTTGTATAGACACATTATTTGACCGAAGTGACTGCAAAATATAAGCAGTGTTACTATCGTACTTAAGTAGAAGCAACTTATACATCATTTAAAGCTTGAGATTTTCAATTTGGTAATCTTAATTATATTTGAATTTTGAGATAAAATGGTGAAATATATAAGATGAGATAAGATTTACTCAATAAATTAAATCTTCATGTGTTGAAATAAAGAAAGAAAAAGCAACAAATTTGAGATGGTAAAGACATTCATCAGTCATCACAATGCATCACAGTATAATCTTCCCACAACATCATTTTCCCAAAGAAAGTCAAAAACATTTTTACTTTTATAATATGTCCAAGAATTCATTGATCATCCTCATTTTTTGTTAACTGTAATCAAACCAAAACTGCTCTGCCCCATGAAACTTTCCATTAATTTTTTTTTCCTTCCTTGCGTCTCTTACCTTTACTTCTCAAAGTGAACAAACAGAAGTAGCAAGTTTTCTCATAAAAGCAATGAAAAGGAAAATAACTGATGCATCGTATATTAGAAGATGAACAATCTTTCCCCATATTGATGATCAGTTTTTCCATGTTTTGTCACCATGTATAACTCCCCCATCAACCAACTTATCGCCTTACCTGTATGGTGGAGCCATTAATCTACTTATTTATACCAACTGCATTGCCACACTCTTCCATACATAAACCTATTTTCAACCTTCAATTTTTGGTCCCTAGATCCCAATCTGCATTTAACCATATAGCCACTTTTTTTTCACTATTGGTAGTCTGATAGTATTCTATGCCTTCTCATTTCTGTCTCCCGTTTATGGCTTCCATTTTCTCTCTGTTTCTTGCTTTTCTCATGATTTCCTCAAGCAATGGCCAGGGTCAACCTTCCCCTGGATACTCCCCCAGCTCCAGGGTTAGTTCTGTGAACTTTGATCAAGGGTTTAGAAATCTATGGGGTCCTCAGCATCAGAGAGTAGACCAGGGTTCATTAACAATCTGGCTTGATAAAAGCTCAGGTGCTTGCGCTTGCACATCCCATTGTGTTTTTCTTTTTCTTTTTTTTTTTTTTTTTTTTTCACATGGTTTTTTTCTCCTGCTCCTAGAGATGATCAGTCACTAGAATTATGTGCTTATTCTTTTCATTATGGTGAAAACAGGAAGTGGTTTCAAGTCACTTCAGCTGTACCAATCCGGATATTTTGGTGCTGCCATAAAGCTCCAATCTGGTTATACAGCAGGAGTCATTACATCTTTTTATGTAAGATTAATAATATTAATTAACATACACAAAATTATTGAGGTAAATCAAAATTGTTTAACTAGTCTGACGAAGTTTGATGTTCTGCAAATTGACAAATTGGCAGCTTTCAAACAATGAAGATCACCCTGGAAACCATGATGAAATTGACATCGAGTTCCTTGGAACAACACCAGATAAGCCCTATACTCTGCAGACTAATGTGTATATTAGAGGAAGCGGGGATGGAAATATAATTGGAAGGGAAATGAAATTTCATCTATGGTTTGATCCAACACAAGGCTACCATAACTATGCTATACTGTGGACCCCTAGTGAGATTATGCAAGTATCACCTTTTTTCAATATTCAGATTATCAATTTTAGCTTTTCTACGCTTTAATTATACATTCATCGCATGCATGACTACATCCATTTCATGCATGCATGCTTTATCTCGATTTTTATTTTCAATAATTTCGCTGTGAAATTCCACTAATTACACAAAGCAACCTTATTTATTTTAGCTTGTTTCACCAAAAAAAAGAAAAAAGAAAAAAGAAAGTAAAATCTATCCTAATAAAGTAACCCACTGTCCTTAAAAAAACTGGAACTGAATTCTAAACTTGCAAGTTTGGTTAATCTCTGCAATTCTTCCCTAAATTATGGAGTAAATGTTTTATGATTCATTCAACAGATTTTTCGTAGATGATGTGCCCATTCGGATGTACCCAAGGAAGAGTGACGCCACGTTTCCCACAAGACCGATGTGGGTGTACGGATCGATATGGGATGCTTCATCTTGGGCCACGGAGAATGGAAGATACAAGGCTGATTATAGCTACCAACCCTTCATTGGTAGGTACAAAGATTTCAAAGTAAGTGGCTGCACCGCCAATGGCCCCGCCTCCTGCCGCCCGCCCTCTGCCTCACCATCCGGCTCTGGAAGCCTTAGTCGACAACAAGTGAAGGCCATGACTTGGGTCCAAAGGAACTATTTGGTGTACGACTATTGCCATGACCCTAAGAGGGATCATACTCAAACACCTGAATGCTAATTAAGAATTGGTTATTAAAATTTTACAAGATGCAATATTTTTTATAGTTGTTAAATTGGAGGGTTCCTTTAGATGGGTCCTGCTTCCAGGAACAGGTGCAAGAGTGGTTGAGTGTCCAAAGCCCTCTAAGATTTGCATGTCTTTGTTGTTTTGTTATTGGAATAAAATGATTATAAAAGTGTTTTTATAAAGAAAGAAAAGTACATAGGAGAATTTGACATGAGACATCAAAGAAGGTTTTCAATGTTTGTATTCATTTTGCTACTATTAATGGAAAGGCATGGTTTTTCTTTCCTTTTGTTTGTGTAATAATGAATTTGCCAGCCTTTACCAAATCTAAAACAGAGGAAAATAGTTTGGGTTTTTGATTGGTGAACCCCGGTATTGTCTTGCCTCTCCTTGCAAACATGTGATGTTTGGATTGCATTTTGGACCACAAAACGATTGTGCGGTAACTTCACGTGGGTGAATTTTGCTAGCTATATTGTGAATGTTTTGGTTCCTAGGCCCTCATCTTTGACATTTCTGGTTATTCACTTTATCCCAACTGGAAATGGGTTATTAGGATTTGAATTTATGTAGAAGGGGGTGTAATTTGGAGCTAATTAAACATTGAAACTAGAAATACTTTTCAGTACCTGCTTTCTTTCCCAGCTCATAGTAGTTACGAAATATTTCATCCTGGTTAGAAACTTGGAGATCTTATCTATTTAGATTTCATTTGGAAGTGGAATGGAAATTAAGGGGTGTAATGTGGATTCTCACTGATCTCCTTCCAAATAAAGCCTTACATGGCTAAAGAGGCAAAATCTCTACCAAGCAGCTAGTAGCAGGAGCAGCTAGCCAACTGGTTTTTTGGCAACTTGTTACAATCTTCAACTGAACTCATGATCAGATCAGAGGGCAGTGCCTAATGGTTTTTCCCATTCCTTATCCATATAAGGTGTATAAATACCTTGTAGCTATTGGGGAACGTGACATCCCATCTTCCATTGAGTTAGTTTTTTTCTTCATGTTATTGTTGAATAACATATGATTCTTATCTCTACAATAGTTGAAATTAAACCTGCTAAAAGAAATGCCTATCTGTTGAGCAATGTAGCTAAAGATTTTTAAGACTATAAACTAGTATTTAGAATTAAAAGTAGCTAAAAGAAGAAATAATGATGAGGATGGTTGCAAATTGAAAAAGTATTGTTGTCTGTTTCCCTACTATCAAATAGTTATGAGAAGCCACATTGTGACATAGAGGATAACAAGCAACAATTAATTCCAAAATAATCAAATGGACATCTGACATGTCTATATCTGTATTATGTAAATATCTGTAGATTTTTATTTTATTTTTTATGATTACTTGCGTGATTTGGTAACTAAGGCATCTATTCATGGCAAATAATATTTTTTTAATTATATTTTCGTTTGCTAGTCTGGACTTTGAAGGCCCAAAAACATTACAACCTACAGTTTCATGTCATCTGGGCCCATTAAGCACTTTAAGGTAATAACAAGCCCAAAAAAGCTTTTTCTTTTTTGAAGAAAAAAGCCATTATGAATAAATAACTTGATAATTTTTTTGAGATAACTCAATAAATTAAGTTAATATCTAAAATAAAAGCTTAATTTTTTTCCTAAATAGTGCCATTATAATTTTTAATTAAAACCCTCAACAAACATGGCTCAGGATTGATAGCAACCATCGCATCTTTCATCAAGGAAATGATGAAATCTATTGAAGCTGCGTCCAAGGGATATTGCTTTCTGCTGAGCTGAACAGGAAATGAGACCCTGGCGATTACGCGGTCGCATTTGAATTGCTATATTCTCATTATAAAACGCCTGTAGCTGAGCTTGGGACGAATATCTGGAAGTAGACTGTGATCCACCCTTACTGTGAAATTCGGAAAAGGATGCAGGAGTCTCTTCTTCAGCAAGTTCATATGAAGCGAATGAGTGAATCTGTGGATCAGGAGTTGATGAAAAAACTAATCAAGATGTTGACGGATTCTTCTGTCTTTGAGGAACCTTTTCTTAAGCATTCAAGCTAGTTTTAAAGGCTTGAATCTCTGAAGCTCGTTGAAAGATGCAATAGTTATGAAAACTACATCAATGAAGTTGACCGGAATTGTGATCAAGAAAATACGAGAGTGACCACCTACTTGGATTCCAAAACCAAAGACAAGATAGTTCAGGCCGTAATGAAGGAAATGGTACAAAAGCAAATATTCACTCTAGTTTTGGTAGGTTTGTTCCATGTCAGAAAGGAATTCCTTTGAAGTTTTTTCATGGATAAGTACGTACTTAATGTACATTGTACACACTTGACTTTCATTTTGTTAAGAATAGGGATCAACGATAAACACTATACTATACATAGTTTAAAACTAAATTTTCACAGGAAATGCATGGAAGATGCAACGCTAGGATCATGCATTAGCAACTGGACTTTGTTCTTAATTAAAAGTGAAGATAGTACAGTAGTTTACTGCTATACATGGATTCTGAAGGCATATGAAACAGCAATGTGTCAATTATGTTGTAAACTATACTATTAGGTCCAATATATATACAAGTAAGCCCACGTTCATCTGCTTAATTAGATTCTGATTCATCAGTTATTCAACTCAAACAATTTACCCAAATAAGAATCGCAGGCATGCATCCAGCAATCAAAACTTGCAAATCTGGTGGTACGTAAAATGAGAAACTGTCAACATTAATTAGATTCAAATCTCAAATCTATTACGATTCACTTAAAATTTACATATCAGGCTTAACGGTACATGGACAAAACATGTTATTTGTTGCTTTTTGTATTTTTGGTCAAGGCTTCTTTGAATAAACCGACCTTAGCTCAGTTGGTAGAGCGGAGGACTGTAGTGGGAATAATCCAACAGATAATCCTTAGGTCGCTGGTTCGAATCCGGCAGGTCGGATCTTTTTCATATTGCTGCACTTGGTCAATTGTCAATTAATCTAGCTGATTTTGGCACCTCAGAAAACAGAGTATAGATTTCATTTTTCTTTTTCGTCGAACCATTTAGACCAAACAATATAGAGAGGAAAGTTTTCCTCAACTCCCTTCAGTTGCATCATTCATAAGAGTTGGAATGATGCCATAAGAATCACTGTTTTTTACCAATATTGAGCTGACAGTAGCAAAATTTTTCACAACGAGCGCCTTTACGATGCCGTAAGAAACACTGGTTTTACCACAGGAAGCAGAACCTGATCTTCCTATCAAGTGATTTCAATAGAATTAGAAGTCTCTTTTTAAGTTCAAGGTTCGTCGATCACTCAAAACAAATGAAGCAGCAAACAAAGTACAAATGCAGTGAAACAAACAACGAAGGAGCCGTTGCTGCTGACACCGGAAAATGAAAAGAACCCCGAAATTCAAAACCTATTCAGCTATCAACAATATGGCGTTGGGCCCAGTTAACCCAGCAATGCATGGTTCTGTTTGTTAGTTTTCATGACAACGTGTTTCGTGACCAGAGACTCCACCAAGTGCCCCCCACTACCCTTTCTTTGAGGCACTCAGACATTTTTAGCTCTTCACTATGGCCTATTTTAACTCTCTCTCCTCTGACAAATTCTTCTCCATAGAAACTACCCTCGTTTCAAGCCATTTGCAGGGCAATTCCCTTCTCCCCATAACAAAAGCTAATTTTTTTAGTTTTAATCACATTTTTCTATTCAAGGTATGTGCTTTTCCAAACTTTTGCAGGATTTGGGCATTTCTCAAAAGTAATCACTTCAAAGAAAATGTACAAAATAGATTTAAGTGGATGGCCAGATGGGCTGTCTTGTGTTGTCCCTAAAACTATCTAATGTGTATTATATACCAAAAAAAATTATATTCTTTAACCATTTACAAATGCCATACCCTTTTATATTTACTAGTATTAAGCATTTCTCCGATGCTTTAAGTGGCCCCAACGAGTCACCGTATAAAAATAAAATTCCATCCGAGCTGTCCTCCATTATAAACCCCATGCAGCATGCAATCGCATCCTTGTTGGGAAGAGCACCTCCTTAGCTGGCAACTCAATCGCCCATATCTAACCCATCTGACGTGTTTTCTTCCTATTGGCTTGAAACCTTTGACCTTCTGTACGATCGGTCTAGCTTACGGTAAAGCGAGTCGAGAACCTGCCATGTGGCATCCCCTTCTTGCATCGGATCATTGAACAGTAGGGCCCGCGTGACAGCTGGGTTCCACAAGTTCCTCTGAATGGTTGACAAATTAGTCGCCGCTACGTCTTCCAGGATTCTCCCTAGCTTCCCAACGTCCCTTTCCGCCGCTGTGAGTGAAATCTCTGGCCACTTCACGGTGGAGGGAAATGGTAACCGGATTCCATCAGCTATAATCACCGGAACGCAGCCCAAAGCCACGGACTCAACAAGCCTTGGGCTCCAGGGAGCCCACCCAAGTGGACACAAACAAAAAACCGATCGGACAATCTCTGACTTGTAACCAGCAAAGCCATGTCTTTGCAAGTAAAACCTCCGGTCTCCATTAAATCTTCGCCAAATTTCCGTTCTCACCCTCCTGAAACCAATAAAAAATACCATTAAACATGGATAAACACGTGATTTTCAATGCAACGATCAAAGCCAACGTCGAACATGATTGAGACTTTGTTTTTGGAATTTACTTGCTATAAAATTTTCCACTAATGTTTTTGGGGTGGACCTCCATTTTGCCCCTGAAAAAGACTATGATGTCTCGGTTCCCGGTCAACGGAGTTTTCTCGAGGGTCTTCCTTACACTTTCCGGCGGTATATAAGGCGGTATAAGAACATTTTCTACGTCCTGACAAGGGTGCTTGTATTTAACCCCGAAAGTTTGTAATATTATCGAGTTCTTCAAAAACTCTGGAATCCCATCATCAATAGCTCTATCCTCCTTTAAAAAGAAGAACAGAAATTAAGAACAGATTAAGGGTTCTTAAAAAAGGGGTTTTGTTTTTAGAAATTAGTTTTGCTTACCATGGCATGGAAGCAGGCTCCATAATCATGGGAGGCAACGAAGATGTGGTCGGAACCTAGGGAGCGGTTCCAGAAAGGGTGGTTTGTGGAGATATATTGGATTGCGGAGGATAAAAGAGAGCGAGCATGGCCAATGGCAGGGAAACCATTAACAGTGCTGAAATTGCAGGAGACGTAAACAGGAACGAAAAAGAAATCAGCTTCGTAAGGGTTGAATGTTCTCAAGTCGTAGGTGTTCATCAAGGCTCTGTGAATAGCCACCTCCGAGGCAAACAAGTGGTTGCTGCACCGCTTGTTGGAAAGCCAGTCTTCGTTGTATCCTGATGGCAAGTCGTAGATGTATATCTTAAGGTCTTTGAACGAAGCTGCCAAAGAAAAAACAAATCACTAAAAAGATTGCTACTAATTCAAAAGAAAAAAAAATGGAAAAGCTTGGTAATAGAAGAGGAAGGAAAAAAAAACCTGGATTGGGTTTGGATTTATGACTAGTTTTGTTGACAGATTCAAGCAAGATACGAGAAGCTAAGGAGGATTGGGAACCAGAAACACGGGTTTTTGACCAAGAGATTGACTTGTTACTAATGAAGAGAGAGGTGAGAAAATAGAGGGTAAAAGAAAACCAAAGAACCCATTTGTAGTATTTGAAAAAGAGACTTTTTTCAGATTGTCTGCCATTATGTAATATCCTCATCTTAACATAGAACCCTCTGTTTTTCTTGGTGGGTTTATCTCATTTATTAAAAGAAAAACACCAGGAAACACACAGAAGAAACAAGAAGCTGAAACAGAAGATTTGCCCACGGATGATGATTAAAGGGCTTAGCTTTGGCTAAAGCAAAAGCAGTAGAGATGGGGCTTTAGCTTTCTGGTTTTGATGATGAAGTGGAAATTGAGTGATTGAAAGATAGATACAGGTTGGTTGGCACTTCGTTTTTGCACAAAAAAAAAAAAAATTAAACAAATTGGATCATCTTCGAATATGTTATTACATAACAAGTTTGGCTAGGTTCAGCTTTCATCAATGGAAAAATTAAGAACTTTTTAGAGAGAGAGAGGTCAAATGGCAGTGGAGCAGAATTGAACTCGGCGTTGGTCTCGGTTTCTATGTTCTGTTTTTGGTCCCGTGAGGATTTTTCAGGTTTAATGAAACAAATGCCATTGGCGAACTAGTATTAAACGTGGCATATTGGGATTACTTTTTGATAAAATGAAATGATAGTCTCGTGTTAACTGATAAGCTCACGCTAAGCATTGGATTAATGAAGCTGACAATATAATAATAAACCTCCGTCTGCTGAGTTTTTTAATGAATGAAAGGTAGGTCATAGTTGTTACATTGGTGTTTGATCAATGGTTGAGATCTTTTGGGTTTGATTGAAAAACACTTGAATGCTTGGAACTTGGAAGGGAGAGACCATGTGATATTTATTATTGGCCCGGGTTCTTAAATATGGAAATTAAGGCAGTTGTACCTTTTTAATAGCCAAATGAAAAACAAACTCAGAACTTAACTACCGTTATTATTCAGTTAGTTTGTTAGGGATACCTTTGTTGTTAGTAGTTTTTCGCATCGATAACATGTTTTGTCTTTTGTCAGTTAATCATACCATTTCTTAGAAAAATGGTGAATGAAAATGAAATGCATGCATGGCCACACACAGATCATCAACAACCAGATGCTTCTTCTACAAGAAGAATATGAGAGTGGGACGACTTTGATTGTTTGTTGTTTTTTGAAAAGTCTCGTAGTCGTGCACTGCAAGGAGAGAAGAGAAGCTAACATAAATGGAGGACCAGACAGTTGGCACCCTCATACAAACATGAAACAGCAATAGCTGTTATTATAACAACAAAAATTGTAACTATGTAAGCTTCAATTTCATGGTGGGAAAGGTATATTTTCCTTGAAACATTCAAGATTTTTATTAATTGCGGGAGTGTCCAAAGCACTTCCCCATGATGGTTGGACTTTGGGTGCGTTTCTCTTACTTTATCTTACTTACCATCAAGTATTTTTTAGACTTTCAGTTACCAAAAAGAAAATGATTTAGTGGCACATGTGTGAGTGCATTATAGAGGCGTACGGTTGGAGTTTTGCAGCAGATTGAATAACTGAATTGTTTACAAGCAAAACATTCGTCAGAATGGCTTTCTCAACAAAAAATTCGTCATGATCTCTGCACTGAAGTGAAGTTAGGAGGATGTTGCCTCTTTTTCTCTTGTTGGCAAAGCAACAGTGTATGATAGCAAAAACAAAGCAAATGGTTTCATTTGAAGGGAAATGTAAACTGTTCCTATATGTCCAGGAGCAACATTACCAAATTCCCTAAAGTACAAAGCAATGATCACTTCAAATTTAATTTGAGATTCCAAGTACAAACCAAGGAATTACTTAGGGTCCCTCCAAGACAATACCTTGACCCCAAAAAATCAGCTAATAATTCATTCTTGATGAAGTTTTGGTTGGACAATAGACCTGTTTCATTTCATCATCATGGGTGTAATTGTGGAACTTTTTTGGGAGTCATTATCATTAATGTGGTGATCTTGAGTTAAATTATGCTCCTACAAAACTTTTTGGATACTTTTAATGAAGATTAAGGAGGCTTTTGCTTCTTAAAAAATTTTGCATTTTGTTCTAAGTACTGTTATAGATTTCAATCTTATGCTCTGACATGATGAAATTGTAGTTTTGTTTTACAGTCACCAGGAGTGAACTATTCAGAACAAGAGTTGAACAGAACCTGTGTTCAAACAGGGTGAGTGTGATCCATTCAATCATTTTTTTTGTGCAGAGAGAAAAGAAAGAAAGGAAACCTAAGAAACAGATGGACCATCGTCCGAAGGGCTAAAAGCCCCATTGATAATATTTGTATGAAGGAAACATTCAATCATCCAAACTATAATATCCAGGTGGATGGAGCTGTGCTTTAGGCTTGCATCCTTTCATCTCATTGCTCTCAACGGATCATCTGGGACCATTGCAATTATTCAATTAACCTTTAAAAATGTGGAAACACGAAGGCCCCTTTCTAGTGTTTATTTGGATCAAATTCCTCTGCCAAATAATCTCTTAACAAATTGCAACCATAAAATTGCTTGAAATAGTTGCCCAATAATTAAACCTGTCTGTCTAATGCAGGGCTGCGCTCCCTGCCCTAAAAGTTATGAACGCGTTGAAGAAAACGGTTTGAAAGGGTCCCCCATTTGAGGACCTTAAATCTAAGAAGCCGAAAATTTTGTTGGCAGTACAGGCCCTACTTCTTTGATGAGTGAACTGTCCAAGCACATGCTAGGCCAAATATTTGTGCTGGAACAAGAAAACGAATGTGCTAAATTATTGGTAAAAGGAACCGTTTGTCAAAGGAGACAAACATATAACATATAAGCAAATTGCCATGTTTCCACTTGCTCATGGGAGGGAACACTGAAGGCTTAGTTCAACCCTCTTCCTTGACACGACAAATCATTATTTGAGGTACTCATTTTATAATGGATGTTCATAAGACTAGTTAATGATAATGTGGATGACAAACCAATAAACGTGTAGTAGAATTAGATTAGGTTGGGTTAATAAATTGGAGAGTTATTACAGTTTCCCATATTTCTTTCATTGGTCTTCTTCTATCAGAAGACAATGATATGGCTTGTGAAATGTTACAGATTGATATCTGCCATTTCCTGCTTTTGAAAGAATGGGCTTTCAGTCCATCTGGTTTTGTAGAAACCCAAAAGGCTATAACCTTGGAGAAAGGTCAAAAAACAAAAAACAAAACCAAACCTACTTTGCTGCAACTTGCAATGAATCATCTTATTTAATGGGTTGGGCCCTTCTCAAACCCTAACATTTGCTTTCAATTTGCAGGATCTGAGCCTAGAATTTGGCCCAAAGCTAACCCAAAAAAGTCGTAGAAATACTGGGCCAATAACTGGTAACTCTTCGTAACGACATTATTGACATCTTTCAAAGCGCTTGCTTCTAGTTTTGCCGCTAATTGGCACCCATATAAAAAAAAGGGAGGGAAAACTATATACAAAGGAGGAAAGATTACAGAGGAAGGAAACTGTATACAAGTGTTGACAGAATCACACCCAGCTTCAAAAGCCTGATATTTTGAAGAAATATTGAAAATTTTTTGGAAGTTTGTTTATTTTGGAATATATCATTTCAAGATGAAAGCCAGGGAATAAAAACCTCAAATTTATTAGTTTAAAAAAATTCCCAGAAAAAAAAAAAGAAGAAAATTCTTAAGCAAAACAGGGGAAAAAGAAAAAGCAAAAGAAAGAAGGCAGGCTAGAGACAAGGTTCGGAAATTCAAAATTAGGTTCGGTAGCCATTGGCGCCATGCTTCAGGAAGCCGTTAGAGCTCCCAAACCTCCCATCTTATCTTTCTTTACTTTGCCAGTTTTGCCTTTGTTCCTTTGCTTTCTTCTTTTTTTTTTCCTCTTTTATTTCTTTCATTCAATCTTTCCCTTATTCTCTGGGAATCCAGTCTTTATTCTCGATACATGAAAGATCTTAAATTTGCCTCTTTGTTGTTCATTCTAAAGAACAAGTTCAGTTCTTTCTATATCTTCCCACTTCCTTGTTCAATATTTTCCATTTTTTCCTTGGTTCTTTGTCTCTTTAACATTAGTCTTCCTAGTTTTAGGGGTTTCTGAGACTGTTTTCGCAGAATGGGAGGCGAAAAAATGGCGAAAAGATCATCTTTTGGGAGCATTGTGATGAAGAGATTGTCCGATATCACCAATTCACAGTCACATCCCAAGCATTCAAGCCAAGAGGAAAAGCCTCAACATATTTCTCCTGCTGCTGAAAACTACATTAATCAGTTAATCAAGGTATTTTCTAATATGGGTCTTGTCTATTTTATGTTTTTTTTTTTAATAATTATGTTATTTTAGGGGTTGGGTTACTCTGCTCTTTTTCTTTAATGGTTGTTTACATTTGAACCAGGAAAAGATGACACTGATGGAACTTATTGAGGAGAGAAAGTATCCTTTTTTTTGTCTTCTACCAAGTCTTAAATGCTACTTTGATTCTAGTTTTCTGGCATTAAATAAATGGATACAGATTTTTTTTCCTTAATTTTTTATTGAACAGTAGGATTATTGAATTGAGTGGAACTGAGCTGCAGAACCTGAGAATTTGTCTACAAAAATTACAGCTACAGAATTGGAACCTTGCTCAATCAAACAGTCAGATGTTAGCTGTATGTTGGCTTTGTTGATTTTGTCTAAGTATGATTCCATTTCTGAAGTATTTAGTTATTATTAATATTGATTGTCTTTTGCTGGTATTTCAGGAGCTTAATTTAGGGAGAGATAGGGTAAGTTTTTTTGGAACTTTTTACGCTTTTAGAAAAAGTGGTGTTTTGCTTCCTGGAGTTTTTAAACCTATTTCAATTTGGATAAGTTGGTATCATCTTTTCAGGTCAAAGCTCTGCAGCATGAACTTGTATGCAAGGATGCTTTACTTAAAGCAAAGAACCAGGAAAAAAAGGTTAACATTAATCTTACTTTTCGTGGAGTTTAATAATGTTACAATGAACCCATAGCTTTGTACAACCCAGAGGTCTAATAAGCTGCATCCTTACTTGCAAGAACTGGAAGACTTTACTGTCATTTGCTGCTACTGAGATTGGTGTAATTATTTTACATTCAATATGCCTGGATGGAGGAGGAAATTTTCAACAAGAAATGATTTAATTTCACTTCAACCATTTTCCCCCTAAAGAATTCACCTTGTTTTTTCTATTATGAGAACAGGAAAAAGCGGATATCAACAGCCAAAATACTGGCTCACATGGGGGACAGCAAGAAGCTAAGGAGTGCATGCCTAAAGCTAATGATGATGACAAGCCTTGTACCCGCAACAGAAGACGCAATGCTAGAAGTCAATGTAATCATTTAGATTCTTAGATGATTCGCTTGAATTTTCTAGACTACCTTTAATTTTTATTTGTTTTTTATCTCCTCTAAATCTGTTATGTTGGCATATATATATATATATATATGGGATTTGTGAGCTACTTGCAGCTATGGGCCCTTCAACTACAAGCCAAAGAGATGGAGATAAAGAGAAGATTGAAAACAAAAGGTCAGCTAACAAATGCGTTTTAATTGTATTGATGCACTTGACAAGCCTGTGACTTGCTACTTCCAACATAGAAAACCAGTTTTGAAGCGCTGCTTGATTTTCTAATAAAAGTGAAATGCAACTTGTTGTCATGTTCTTGGCCCTTTGTGTGGTTTCCACATCATGCCTCAACTTTTACTATCTTTTTGAATGGTACATTATCTATCAGTAGCTTTTAGCTTTGATTTAATGTTTTCCCTCAACAGAATTTTAACCATCCCCACAGCATTCACCCACCTACTTAATAGAACAAGTCTGTATGTATTTCTTCTTTGTAGGCGTTGTTTGAGAAGGCAATCTGCTAGGTTCAAATCCCAAGAGTCAGAACCAACAGCAGAGAATCTATTTGAGATTGATAATGTTAAAGTTGCGGCTACTCCTATGCATGAAGGTGGTTCAACTCTATTAGGTTCATCCATTATAACGGAAGAAAGTTGTAACCCAAGAGCTGAAACACAAATATTGAAAAGATCTTCAATTGGAAGACCATTACGCAAAGCAGTTGAGAAAGTGCAATCATATAAAGAAGCTCCAGTTAATGTTAAATTGCGGAGAAAAGACTGAACAGCAATCATTCCCCACATTCCTAGAACCATTTCATGTTTATGGCATCTTCCTGTAATCTATGTATTGTTGTCTGGTGGAACTTACATTTTTTTTTAATGATTTTAAAAAGTTACTGTAAAATGAAAAAGTGGAGTGTAGAAATGTGGAAGGGTTTTCTGATTCAGTTCAGAATATTGTGGCCAAAACTTCAAATCAGAATGGCTCGTGACTCACAATAAAATGTAAGCATTTCGAAACTCAATGCTGCTTAAATGGAGTGTTAAAACACTGTTAGAATCTTTTAATTTTGCCATTTATTTTGACAGCTTCTTCCAAACAACTGGTTTTGTCCTATTTAACCGCTGAATGATTGCAAAATAACAAGACAAGAAGCATGGAAAAAGAAAATCTTGCATTCTCAAAATAAGATTTCCTCCTTTCCTCTTGGCCAGCTGGAACCAGGCTACCCACGCAACTTGAAGGAACCCAATATCAGATGATGATGGACTGAGGATGACCCTTTTACTCGATTGAATTTGCGATTGATTAAAAATTGATGTTGTGTTCTTTTGTTGGTTCTTGCACGTGTTTGAGAGATATGGTCATGAAGAAGTGGTCGGAGCCACCCAGACCCTCTTTGTCTTTTCCATTTTTACTAACTAGTGTTATTTTTAGTAAGGGATCTGATCTGATCATTAGCCCAGTTAAAAATCATGGGCTTTTTGTGTATTTTTCATTCTGCATTGGGCTACAAGGATGAAATGACATCTCCAAAAGATAGTTGAAAATGGTTGTACTACTAACTAAAACGCTTCATAAGCAGACAATTAGCAAGTAATTGTTTAAATATGATAATTTAAAATATAATTTAATAATATAATATAAAAATAATATAATTTAAAATTATATTAATAATTATATATAAATTTAATAAAATAAAAAAATTATATTTTATATTTTCATATTTACAATAATTATGATAAATAATTTTTATATAAATTTTAATATTTTATAAAATAAAAAAACTTTATATTACTAAATTCTTACGTACAACTCAAACTTGATATAATAATAACAAAACCGTGTGGGACCACACCCTTTTAATCCGCTCAAAATATATTCCCGTTTAAAGTATAAATTCTTACACACCCCATTGTCAATTTTAACCCTATGTAAAAACAAATGGTAGTCTGTATTTTTAAGACAAATTTGTTAAAAATAAAATAAAATTTAGATTAACTAACGCCTCACATGCAACAAAATTATTGCCAATGTTTAATTATCATTTTAATTCTTCTAATTACAAAAAAAATTAAATTCATTTCCACTTACTATAGTCGAAACTAATATTATTTAAAAGAACACGTGCAAGAATTAAGTAATATAATTGTAAATTTAAATTTTTTACTAAAAATAATTGTAATTTAAAAATAAAAAAATTTAAAATTATTAAATATCACTTTTTTAAAATAATTAAATAAATTGATTGAATTAAATTTAAATTCAATAAAAAAAACTTTTTAACTCTAGATGCAAAATATGTAATTATGAAATTAACCAATGAAGCTTTAACTTGTAACTAAAGCATGTTCCATAACATGTAACCATATAAGGAAAAAAAAACATGTTTCATAATGTAAAATCCAAAGGTAATAATCAAAAGAATATTAAAAGAAAATGTAAAATTTTAAAACCCAAACTAGGGTTAGAGGGCTTTTAGCTTTTAACGACCACTTGGGATTCCAAAGATCCAAAACAATGATATGATTTGAGGTGGAATCGACGACCCACCTAAAGACTAAAGTGGCAAATGAAATCCCTCTATATTTTTTATTTTCCATATTTTCCCTTTTGTTTTGTTTTTTTCAATGGGACCCCACACGGTTTAATCAAAAGGGGTGGCAAACACGATTTTCCACTGGCTCCCACCCGACAGGTATTAGCCGTTGGGACCACTTTGGTAGAACTTTTGATCATCCATTACAAAACTCAAAAATGTAGATATTTATATAATTATATATATTTCATTTGATAATTTAAAATATAATATAATAATATAATATAAAAATAATATGATTTTATATAAATTTAATAAAATAAAAAAATTATATTTTATATTTTTATATCGATAAAAATTATAATACGTAATTTTTATATAAAATATGATATAAATACATAAATTTTAATATTTTATATGATATAAATACATAAATCATCAAATAAAATTAGATGTAACCCTAAGTTCGTTTTTAGTACTTGTAAAAAAAAATTAGGTTTTTGTTCCAAATTTTCTTTGGGCAATTTTGTTGGGATACGGGTGTTGTTGCAATCATATACCATCAAATTGATTTGATTTTCAAAAAATTCTATAGGTGATATGTTAAATCTTAGTTTTGGCCATCCGATCTTCAAAATCAATCACTCAAAATTTTCTATTTTTTTGCCGGGAACAAAATCTAATGTTACATGCTAACAGCATAGTATCAACAAAAATGTGCCTTTCACTTCTTGATTTAATAACAAAGAAATCTTAAAAAAATAGAAAATTTGGATTCCAATCAAGCCATCTCTTTTTCTTGTAATAGGGTTTTGCGCTCTTATTTAAAAAAAAAAAAATAATGGGTACTTGGTTGAGTCACACTTCTAAAATAAGAAATGAATTGGAAAAACATATTATATGCCAAAGTTAAAAATAGAAAATATCACTTGGATCAATTTACATTTATTTGGTAAATGGAGGAGTTCTTTTATTGTGGATTAGAAAATATTTTAAGAGTAAAATCTTAAATGCATTAAGTTGATATATATATATATATATATATAAATCCTTAAAATTATCTTAAGATGAGATTAATTAAAATGGAAAATTATAACACATTTCTTTTGCCTTTATACACTACAATTATATGAATTTAGGGTTTTATATACTATTTTGTTTCACAATAATTTACACAAAAGTGACAGTCAAAGGAATATAAATAACCTTTTGTTACTTAGATGATTAACAAAGTGATAGTCAAAGGAACAGTGTTATATAACAAGTTGCTATCTAACTTTCTGTAGAATTGATTCCTTTAACCGTCCTAAAAGGAAATTGGTTAACCCCTTTTTTCTAAAAAAATTTCAATCCATGCCTTACCTTTGATGGGTCATTATAACTTTATAGTCACCTCGATTTAGTGAAATGCACGTTTCCTTTACTTTTTAACTATATGCATGTAAAAATTTAGTTACCACCACAAATGGTGGTGAAATCACTTCCCAAATAGCTGGTGATGGCTTCCTTAAGCATTAAACATACCTTTTTCAACATTGTTATGAAACTCAAATTTGGCCGACCAAAAATTTTGCAAAGCCAAAGTCTCCACTAAGTTATCAATTTGATTGGATAAACCCATGTTTGTCAAGCAAATGGGATGCCTTTGTAGCCTTGTTTAGGGTTCAAACTCATTAACCCCTTCTTTCTTACCTTTGAATTGCGCTGTGTCTTTGTTGCCAACCAGATTATATAGTTTAGGCACTACAACAAATAAGATAATGTGGGGGCCATGGTGTAAAAAAAAAAAAAGGGAGGTTGGTCACTCCAAAATTCCTCATATTTGGTTTTTTTTTGGTGTGAAAATATTTATTGGTTTAAAGCTTGGTATTTTATGTTGGTAAAGGTGGTCCTATAATGATAAATCTTGTCTCCTCTTTGTGTATTTGAGGATCACTTTTTCTACATATATATCCTAGAAGGAGCAACTAGATGGGTCTAGGGTTTATACAAGGAATCTTTAGCATGTCATTAAATTATTCGGTTTATTAAACTAATAATTACAATTATTATGACTAATGACTATCATGATTATATATTATTACTATCTCATTACAAAACACATGCCTCAGGCAAATGATACTTTGGAAGATATTATTCATTCCAATGGAGAAGGTAATTTTTTTTTTTTTGGGGGGGGGGGGTTGTTTCGCATAATGAATCATCACAAGAAATAAGGTCCATTTTCAACTCGACATATGATTTGTATGTCTTAAAAGCAAATGGCAATGTAGATATTGAGCCAATGTAACACAATATGTAGGCAAAGGGCAAAAGTTGTGGTTTTAGAAGCCATAATATATATAAGCAAGAAATTATCTGAAAGCCTATCATTAATCTTTCTATCTCAAGCCCTGTCTTTGCCTGTCCTAGATGGGGAAAAGAGGATGAGTGAATTGCGTTGGTCTGATGCTTGCGTTTGCAGTTTTCTATGGCAAGCCCACATATGCAGGTTGATTTTGATAAAGTTAAGATATAATACAATAATGCATGCACATAGATAATCACTACTCACCTTTAGATGGGACATAAAGCCAGGCGCGTTGCCCATTTTATTCCAGTTGGATTTTACTCTCTTGGAATTTCTTCACACGGCTTTTCCCATAGTTCAAAAATACTTACTAAGAGTACTATACCCTTACTAAAAATGGAGAACCATTGAACCATTTTTATTAAGGGTCATTTTTTTTTTTAGGTTGCATGATTTAGGACTTTGTAGCCTGCATGTGTCCTGGATTAACAGAGGTTTTTCAACAGCAAAGGGTCTTGAATTAGTCAAATGGAAGCCTTCACTTTCCTACAATGAGGACTTTATTGTTCGAAATTGGGTCCATTGGCTTTCTTGGGCAAATATTGGTGGGAAAGTTTGGTTACCAGCTCCCTTTTTAGACCAATGAAACAATAAACCATTGACCCCAATATATGAACTTGATTGAGAGACAATGACACACAAAGAAAGAGATTAGATTTTGGGATGGGAATTGTCTACATTGTAGGGTTCTAAATTGTGTTCTATTCCCACAAAGAAAATTGCACATGCAAACATTCCCTGAGTCAAAAACGAGCTCCATGGGTTTGTAAATTTGACATCATTTTTCTTTGTTTGTCAACAAACGCATGCTGATTTCTGTTTCCTAAATTTAGCAAAAACTAATTAAAAAAAAATCAGGGCATTCTCCATTAGATGGAAATAATAATTGTTTTGGGAGAAAAGTATGCTTATGACAAGATGAAATCAAACAAAATGAATTTCTTCATTTTGTATCAAAACTTTAATCTGTTTAGTTGGACTTGGTAAAACATTATCCTCTGTTGCCAACTCAAAGAGACAGGCCATAAGAATTATTCAACCAACAAAAGAGAATAACAAAACAAGACAATAGAGGCAGATATTATTAATTCAATGAAAAGATATTCTTGTAGCCCAACAAAACAAAAATCCTTTCCAATTTCCAAGTTAAAGTTAAAGGATGCTACCTAATATTATTTTACGTTGACTTTGTAATAATATTTTTTTTTATAAAAACAACATATGATTGACAACATCGTTGTCTTGTTCAAGATTCTTGGGCATTGACTGTTTAGACAAAGCCCTTCCATTTACTATAGGTTGGGAAAATATTGTTAAGCAAAGGGCCATGACATCTTAATCAGGATACAAAATCCAACTATATTGGTAGGCAGGCTCTGACCTTAGTTTGATTTTAATAGCGTTTAAATCTTTACATGTGTCAAGCTTTCCGGATTAAACAATTTGGGTTATGGTTAAAAGACTAATGATCTTGTTTTCTACTATAAAATATGCAAAGGAAAAAAATTCAAAACTTATGGTTTTCAAAATCTAATAAATGGAAATGAGAAAAAGGGGAAAAAAGACAACACGGTTTCAATTTACCCAGCAAGGTAGCCTAAGCCGTGCTAATGGCCATAGGACCAAAAGACGAGGTGCGGTTGGAGTTAAATATCGAAAGTGGTCAGTTAAAAACATATAGAAACAACCAATTTTCAACCCCCGCTTTTGGCGCTGATATCTGATTCTTCACGCTAGTTGGTGTTGGTGCGTGGTTAAGATAAAGAACCCAAGTAATGGACTGAGAGTATAACGGACTGACTGACTGCGTATCAATGCATAGAAAGAGAAGATATCAGAGCATTGGCCTACTGGTAGGTTTTTGGCCTTTTGTGCTTTTGTCCAACCCCGGTAAGAAAAAAAGAGCAACAAAAAAGAGAGAGGGAATCAGAGTGAGACACACACACAGAGAAAAAAGAAAATAGTAGCTGCTGTTGCTATTGCCGTCCCTTCTTATAAGACTTGGAAGAAACCGCTCCTAAACCCCACCTTTGTTTATCCTCTCTTGCTCTCTCTCATTCTCGCACTTGAACAAAAAAAATCACTTTCAAGTTCAGTTCAGTTCTTTTGAGTGTTCCTTCTAACTCTGAGAGCATGGATGCTCAGAGAGGTCCTCTTTTTAGCTGGGCTTATTTCTGTCAAGAAAAGGTAACACACACATCTTGTTTCTTCTCCTCAGTTTGATTTGGTTTAGTTTTTTCTTTGGCTTAATTATGCAAAATAGGGTCTTTTTGCATGGAGTTTTGGGCTAAATTGTTAATTGGCCGTCTTAATTTTGCAGACAATGGAAGAGCTTAGGCATTCTCTTTTATATACTACTCTGGAGCTGGAACAGACAAGGTTGGCAGTTCACGAGGAGCTGAGAAAGAGAGAAGATCAATTGATTCAACTCAAAGAGTTGCTGAGCAAGGCAATGAGAGAGAGAGATGAAGCGCAGGAGAAATGTCAAAGACTTTTCCTTGAGAAACTCCAGCTTCACCAACAGCAACAGCAACAACAGCAAGTTGCTCCTCGCTCTGGAGTTTCTAGCATTGAAGATGAACCCAGAAGAGGAATTGACTCCAACAATGGCTTCTCATCATCTGATTGTGAGGAAAGCATTGTTTCATCTCCTGTTCTTGACCCCATTCAACAACCCCAACTGCCACCAGCACCACCACAACCATCTCAATCCATGCCGCAAGCAACCATAGAACTAGTGCCTGAAAAGCCATTACCTGAGAAGGGAAAGCTTTTACAGGCAGTGATGAAAGCTGGTCCACTCTTGCAAACCCTTTTTTTGGCAGGACCACTGCCCCAATGGAGACACCCACCACCACCACTTGAGTCCTTTCAGATACCACCCGTGACCATTCCTTCACCACCACCACCACCACCGCCGCCACCACAACTCGTCCACCTAGACTCCTTGATCAGCATTAACGGTTGCAATACTCTAGACACCTGTGGTAAAGTCAACAGGAAAAGGGGTCTTTATGATGGCTTTGATTATCCTGCAGAGACCAAGTTCCAAAGATTAGTTCTCCATTGACTGCTGCTGCTGCTGCCGCCGCTGCTACTACAACAAGAGTAGTCTAAATAGTATTAATTTCATAAAATTTTCCATTTTTAAACTTATTATAGGTTAGTGAGGGTGAAATTGCAAGGTGGGAATCAGCCTGTCAGGGTATGGTGACTGATCTAGCATTTTTGTACAGAGGTTTGCTTTAGAGGAGAGAGTCGGAGAGCGCTTTTGGTTCTTTGCTTTTTGCCAATGTTTTTCGGTGAAGATTTTTTGTCCTTATTTCCCATTGTTTTCTTCATTTCTTCACATTTGGTTTTTGCTCCATGATGTGAAAGGGAGCTTTGATTTCTCCAAAATTGCTGTGGCATGTAAAAAAACTTAGTAGTATTACTTCAGCTTTCTGTAGTCTTTTACTAAAGGTGTGTGCTTTGTCAAGTGTGGGAGAAGTGTGGACTGTTTGAGAATTGAGAAATTACAGTAAAATTAAAAAGTTTTTAAGCAGGAATGGGTGTGGAGTTGTTGAAAATAATGGGGAAAATGGGTATGGCCAACAACCAAGAAGGTCTAAGAGGCTTGCTTTTGTCGGATTAGTGGATCCCATAAATCAGAATCAGGATCTGGTACCAGTTTGATGTATGATTATATTACTTTTTTTTCTGTTTTTGGTTGAGGGAAGTATGATTATTTACATGTTAAGTCTTAATCTTCTGTTTCTCCAAATCAAAATTTCCCTCTTCTCTATTTAATTTAATGTTAATATTAATGTCCTAATATTCCTCAAAGCTTCTTTTAATCTATCTGCTCCCACTTATTTATTATCATTTCATCATAAAAACTTTTATATCCCTAAACTAAAGCAAAAGATAATGCTGGGTTTTCCTTTTCAATGTCTGGGAAACATTTTCCATTTGCTAGTACTTGTGAAAAAAGCAATCAAGCTACCAATGAAACCTTGTGGAAATGAACCTTAAAGATTAATCTAAATGTCAAATACTGAATAGTTATGCTTCCAACCTTGTTAACTTGGTATATGTATCTTACTTTAATACGAGTAATTCAAATGCTTGATGATTTTTTTTTCTGCTGAGCCTCAAAGTTGAGGATTTGATGGTGAGTCAGATTAAACAATTTCGATCCTCTGCCTCTTACGTATTTTGTCAATGCAAATCACAAATGAAAAGAGAGCTATTACAAAGTCAAGTTCACATTTACATTCTTGAAGGCGATGGATTGATTTAATTGGTGAAGCCAATTGCATGAGAAACGACGGACTTGTTTCTAGTGTATCTTAACATATTTACTAGTGATTAAACCAGCTCATATTCTCGATGGATCACTCCACCCAGCACAGAATTGCGGAAAACATCGACATTAACCCAGCAAATTATTGGAAGCAGAACGCTTTTTATTTGTTCCATCAATATTGACAAGGCCTAAAACAAGGGTCAAGCCCATGTGCCAGTAGAGGGATCCAGGTAATCACACATTGCATTTTCTATAACCCAAACTGTTTTAAGTATAAACATGATTTTAAAATCGAGGGCTGGCTAACATGTTCCAGGCTAAGACGGGATTCAGCAAAGCAAGCAGGAGCAGCTATGGTTTCCTAGGCAAATTCTAAAAGAAAGGAAGAATTGCAGCATTCAAATGCCGTTCATGTAAGACTTTGGTTGAAAAGTTAGGCCGTAGATCGGAAAACCTGTTTTTCACGGAATTGTCCAGTCAACACGGCAGTGGCTTGAAAATGAACAAGCTAGCATGTTTTGCTTGACTGAAGATTCATTCCAACCTCCAACCAATAGCAACGTGATTTGACTAAGATTCCCCGCTTCTAGTTCCTCCACTTGTAAAGAGACTAGAGAGATTATCACAGCTCAGAAATAAGAAGAAAAGCACAAGTCTAGAACAATTTTACAGGGCTTAGAAAAAAGAAAAGTACACAATTTTTGGTTCCAGACCTTCTGTACCCTGTTAATTTTGGGTCAAGAGACTTGACGTCTAAAGATTCCACTGGAAAGGGCAATTATTCCAGGCCAGACCCAATACGGCGCAGACTTGTCTACCGCTGACAATTAGTCGTTCCCTGCTTAACATTTATCCCCTAACAATATTATATTAAAAAGAGAGAAGCAGTTATAAGGCTAATACAATGAACACGATAAAACAAGATTCAAAGAAGCAATACTAATCAACAATTACAAAAGCATTACACGATTTTCATTAACATAGGCAGCAATTTGCCTGAAAATTTTGATAGCTTGTAGCTTTAAGAAAATCGACAACAAATTAGCCCCACATAGCAAAAGGAAGCTTCTTGATTGCAACTGAGAAAAGGGATGTTCGTTTTTACATTGCAAAGTCTAGAAACCGTAGAACTATCAGAGTCCCCTTCACATTTGAAATCAACGGAATTCACCTACCCAGGGAGAAAATATTCAGACACGTATCATAATTCCTCAATCATCCTCACCATCATCTTCGTTGTTAGTTTGATTGTGTTTTTGAGCATTATACATCTCAGCAACCTGCAAATATTCAGGAAAAGCAATTAAGCAAAAAGATAATAAGTGAAGCATATACATATATATTTATTTATTTAATCTTCCTTCTCTTACCAAGAGAATAATTTGTTTCTATTCATTTTTCCAGCATGCAGAAAGATCATGGTCAAGATCTAGATAACACTACATTCATAGGACAAGTCCACAATGGTTGTGTTTGTTCATAAATCATGTTAATGGATTATCAGACAACTTATTTGTTCTTCACCTGCTCAGATGATGATGCTTGCTCTGGAATCTTATCTTCTCAAACACGAACTAAACGTGGAAATCGGAGAGATATGCCCTTTTACCAAGAATAACAAGGAATGAGATGAGTTCATTTTCTATTCTCCGAGACAAGCTTTGAGAAAAACAACAGTTGCAGGATCCAAACTAATGGGTCAACCTTAGAATTGAGTCATCATACAATATACTTATGGAATAAAAGGAAACAAGAAATGGGAGTAACGAAGAAAAAAAAATTGTAAGGCTTCAACTGTAACAACTTCTGTCCCACCTTATCAGGATCCACAATCCCAATTGCTGCACGATGAACAGGGCTAATGGTCAAGTCTGCAGCTTTTACCTCCCAAACCTACATGATATTAAACAAAAAAATATCAAACTCCTGAAAACATGACTAGCAATAACCTAAAGCATATCCAATCAGCATTGATTGAATGCAACGGGACGTAAGCAGACCTAGGACATTACAACAATGGCTAACAAACACTAAACTGAGATTTCAATTCATAATCCATTTAGAATCCAACAAATGGCTTGTAATTGTTGCAGGACACAACAATAATTATCTCCATTGAGTCCACTGGAACTATATAAATTTGTTTCCGTAAGACCAAAACTACTGATAAATTTTATAGAAATACTCAGCAACCCAGATTTCAGCAAAAGGTAGCAAGTACACAGAATGAGAAGAGAATTTACAGGAGTCAGTGTAAATTCAGTTAATAATTATTTCAAATGGAAACAAGAAATAGATCCTTGAAGAAGAAAAAGCATGAAGCCTACAAAAGCCCAAGAGACTGCAGACATAGGCAGATAGGGTGAATGGAAAACATGGAGTAAAAAATGTGACAACAAATAACACAAGCATGCATCATAAAGTGCTGAAATTGAGAAAATGCACCAATCCTATAGAGAGGCTTCAAATAGAAATGTGTGGCAAGTGTCCTGATCAAGAGAACTGAGAATTGATTTTCACTTTTTGTATCATATGACATAAAAAGGAATGGTGCTTTGCCCCATTATAGCGGAGAGTAGGGCACACACTTCCCACCCCACCCTATTAGAAATTCACAAACACCCAAAGATACTTTTGTGAAAGAAGTGAAAATTTACCTCAGTGGCTTCAAACCATACATGGCTTTATCATCTCTGCATAACGATAGTATGACTGTAATCAACAAGAACATTAGAATTTGTATATTAATCATGAATTAACTCTATTTGCTCACAATTTCCTTTGTTCCAACAGAAGAAAATATCAAGACACAAACCTTTGGTTCTGGAATCACTTTAGAGCAGAGACTGGCGGAACGTTCTTCAAGCTCTGCTTCAGTAAATCCCGTACCTATTGAGAATCAAAGAAGGAAAAGGGAAGGGGGGACAGCAGATTGTCAGCAGGAAAGAATGCAACATGTCAAACAGTAGCAATTCAAATTTCACTAGCCTATTTTACAGATACTCTGGAATTCTTCTTTACTGTCATCATAAAAAGCCAAGAGAAAGGCACCATAGAATCCTAAGGATATACATTATTGCACCATCGACACATATCAGGCATCAATTGAGGACAGAATCACATAAGACCAAGTTGAGAACTGAAAACCCAATCAACAGAGAATAAACTCTATGTGAGCTCTAGTCATTTGATACGTTAAATAAACAGAAATGACTTTTACCCGTCCGTTTCCCATGGCCATGGAAAGCAGCAATAGTTACTAGATCTAATGTGTCTCCAATACTGCATGAAACAACAAGGAGCATAAAAAGTTAAATATGAGATAAATAGAACCATATCATAATTTGAACAGAGAAGCAAACATTTCTTAGACCTTACCTTTCCATGTAGTCTTTCTTCAATTTTAGCCAGTTGAGTGACCGCTTTGATGGCTCATATGTAGTATCTCTATCCAATGTTTTGATAATTAGACCCTCGCAACTGAAAACTAAGACTAGTTAGCATCATAGAAATCCAAAGTACTTTGTGAGAAAAAATTATTATTTCCCTGATTTTATTTCCAATATTCATTGGGCTCATTCTAGCTACCTGAAGAAATAAACAAATACCTTGAAGAAACAGCAGAATTAAGGATGCTTGTATTTCCTCAAGATCATTTGATATTAAGCCTGTTGCAAACTGAAAGAACCCAGCTTCTTCTTCAAATGAATCAAAAAGCCTCTGCAAAGGGCAAACACAACAAGTCACTAGTCAATTAAATAGGGCATATTATATGCAGTGAACAAGATAAACACTTAATCAACACAAATAACACTCCAAATCAATTACATAACCATGCAGGGCAACAGTATCTCCTTATAATTAACATAACATAAATCTTCACCATGGATTTTTATTAATACTAGTACTATTGAGATTTTGCATTTGAGACAAAAAATAATTATATAAGCTTGCTATCAAAGATGTTAATTGTGGGGATACAATCACTTAATAAATCCAGATAAAAAAAAAATTTATTACCAAAAAGTTCAGAACAATGTGTCGAATTAAAAGGCATACCTCTTTACAAACTTTCAGTTGTTCCCGAAGAAGTGATAGCCCATTAAGATAGAGGATGTCAAAAGCAAATACACACACATCAACTTTGATGTCACTCACTACAACATTTTTTCGAGCTCTTGGACTAAGGATCTGCAGAAATCAACTCAGAAAACATATCATCAATAATATCAACTTAAGAAAGCCTGGACTGAAATTACTTTGGCACACATCTTCCACAACATCCAAAAAGGAATCAGTCAATTATTGCCATGACAAAATCCAGCCGGTTTCACAATAAAAAACGAATGCAAACGTTTCAGAACTTTTGATAATACTGAAATGCTAGATAGTAACTAAACAAAGTCAAAATTTAATTCCTCATGTATTGGCACTTTATGTAGTTAACCATATAGAACAATCCCAGGCTGCATTGGTAAGGCTTACTACATGCATGGCTTCCTTCAAAGTAGTATTCATATATTATTCTCCCATTTGTAATCTCCATGCTACACATATAACCATTTTAACTCTGCTACTTTAATGTAACAAATGTTTTCCTCTTTGTTTGTACAAGATATGTTTTGATTATCGAAGGATCAGCCAACTGATACAAAAGGAATGGCATTTTCAAAGACAAACAAATTTCTACACAAATTTCTAGCATTGCACCATAAATTGTAATGCAAAATATGCAAAACCTTACCTGAAAGGGTAAAATTTTCTTTTGAACCCTATCATAAGCAACAAGCTCACAATCCAAAACAAAAGATTTTACAGAGGACTTTTTGAATCTACACAAGAAGGCAAAATTTAGTAACTAAACCAAGATATGCAGAAGCGGTAGCATGCTATGCTCAAAAAGTTAATGGCTGAAGATTGTAAAAGGGTTTAAAAAAGAATTTAGTAAGCGGCAAGCACCCACAAGCATGACTTTAAAGGATTATATCTGTATCAAAAATGTGTGCCTAAAATCTGCATCTCCATTGTCCAGCTCCTTATAGGAATTCTTAGCATATAATGCCAATACCTAAGTTTTCACATATAACTCAATGCAAGTCATGAAGTTTTCTCGAGGTTTTCTCTAGATAATTCTAGCAAGCCATGATTTTTTACAAAGGAACAGGACCTGGATCAGTAGACAACTAGAAGCAAAGCACCAATTAAAAGTTAAAACTAATACGTAAATGTTGAAACACCATCTAACACCACCTTAACAACAACAGAGGGAACAAATACCCATAACTTATGACCACTACTATAACTTTTGACTACCAACACCTTTGAACGGTCAAGCCAGGATATAAGATGAAGAAACAAACTCAATGGTCAGTACAACAATATTAAATGGTAATATCTGGATCTCAATTAACTATAAATTTATTTGACATGCATTGTAAGAAAACTCTCTGAAGATAAGTTTTGACCAGTATGCTTTGTTTGGTGGGGGGGGGGGGGCAACAAAGAAACATTTATTCAGCACACACACAATAAAAAAATAGAGCACATCAACACAACAAAATCACGATAATAATAGAAGTCTACCTAGAAATTGCAGCAACGACATCAGGAAACTTTCCAGTGTTCCGCTCAGCATTTCAACTATATATCTCAACTGAACCATTCTCCATAAAATGCATCTACATAAGGCACGTAGATATATATATATATATTTTTTTTGGTTTCACGTAATGTATTGCTAATAACAGAAACAAAGAAACCAGAAGCAGCACTAAAAATTCTATTACCTGTGCACACGCTCCATCATATTTGTATTCACATACAAAGTCAATATCCTGGAATTTATTTATAATTTCAGCAACCCCCTTGGTTGGTTTTGCTAGCATAGGTCCAATGGGGACACTGGGCCTAAAGCTACAGGTCCTTGGAAGATGCCATATACCACCAGTCAAAAGAGCAGGGACTACTTTATCATAGACTGGAAGGATAGAAAAAACTTGTTTGACAATCTTAGCATCCTGCATGAGAGCAATCAATGATCAATACCAGTACATTGGTTAAAGATCAATAATGATGAGCACAAGGTGATTCCTCAACACACAACCATACAAGAAATAAACTATCAAGTAGCAATTCAAGGTAAAAAGCACAACTCTTGAGCAATGAAAACCAAATTTTCGAAATGTCAACCATCTGCAGGTCTTAATAGATGTTGACCTCTTTCACCAGCCAATCTCCCTTGCCTCTTCACCGCTATCAGTCAACAAAGGTCTTAATCATAGCACTGCAAGCCAGCTAATAACTAGGTATCAAAAAAGGTTTCCCTCGAATCCAAATTTCATAACATGTCATTCCATGTATGTCTAAGGCACATGCTTTCAATGGCTTTATGGAATCCTAAAATGCAATTCTCATGCACAACCTACAAACCGCACTATGTATTGCGCTGATAGACTGCACCAATGATTCGGGAAAAAGTAACAAGTGAATTTCTACATCAATAAAATTTACTCACCTCTTCTAAAGGAGACTGAACGTTTGGAGGTGGCTTAGAATGTTGTTCATCATATACAGCAGCCTGTCCTAATGCAACTAACAGAGTCTGCTCTGAAAATCCAATCTGCAATTTTGTCTGCAAGATGAACCCAAGAAACCTTACAGTAAAGGAACAAATATAAAATAGTACCAAATTGCTTTCCTAGTTACGTTACAACCTGAAGTAGACCAATCAAATATTGAGGTTCACAGTCACTTGACAAGAAGTGCCTTGATACGATTCTTTTTCTTCTCCTGATTATCCTTTCCAGATTCCTATATCAGTGGAACAGAAAAAAAGAGGGCAAATAAAAAACATTAAGTGTGTAATATTGACCAACAAAAACCTCATAGCTACTGCATTTTCTTCCCCACATATTAGGCCAGAAGGTACTGTAGAATACCCCAAGAATTATAGGTGCGTCGACAACAGTAATATTGGAAATAGTTTACCTACTTATCCATGTATTGTACTGGTACCAGACAGACCAAGTGAATACTTACATTGGCACAGTGTAAAATGTCCTCAGTAATGTCAAAATGAACCCACATTCAAGGAAGATGGTCACATGCAGAATTCATGAATTACGAAGCAATTCAACATCCATTTCAACCATGACTGTCAAGATCAAATTAAGGTTTCATTCGTTGGAACAAAATGCATCCCAGAATATAAAAATAATTCAATTAGTGTAAGAAGATGGTGAACCTTAGCAATTAGCCGAAACGTGTCAAACACTTTGACAACAGTTAATGGATCAGGCTTGCGCATCATCGATTGAGACGAACAGCTAGCTTGTGCAACAAGGCCCAAGTCTCCCTTATCCTGTCAAAAAGTAAATGAATACAGTTACACACCAAAATTATCTATTAAGAAGCTTTAATCAAACCCAAAATTAAAGATTAACAAAAAATTATACCTTTTACTGACTCTTAACCTATGATTCCGTCCTCCCACAGGCCTCCGCGAGGGCCTTGATAATAGAGGCACCCCCAGTTCCCAGCTCTAATCCCTCATGCGCCGAAGCAACCTTATTTGCTGCCAAGTAAACCGTCGCCACCAAACCATCCAGTGTGGTATCAATAACGGTCCTCAACATATTACAAACAATATCGGTTATCACAATCCGACCCGTCTCATTTGATATCGAATAAAACGCCAAACACAGGAACAAAAATGTCACCCTCTCTCCTTTCTCCCAACTCGCCACCATTTTCGGATCAAAATCCGACGGCTTCTTCTTCAACAACCCAATTTTCCCCTTCATTTCCGCATTTCTCTCAGAGACGTTCACCAACTTCATTTTCTTCGAATCCGGGGGTTTCTGCGTCTCATCTGAATCGGGTTTTGCGGAGTCTTTGATGGGCTTTTCAATTCCATCACTAGCGTTTTCTCGGTCAGGCTTGACTTCGGTGGAATCGAGGGTTTTGGTTGGATTAGGGTTTTCAGTGGGCGACGGCGGTGAGTCAAGGGATTTGCGTTTCTTGGTGGGTGAAGAAGAGGGAAGGGTTTTTCTTAGCGGCTAAACGGTGAACGTTGGACATGAGAGCATCGAAGGCGGAGGGGTGCGAAGACATGTTGGAGAAAGAGTTGAAGGAGGAAAGAGATAGGGTTTGGGGCGAAAGAAAGAGGGTTTAGAAGGGAGGAAAAGGGAGGAAGATGGAGAGAAGAGAAGGTTAAGGGAACGAGAAAAACAAGAACAGCAAAAGAGATTGCATGGACGAATTGCTAGCATGCAATTCGAAGTAAAAGAAAAAAAGAAATCAGAGAGAAAGAGTGCTGCGAAAGTTTCTAAGATGAGTAGAGAAATGGCGGGAACTGGACGGATTTTATAGTTGGTTTGGATATTGAAATCCCCTTCCTTCGCTTCATTCGATTTTTCCAGCCGAAGAGAAAAACAGCACTTTCGGAATTAATTAATTATTAAATTAACTTTAATTGATTAACAAAATTAACTTTTAAAAAATTTTGAATTTAGGTCAATTAAATTCTAAAATCAAATTTAAAATTTAATTTAAATATATTTATTATTCAATTAATTAAATAAAGTAATCAAATTAGATTAGATTAATTAATTTTTAAAATTAATAAAATCGATTCAATTTTTAAATAATTTGATTTACAATTAATAGAATAAATACCTCTACTTTTAACAGATTTTTTCTTTTTTTGTTTCATTCATAAACGAATATTTACAGGCCCATGAGTTTGCAACGGTGGATCATGAACTCTCAACTTGTAGATGGATATGTGGGCTGAAAAGAAGAGAAAAAATGGAGGCCCAAAACAAAAGTTTAACATGGATATTTCTCATATTCTAATTTTATTTTAGGTTTTTTTTTTTTTTTTTTTAATGAGAGATGGCTATTTATATGCTCCAAACAAAGAAAAAAAAAAGATCAAGTTGGAGTCTGAAAAGTTAAAAATTGGTTGAGTATAAATCTCATGGGAGCTGTGGTCTGAGTTCAAATATTTTTACTTCAGATACCATGTCAAACACTCATGACATTAATTCCCATCGAATCGGCCAAAACACTTGAAAGCAAAGCAGCCACAACATAAAAAAACGAAGAAACTATGTTTTTTCCTTTGGAATCTTCACTTCACGAATCTGATTTACTTCAAAAAAAAAAATGTAAGACTCCATGATTTTCAATTGATTTAGAGATTTTAAAGCTGTTTCGTTAGGGTTTTGAAGCGATGTTTGGATCGGAAATGGAGACGAAAATGAAGAAATGTAGGCAGTTGAGTCCAGAGAGAGCCAAAGTTTGGACTGAGAAATCTCTCAAGTATTATCAGCATAACCGGAAAGTTCCAGTTGTTTATTATCTCTGTAGAAATCGCCAGCTTGAACATCCTCATTTTATCGAAGTTCACCTCTCTTCTCCCGATGGCCTCTATTTGAGAGGTAATTATTAATTAAACCTTCAAATTTTGTTCTTTAATCCTCTTTTTTTTTAAACATTTCTTAATTGATTCTTTTAGAAATTTCTGTGTTGTGTAGATGTGATTGAGAGGCTTAATATTCTTAGAGGCAGAGGAATGGCTTCCTTGTATTCTTGGTCTTGCAAGAGGTAAAATATGAAAATTGTACTTTATTTTCATTTTTGTTAAATAAAACTTTTAAGTGCTGTTTGGTTGCTGAGAAACATTAGGAATTCTTTTTCAAGTGAATAAACCAAACAGAGAGCCTTTTATTTTTACTTTATTTTTATGTCTTTTGGCTGCTTAGTTTCTTGAGTATTAATTATTGCAGAAGCCATAGGAATGGATTTGTATGGCATGATATTTCTGAAGATGATTTAATTCTTCCCTCCCATGGAAATGAGTACGTTCTCAAAGGCTCCGAATTATTCGAAGGATCTAGCTCAGGTTTATATCATTTTATATATTTTTTTAGTAGATTTCATAGGGGAGAAAAAAGAGATATAAGTCTAAAACTTTAATGCTGGTGAATTTTTGTGTTCAGATCGATATAGTCCTGTTGGGAATAGCAATAGATTGCAACATCTGAAGCAGTTACCTGAACCACCGTCTTCTAGAAGCCAAGATGATTCTTCGTCATCTTCCAGTATGAATGGAAAGAGAACAAAGCATTCGCAGGATGATGAACTCTCTTCTCCAGTTAATCACCCTGCTCCTGGCTCCTCTGGTGCATCACCGGAGTCTAGATATGAAAAGAATTCTTCCTGGGGTTGTTCACTTAGCTTGAGTGAGTATAAGGTTTATAAGAGTGATGGGTTAGCAGATGCCTCAACACAGACTGAGGATAACACCAGCAGACTGAAGACACGGGAAAGTTGTACAAGGGGTATTTCAACTGATGATGGGTCATTAGAACCCAAATGCAATGCTAATTTCCAAAACCTGGTCCCTAACCCTTGTGTTAAAGATAATTCTGAGATATGCAGGAACTTAGTTTCTCTTCCGGCCACTTCTAGTGCCTCAACTTCAGGAGGGAAAACTGAAAAGTTGGAATCTCTAATTCAAGCTGACGCAAGTAAAATCAATAGTTTTAGGATTCTTGAAGAGGAAGAAATTAGAATGCCCACCAATGCACGGCTCAAGGCAACAAGCATGTTGATGCAGTTGATCTCATGTGGGGCGATCTCTGTGAAAGACCATCCTTTTGGCCTTGTTCCAACCTATAGACCTAGGTTTTCGCACTCAAAATTTTCGTCGCCATTGTTCTCTACTTCAATCATGTTGGGAGAGCTTGATTGTTTATCAAAGAATCCAAGGCTGATAGGCTTGAAATTGGAAGGCAAAGAATATTTCAGTAGTAGCTTGATTGAGACGAAAATGCTCAAAGAAGATGGACATGCCAGTCGTTCTTCTTCATACAGTGCTTATAGGTAAGTTTGTTTTCGAATCTTTTCTTATTTGATTATTCACATGCTCCTGCCATTAAACAAATGAACCATCTTGATTCCTAATAGCAAAACATTTTAATGGGCAAATGTGCATATTACACTTTTTAAATTTAGTTGCATTGCAAAGAATTTTGAAATGGGCTCATAATCACTTACACTTGTCACCATACTAGTCCTAGTGTAAGGGAATGGGAACAAGTTAAAAATAACTATGAACTTGGCATAGTCAAATCAACCCATTTGCTTCAGATTAGATCTTTTAGACTGGAGAGTCAATTTGCCTATGAATGAAGGCCAAGCCATGCATTACTAACCTTTATTGTTTTAGTTATGTAGAGATATTTCTTATGGCAACAAGATGCTTCTTTCTATTCTATATAGGATGCCTCATATATAAGATTTTCCTTTATGTATGTCTGTAATCATTTATGTGGTGTTTGAAAGCATAGTGAATCTTCTTGTTAATACTTGCATATTCTTTGACATCGAAACATTTCTTAGTGGATGTCATAATGATGGCTAGAGCAGGGCTCATAGACTGATTGGTTTAGACTTCTTTTTAAAATACTTTTTCCATATTAAATAGTAGAAAGTAGCTTCAGCTGCATTTCTTTTGTAGCTCATGCTAAACCTATGAAACTAAGTGGAATTGCAGGACTTGTAAGGAGCTGGATTCAGCTGAAGACAAAGAAGAGTTGAGTCTGGGACGTACAAAATGCATCCCACGTTCTATCAAGGCTTCACTAAGCAAGCAACCAAGAATTGAGTCTGTGAGATGTCCTGTTTCAGAGAAACCAAGAAAATCCCATGAAGGGATTGATAACTCGTGCTCTATATTGAGTAGCATATCCAATGGTGGCAGTAGAAGAATCACAGAGCCCGTCTCTAGCAAAAAGCAATCAAAAAGGTTAGAGTCATTCAGAGAAGAGGAGAAGGTGATCAAAATTGAAGAAAGGTAAGTATAGACTCCATTAGCACTTTAAGATAGAGATGGTCAAAATTATTGTTACGTATGATATTATTGTTTCATATTGGTTGACAAATTGGTGTGATTTACCTCAACAGGCTTGCTTCAGGAGCTCGGGTTATAATCCAATCCAAGGCGCCTTGTGATACCATTATTGCTTGATCCTAGGAAAGGAAAGGAACATGATTAAGGTCAGGTGAGGCAAATGGTATCCTGCTCGGATCCTTTTAGGAAAGCTTGTTCAATGTAAGACTTTTGGTTTTCAAATTTGGTTTGAATTTCAAATGATGTTAGATACATTGGCGGGTCCAATGTGATGATTGTGTAAATCTGGAAAGCTAAAAAAAGGCAGAAAAAGAGAAAGGTAGATGTCACTCCTGATGGTTGGAGTAAATTTTTGGTTCACCCTTCTTTTCTTATATGAGATTGGGCTTTTATGTTACTACAGTCGCAATATCATGGATTCATCTCTTCTTTTTATAAAAATTTTCATTTTGAGGTCATTGTCGCCAATTTGTACCTGAAATAAAGTAAGCCCTTTACACATGAATCTATGTAGAGGCCCAAATCAAAGTAAGGTAAATTTAGCTATTCGTATATTTATATTAAATAAAATATTAAAATTTGTATATATTATATTTTATATAAAATTTATGTATTATATTTTGTGATAATATAAAAATATAAAATATATTTTTAAATTTTATTAAATTTATATATAATTATTATTAAAATTTTTAATCATATCATTATTATATTTTATATTTATATCATATTTATATTATATTACTGTTTTATATTGAATCACCCTTTTCTCTTTTAAATTATTGGATCTTAAAATAGTAAGCGCATAACCAATACAAAAATTCCAAAACCTATAAATTTGAGGTTAGTTTCGTAATCTTAAAGGTCAGCAAGAGATGAAATTAGGGTAACGCAAGCTATAAAATATAAGCCGTCCATCCGATGAAGGACTCGTATCAACCGTCAAAATCTCCAACGCTCCACTCTATTAGTTGGCGCTTCCATCACCTTGGCGACTAGAATTTCAGATTTATTCGAAAAGACTAACCTTTCTCAGCAAATCTCGTGTTTAAGGTTAGAAGTCTCGCTATCTGGTCAGTGTGGACTCAATCCGTTCCCATATGACTCATTCCTTTGGAGCGAGATTCATTGTGTTGCTTTTTCCTTATCCCTCCCTCAAATCTTTTCTCTTTATTTTCGGGAGAACACTTGGGCAACTACACTTCCAAATTTTTAAAATTTCAATTTTTATTAAAAAAGGATTTAATTTTGATGGAATGTTTGTTTGAGAACGGTGACGAGTTATAAAAGACCTGTAATGAATTGCGAATATGATCGCAGATATTTATGAACATCTAAGGGACTGAGTTCTATTATGATAAAAACACTCCAAATTTATATTTCTTTTGTTCTTTTAATTTTTGGGGGGTTTTTTAGTTGATCCTTCTTTTTTTTTCAAAGCTGAAACTTTTTTAAAAATTTTATTTCTACTTTTATTTTTAAAAAAATAATTTGTTCCATTTTTTTGAAAACTTTAATTGAAGTTTTCATTTTGCAATTTTCCTGTGTAATTTTAAAGAATTTATAGCAATAAAAAAGATTAAAAAAAAAAAAACATTTTCCATTAGAAAATATCAAAGGGATGAAAAAAAAAAAAAGAAAAAGCAACTGAAAGATGCAGTGGAAAGTGGATTGAACAATTGAAAATTCCCAACTAGTGAGTATTTACTTAATAGTAGAGAATGAGGAAGAAAAGATTGAATAGAAACATTGTTGAAGTAGAAAGTTGAATTCAAATCCATTGAACCAGTCTTTTAGTCAAGGCCATAGAAAAACTAAGTCATTTTAATTGCATTTCTTTGTGCATGCCTTCCTTGACAAGGTTAATTTTGTACAAGTCAAGATACTTTATTTATTTTTTATTTTTAAAAATAATGTTGGAGGGGGTGATGATGTCAGAAGCAGGCACCGTTAATGGGAATGCGTGTAGGCAAGGGTAAAGTGGAAAGAAACTGTGTGGGGAAGTGGGACGCCAGCGTTCAGTTGAGTGGACTAGAGAAGAGAGGAGTCAAACACACACTCTTTAAACACTGTATGGTTTGGTTCCTTAATGAGTTGTCCAAAAAAACAAACGCTTACTACTCTTACGTGTTTGACCTTATATTACTTCGCCTGGCACCTTCCCTCACTTTGGCCACTCCTTATTGCTTTTATTCAATTACTCTTTTGCCCACTCAACTATTTTTTTTTTGTTTGCGAAAAGGATGGTAAAAGACTAATTTCAGTTAAATTAAAAATAATAGTAGGGTGAGATTAATTATTATAATAATAAAGTTAGATATTATAGTGATAAAATAATATTTAGATGTAAAAATAATAGTAACGGTAAAATAAATTATAATAAAAAAATTATTAAAAATAATAAAATAAAAATTATATTTAAAATTTTTTAAATCATTTAATATTTATAAAATTAATAGATTATTAAAAAGTAATAAATTATTTTTAAATAAATTAATAGTTTGACTGATAAAAATTAAAAATAAAAATTAATGTAAAAATTAATAAAATAATTATTATCTTAAACTAATAAAATAATTATAATATTAAATTAATAAAAACAAAGGTTAGTGTAAGGATTTTTGGTCACAATACTATAATGAAGAGGGTTAAAAGTGAAAAAAAATTGAAATATGGGCTAAAATGAAAAAGGTGGACTGCGATTGGAGAAGAAACTTCCACCGGACCCTTAAGATCCAGTGGCTCCCTGGAGTTTGACTGTGATGGCCAAGTTTCAATCTCGCAAAACTTTCTTTTTTCGTTTCCTGTTCTCATCACTGGTTCATAAAAAATGGCCAGTCATCCACCACCATTGAATGGATTCGGATTTAAAATAATTTACAACTAATAAAAACAACAATTAAAATCACAACCATTATAAGAGCTTCCACCATACCACCTGCAGTTTTGCACATTCATTTTTCAGTCCTATTATTTTCTAATTTTTGTACTTCGATTGAGTATTAGTTTACCCATTTACATTTTGCTAAAAAACCCTGTTATTTTTTATTTTTCCGGTGAGCAAGTATGGAGGCCACCATCTACACCTCTAGTGAAAATTAGTTTTGATGGTGCGTTGAACAAAAAGCATAGAGCTGGAGGTTTGGGAGTTGTTATAAGAGACTCGGAGAGTATTGTCCTGGCGGCACTAGTTGCTAAAATACAGGGAGTTTTGGATCCCTGGATTGTGGAAAGCATGGTAGCAGTCAAAGCTCTAGTTTTTGCAAAGGACATGGGTTCACAAAAGTTATACCAGGAGATGCATTAGGAGTGATAAGTCAGTTGAGAAATGATGAAATTGATCTATCCCCAATTGGCATCATCATTGATGAGGCTTGCATGCACGTAAAAGAGTTCAACAGTGTAACTTATCTCATGTTAGACGAACAAAAAACAGAGCAGTGCATGAGTTGGCAGAGTATGGAGTGAACTAGGTAGCGGATTCTTATTGGATAGAAGTATGTCCTAAATTTTTTACCAATTATTTTTGCGGATTGTAACCAAGCGGTTCAGCAATGAATTTAATCGATCTATAATTCTAAAAAAAAACTATTTTATTTTTTCATGTATGTGAACCAATTTGAAACTTCAAATTTGAATTAAATAAATTTATTTAAAATTTAGGGTTGTTTATCGGTGAATTCATTTGGGTAATAATTAAGAAATATATTAAAGACAAAAAAAAAAAAAAGAGTAAATCAACATATTCAAAGAAAAAACACAAGATCTGGATTGTTAGTTAGATTCAAACAACAGATTCATGATAAAGTTGTAAACAAAAAGAGGATTATTAGTTACATTTGAGAAGTAAGTATAAAAACAAGTTTTCACTGATCTCATCTAATTTAAAAAAAAAAAAAATCCAAATCTCTCTCTCTTTTTAAGTAGATAAATTTGACCTATAAAAGCAATCTAACATGGATTGCAAATATGGTTGGGCAGGGAGTTCGTCGGCAAAAGAGAAAACAAATTGAAGGAGAGAGAAAACAAATGTTAGGGAAAAAGTCAAGAGCTTATGTGGTCATTATGTGTTTACATGACAAAAATACTCTATTTTAAGAAATAAGATTACTAATACATTATTTTTGAAAAAGAGATTTTTAATTACCTTAGGATAGGAAAAAGCTCGGACTCTAAGTGGGTAAAAATTTATGTAAAATGTTTTTAAAAAAGTTTGTGAAATATTTTTAAAAATAATTTATTAAAAATTTTATTAAAAATTTTAAAGTAATGATTGATAAAATTTTTTATGAAAGTAAATAATAAAAATAAAATTATTAAAAATATATTTAATCAATATTTATTTAATTATAAAAATTTTATCAATATTTTTATTTAAAATATTTAGGATATATCTAAATTTATTAAAGTTTTAAAATTTTAATCATTTAATTTGTAATAATTATTTTTAATTATTAATTACTAATTATTTATTTTAGTGACGAGTTTCATAAATTTAATGTAAAAAGTTTTATCTAATTTTTTTTAAAAAAATTCTAATTTTTTATTTTTATTCAAATGATATCTATCAATCATCAAAATCAAATTAATTTCATCATTGTATAACAACAAGAAAATGGAGTAATTCCGAATTTAATTAAATAGCATCATATAAATATTCCAAACCAATAAATAATTGGCTGATAATTTTGAAGTCCAACAGAAGGGAAAAAATCTAAATAAAATCCCCAAATTTCCATGCGAGATAATAGTAGGGGCAACCTTGACTTTCCACACTATAAAAGCAGTGGCCCACGGTCAAAGTCAGTGGTCAAAATCTCTAACCATAACCTCTCCGCCATTACACGCAAAGCCAAGACCGTTATATATCTCCTCTCCACGACCCAACACAACCGCTAAAAAATAAAAGCACAAATTCGAACGTTGTAAAAAACAAAACGCGATGTCGTGTTCGGTAGCCGTATCTAACTCCCCGGGGTTTTCTCCGTCGTCCTCCCTTTTCTTTAACAAAACATCGATTATCTCTCCGTCGTCCGAAGCTTTGAATTTACCGTCGACTCACCTCAAAACGTCATCTTCTCCTGCTTCTCCCCTTCCTTCTTCGCCTTTTAGGCTTTGGCTTCAAAAACCGCCGCCTGGGTCTTTGTTATCGTCGTCTTCTTCGGCTTCGCGTTCGACTGCAGGTTTGGGACCGTGTTCGGTGTCGACGATATTGAAGAGGAAGAGGCCGGCTAGGCTGGATATACCGGTGGCGACGACGGCGGTGTGTTTGGGGGTTCCAGCGACGCCGTGTGAGGTGAGGAGAGAGGTGGAGATAGAGGGAGATGGATATTCTGTTTATTGTAAAAGAGGGAGGAGAGAGGCTATGGAAGATAGGTTCTCAGCTTCTGTTAAACTCCAAGGAGATTCCAAACAGGTATTTTAATGGTTTCTAGCTTTTTTAATTCTTTTATTATTTTGTTTGATAACAAGTTTTCCTTGAATTGATTGATTGATTTTAATGAATTTAAAACTCTTTTGGGAATTCGGAAGTTTTGCATAAAAATTTAGTCTTTGGATGGATTAATTAGAATTGTAGGAAAAGGAATTGTCTTTTTAGAGAAGAAAAGATGGATAGTGTAATTGATTTTGGAATAAATCAGGGATTTAACATCAAAATATGATTTTGATTTTGAATGAACTTTAAGTTGGTGGGACTCATATGGTTTATATGATAATTGCAGGCGTTTTTTGGTGTTTTTGATGGACATGGAGGTGCTAAAGCTGCGGAGTTTGCAGCCCGGCAATTGGAGAAGAACGTTTTAGATGAAGTCGTTAGAAGAAGAGACAAAACTAAGGTAAAGGAAGCTGTTAAACAAGGGTACTTGAAAACAGATGCTGAGTTTCTCAAGGAAGACATCACCGGCGGCACATGTTGTGTGACAGCTTTGATCCAAAATGGAAGCCTTGTTGTATCGAATGCTGGTGATTGTCGTGCTGTTATGAGCAGAGGTGGTGTCGCCGAAGCTCTCACATCTGATCACCGACCTTCAAGGGAGGATGAAAGGAACAGAATTGAGGCTTTGGTAAGCAGTTTCTCAATAAATCAATGACCTTTGCTTTGTTCACAAATTTCATTCATGATGTGCATTTTGCAACAAACTTTATCTGAACTGTAACTGATGCCTTGTGTGAAATTTGTTTTTGCAGGGTGGCTATGTGGACTTATGCCATGGTGTTTGGAGAATTCAGGGTTGTCTCGCTGTCTCTAGAGGGATTGGAGATCAGCACCTTAAACAGTGGGTAATAGCTGAGCCGGAGACAAAGATCATTAGTATCAAACCGGAGTGCGAGTTCTTAATATTTGCCTCTGATGGCTTATGGGATAAGGTAGGATGTTGAAGTTTTTTCTTTCTTTCAAAGTACTTCATATCTTTACTATCTTTACAATAGATGATTTTTCATGGTAATCTAAATTGATTCTTTCTTCTCTTTTTTTCAGGTTAGTAATCAGGAAGCAGTTGACATTGCTCGTCCTTCATGTCTAGGCGTCAATAAGCCAAATCCATTGTTTGCCTGTAAAAAGCTTGTCGACCTTTCTGTTTCACGAGGCTCATCTGATGATATCAGCGTGATGCTGATTCTGCTGGCGCACTACATGTGATTGTCTAATTTCTAAAATAGAGGCAACCAATTAACTCATAGGATTGACTCTACCTGGTAGTTTCCTGATCGTTGTTATACCGGGAGCAGAACACAGTATCTCAATACGAGAATTCTTCATTTAGAGCTAGCTTTTGGGGGTGTTTTGAAACTCAGACGCTATATCAGATGCAGTAGGGGTGGAGGCTGGGTTATTTTAGTAGGGCAGCAGGATTTAGTCTTTGTTGACCACCCTTTGTGGGGATTTTTATACCCACTGCTGAAGAAAAGATCACAAAGACTTGGTTGTAAACTTGTTTATACATATATGACATTTATTGACCTTAGAGTTGTAAATCAGCATATTCTTTATAGAAACAATTTTCCAATGATTCTTTTCGATGGCGCCGATTCATTTTTGTACACGTTGTTATCAACTTCATTTAATAAGAATTAGTTCATTAGTTTGTGTATGACTCTTGTCACTTGCTGCCAAGCATGATTCTGCATGAACAAGAACTTATGAAACTATACTGCCTTCTTCCTGGTGAATTGAGATTATGGAACTGTGGTTCTTGCTTATCGTGCTGTTTTACCTAAAATCTCGTATGTTCGCCCCCTTATGTCACCTCCGTCCATGAAGGAATTTAAGCATTTCAAGAGTTTTAGGCATTTGTGAGTGTTCAAATCATATACAGGGTATAATCATCATTTAATGTGTGATTACAACAGTAGTGCACTTCTGAAGCACAAGATCGAAGATGGGAAAAGCACATATTTTTGGTTTGACAATTGGCTTGATAATGGTCCAATTATTAACTATAGTGGAGGAATTTCATCACAAGTTGCAATCCCTGAGAATACGACTGTGGCTTCTGTTCTCTGGAATGAAGATTGGACTCGATGACTTACCACATTTCGAGAGTTGAGAAACGTGTATCAGGCTCTTACAGATATACGTATTACTACAGAAGAGGATGATGTTGTTTGGCAAACATAGAAGTCAGGCAGGTTTGCACTTTCTGATACTTGGGAATGGATAAGGAGCAACTCTCCACAGTGGCTTGGCAGAATTTAGTTTGGAACTCGTCTTCTCTTCCAAGACATAGTTTCATCACTTGGCTTCTTGTTCTTGATAGACACGGTATTCTTTCTCGCATTAAAAATTGGGGTATTCAACTATCAGAGACTACTGGCTATTTTTGCAATATTGAGGAAACTCGAGATCATCTTTTCTTTTCTTGTGATTTTTCAAATGAAGTTTGGCGTTTGGTTTTGGTAAAGTGTGGCCAGCCTTACCAGAAGAATTCGAAGTTGATAGGAGGAGCTTAGCTGGGCTACAGACCATTTTGGGGGAAAACTCCCACTGCTATTTTTTTTTTTTTTTTTTGAGAACGGCATGACAGCATGCATTTATCACAAATGGCGTGCAAGGACCGAGGGATTTAAAAAACGGTGGAGTAGCGGAATAGCGGCCGTTATTTTACGGTAACGCTGATATCCGTTATAACTATTGAAAAAATATCTGATGAAAATGTCATTCAAGACGACAATGACACGTCAAGGCCGCAAAAAATGACCTAACAATAAATAACGACAAAAGTGGATAGCTACGCAACTTCGTCTTTTGTTCAAAGAAAAAAAAAGTTTCAATTTTCATTTGAGAAAAAATAAAAAATAAAAAATACAATCCCAATCAAATTTAAAACTTATATTAAGATCAAGCACACGAACAAATAAAGAGGTGAAGTTTCAAGTTTAAAAAAAGGTGCATTGCGAAAGGGAAGGAGGAAGAGAAAAGAAAATAGAAAAGGTTGTTTCAAGTTGGATAGTGAATGGAGGAGCAACAACAGGTGATGGTTGAAAGTTGCATCTCGGGTTCAGGTTAGGAAAGAAGAAGAGGCGCCGCTCGTGAGAAAAGAAAGAACGAAGAGAAGAAAAAAGTATTAGAGATTTATTAGGATCTAAACGGTATAATTTGAAGATTAAGAACAAAAAAATTAAAAAAACAAGAGGGTTTGGATCAGACCCATTTTGACATAAAAGTTCACAATTTATTTTGTTTTGGGCCTCATTAGATTTATGGTTATATGTTTTAATATCAAAATTTAATTGAATATAATTTTTATATTTTTTAATTTTTTTATTTATAATTTGAACATTTTTAATTTATAAATATAAAATATTTATAAATAAAGAGATACATTATTAATAACTAGATAAATGTAAAGTTATTTGGAGCACGAAAAACTCTTGTAATGATAAAAAATTATTATTATTATTTTTTATATATAAATAAAAAAGTCATAAAATTACTTTAAAATTTATTAAAAAAATTTTATGATATAATTATAATTATTATATTTTATAATAAATTATATAAAATAAAAAAATTTATGATCATGATAAACGTATAACCGTGATAACAATCGTTATATCTGTAATTACGATAAATAAAACATAACCGAAAACGAAACTGTTATCACAATTTGAATCAATGGCAAGGAGTTTACAAAAAATTTGCCTTTTTCTCCGTCCACTTAAAGTACTTTACAAGGCATAAATTTTGATGTAAAGTTTCGTTTATCTAACTTCGTAAAAAATACAGCAAAACCTTCTGTTAGATCCTTGTATCAAAATTGGGAGATTGTACAAAAACTCCCTATAGTACATTTAGTATTGTTTTTTTAGCAGGTTTTCCTGCTTCTTTGGATAATGAAATACTACTTATCCAAAATAATATAACAGTAGTGCACTCTGCTCTTTCTGATATTTTTATTCCATTTTAAGCCTTACGTTATGTTCATGTATGCTGTGGGAATTTATGCATATTGAGATTGGATAACCATTACTCCCATTTCAAGAGTTTCAGGAACTGTCAACGTTCAATTCTCGGTTAGGTTATAAGAATAATTTATACTCTTTTCTCTTCTGATACTTTCAGACCATTCTAAGCCTAACTTTGTGCTTATGACATGATTGTTGACCCGAAAACAACTTGCCAATTAAAATTATTGTTTGTTGGTGAGCTCAAGATAACGATCATTGACCACATTGAAGGTGTCAACCAGCTTCTAGAATGTTTTATGTGGTGGATTCATATTAAGAAACGCAATCATGAAACACCAGCAAGCTTAAGATGGCATAAAAACCAATACACATTGACCAAATCTTTATCACAAGAAAAAAAGAAGAAAAATATCCTGATGCCAGAAAGAATGCAATTTATTTCCCCCACATAAGTCAGACGGCATTTGCGAAAGAATCATATTTTTCATGTGTTAGTGATCAGCTGTCTAATTAGGACTTCCTTCTTTCTTTCACTAAATGTGACCCACAAATAGCACATGAGAAAAATGACCAGATGTCCAATTGCTTTTGTTTTTGTTTATCCTAAACACATGTTCCAAGAAATACTGCCGTCTTTCGTGGAAAGAGCGACTTGGGTTTGCTGGCTTGCATCATGTCTTCATGTTCGGTATGTGTTCTAAGTGTTCAAACTTATTAATGTCTGTCTAACCAACACATATGCAATGAATATTAATGACTGAGTTCCGGTACGTTTTTTATTCCTAGGCCCTGCTCATGATCGAGCAAACTAACAAAATCCTAAAGAGGGCATAAAATTACGGAATGAGGTTTGCATGTCAACCGCACAACATGAAAGGCTTTGTTGTTGATGCAAGTTAGACTGTCGAGCAGCCTATTAATGTTTTACTGCTTTGTCTTGCTTGCTGTCTTACGACAAATATTGGCAGCATTGGAGACAAGCCCCGCTGTCTTATGCCTTCCTAACAAACTTAGTCGGCTATATGTTTCAGAAGTAATAATACACTTACTCCAGGCTTTGATCAATTGAATTTGAAATTAGGTTTCATAGCTTTTTTTTAAACAATTAAGTAGTAATGTTCCATCAGAGTAATGATTCTCACGATTTAGTTTAGTTAAAAAAAAAAAAGGGGGGCTAACTCTGATCTATTGTAATTCACTTCTTACAATTGGTAAAAGCCAAAGGTGTTAAAAACAATTAAAGACCTGGATTTGGTAAACATGGAAATCAAATATGGAGTTTTTGGGCTTTGGATAAGTATGTCATGCGCATGATAATCGATAGACATGAACAGTATCATTGCTTAGGAAGTTTTGTGAGATTAACTTTCCATTCTAATAGAAATTATGCAATTCCAAAAGTCCAAGATATAGTTGTGGATTCATTTCGCGTAATAATACAAAATGGCTCTATTATTTGCGAGCAAATTGGCTTTTGGAAAAAGGGTTTAATTGATCAAACCCCAGTTTGAGATGTTCTTCACTTTTCCCTTTTAAAGCATTCGACGGGCAATTGGCGGCCCCCCCTTTCTTCAATTCCCTTAGTTTTTGCCTATTAAAGTTTTACTTGGACAACAATTCCTCTCCTTTCCATTTCCTTTTCCCTTTGAGTAAGGAAAGTTTTCTGGCTTGTCCAATATTCAGGGCCTTGTTTGTGATGACAATTGACAGATAAACAGTTAATTAACAAGCTTTGGGAGACATGGCATATCCTCAGCCCCACTGACTTGACAATACATTCAAAAGCATTATATATATATATATATATATATATATAAATATAAAAGCACCACCCTGGTGAGTGATGATCACAATCCAAGTTACACTTCCCCCAACTATATAACTCAGCAGATGCATGGTCGTCAGATTAGATCGCTTCACTTGCATGAAAATATAGTCTGAAAGGCAAAAAAAAAAAAAAAAAAGCCCGACCTAATTCGCAATTTTAAGCGTGATTATCTACTTAAATGACTTGAATCTAGGATATATCGGCAAATGCCTCAATAGGGTATCCTGTTTTTTGGTCATAAAATCTTATCCTATCTCACTTGACCCTTAACTAATGCAATAGCGATGGTCCGGGACCCCTTTAAACAACAATGCCCCAATTTGGTTTTAAGTATGTGACTGCCAAAAATTGGTACTCTTCAGTGGGTACATCGAATAGCGTCCAAAAAGAAACTGATCTTTTGAAAGATTCGAATGGATATTGCCTTGAAAGATAGAGTTGTCAATTTCCAGATTATTAAAGATAAGATTATTTTAACAAAAAATTTATCTCATGGAGGTTGGGGTTGCACCGTCAACAGAGTTCTACTCAAATTGTCACTGCAAAAGCCAGGTAGAAGCATCATGGTGGAGATTGAGACAGGTAGGGACCTCTGTCTTAACCAACAGCCTCAAGTTCTTTGTTGCTGCGACGTGCACCTACCATTTTCTGCCATGTAAGCTGATCGTTAGGCCCGACATTTATTTATTTGGTTTCAAACGACAGTCTCTAACCAAACTCTGTCCTCCCCTTGAGCCCATCTAGTGTACTTGCCTTTTGGCCACCGCCCACCAACTTGGCACCTCTTAAATATTTTATTCCATTGTTTTTTTTTCCCCCTTTCACCCCCCTACTTCTCAACCACGTTTGACAATTCCTCCATCTTAAATTAATACAATTCTGTTAATTTTATAGAGGTAAACAAATTAGAGTGACAGAAATACTTGGGACTGGTTTTAAGAGAGCGGTTTTGGAACTGGAAATGTTCTAATGCTGCCAACCAAACCCGCCAACAACCAATCAATGGCGAGAAAAAAACCAACGATCCAACCAAATAAACGGCTTAGGTCAACTCCGCATGGCTCATCGGATAAGGATAAAACCCAGAATCACCCTTCACCTCCCCAGTTCTCACTTTAACTTTTACGTCCAAATACAACGCCGGTTCCTAACTGTCTAACTCTTATATATAAATAAATATATATATATATATATATAAAAGAACTCGTGCCATAATCAAACCGTGTTCCGAATTATCCATTTATAAATTCCACGTAAGACTAAATATAATTCTTAAAATATTTAGCTTAGACGTATTTAAATACCCATTTCGGTCCTCAAAAAAACCTCGCCACAAAGAATCAGAGTAGAAAAAAAAAGGTTATGAGAGATGGGGAAACAAAGCAATACCCAGAAAATTTCTTGGACTAGAGGGAAGTGTTTAGGCAAAGGCTCCTTTGGTAATGTAAGCTTGGCAATCAACGAATCAAACGGTACCGTTTTTGCAGTTAAGTCCGTTGATTTAGCGACGTGTCTTCCAAACCAGCTGGAGTCTTTGGGGAACGAAATTCGGATCCTACGTTCTCTTTCGTCTCCTTATGTCGTTGAGTATCTCGGCGATGACGTGACCACGTGTGATTCCCCGACGACGTCTTATCGGAATCTTCACATGGAGTACTTGCCTGGTGGTACCGTTGCCGACGTGACGATGATTAAACGCCGGTTGGCTTACATGGACGAAAGTATTTTGCGGTGGCATACGCGGTGCTTAGTTTCGGCTTTGAAGTACGTCCACGGTGAAGGCATTGTACACTGTGATGTGAAAGGGAAAAATGTTTTGGTGGGCCCTGATTTCACCTCCGTAAAGCTCGCGGATTTCGGCTCAGCGATAGAGATTAGAAAAGAAAGCGCGGGTGACAAGTGCAGATCCTTGATCACACCACGTGGAAGCCCTCTCTGGATGGCTCCGGAGGTGATGCGTGGTGAGTATCAAGGACCGGAGAGTGACGTTTGGTCCCTGGGATGCACCGTCATCGAGATGGTCACGAGGAAGCCAGCTTGGGAGGATCGCGGTTTCAGCTCGCTGAGTCGAATAGCCAATTTGGAGGAATTGCCCGAGTTACCGACGCAGTTATCCGAACTTGGTAAGGATTTCGTGGAAAAGTGTTTGAGAAGGGATCCGAATCAGAGGTGGAGCTGCAATCAGCTGCTGCAGCATTCATTTATAGCAACGGCTTCGGAGCCGAATATGATCGGGGAATCATCTCCACGTTGCGTGCTTGATTTCGCCGGCTTGAATTTTGAAGATGACGAAAAAAAGGAGAATTTTGAAGCTTTGGCGAGGGAGAGGATTGGTAAATTAGCGACGGAGGGAAGGGTAATTTGGGAATCGGATGGATGGGTGGCGGTTAGGAGTTACGCTCGTGAATCAGGTGTCAATTGTGAGGAAGGCACAAGTACGGAATATCCGGAGTTGATGATGACATTGAAGGAAACGGAAGGGACAAGTTCGGTATATTGGGGTTCAATGGGGATTAGGCAAGGAAATGAAAGGACAATTTTGGAAATTTACGATTGTTCTGAAGCTAGTAACTCAGATGAGTGGCAGTGTGGTAATTACGATGATTTGAGAGGGTTAAAATTGTCGAGTGGTGTGCTAGGGTGCGGTGGGTGGCGGTGCAAGTACTTGGCTGGCTCGAGTTGTCGGTGCGGGTCACAAAAGGTGGAGTCAGCGGTGGAGAGGGGAGAGTTGAGACTCTACAGTTGTAATTTACTACAATTATTTTTTATGTAATTTAAAATTATTTAAATATATTTTATTGGTATTTTTATAAGAATTTTGATTTTATGAACTCGTTAAGCTTATCACGAAATTTTCATAAGATTTAATAATAATTATAAAAATTTTAACTCATACTAAATATATTATTTTAAATATTTAATTAAATAAATTTTATTTTGATCAATTTAAAGGGTGATGGCTAACTGATTATTTAAGTTGGTTTAATGGGGTCGAATTTATTCACTTTTATTGGAACTTCGATATCAACAGACATTTGAACAGTAACAATAAAATTACTGTGAGAAAATCCTTTCTTTTTTTGGTTTAAAGTGATATTTTAGATGGAAAGGATAAGTTCGAACAAAGGGAGGATATTTAGGGTGAGGAGTGAGACTGAAAGGGGGCATCAAAATCCTCTTCCTCTTGTCCTCCCGTATTAGCTAATAGGTTGCTGTTTTTCACGGATGGCTTCTTTGGTGACTCGGAAGTAAAGGTTAACAGTTCATATTGAATTTGATTTGAATTTTATAGATGTTATATAATATTATAAATATTTAAAATTTGATTTGATTTAAATCATATTGAATTAAATTTTAAGGTTTGATTTGATTTATTAATTTTTAATTTTTTTAATATTATTTTAATATAATATTTTAATATATTTAAGTAGATATGAATATAAAATTATTATTTTATTTATAAAAATTAAATATATATAAATTAAAAATATATATAATTTGATTTTGATTTGATTTTTTTTATTTTTTAATTTTTTATCTGACATTCAATTTGAACATAGTATATATATTTAATATATAAATTTATTTGAATCAAATAAGAAAAATTAATTTGAATCAAATGAATATTATAATTTTAAATCGATTTTTTATTTTTTTTTATTTTTTTCTCCCACCACTACTCGGAAGCACAAAAACGGAAGATTGGATTGGATTGGATTCAACGCACGAATTGTTGGTGTGGGTTCTATGCATCAACTGCATAAAGTTCACTAATTTAAATGCACAATTTGGTAAACTATCATTTGCAATTTACATATTTCTCATCCTTTTGAGATATGATTGGTTGACAGCAAACGATTCTTCCTTTTGAGATATGATTGGTTGACAGCAAACGATTCTAACGAAGGGCTAACGAAAACCAAAGAAAAGACCCAAAGTTGCTTGCGAAATGAACGAGAGTACGAGACTGTCTTTCCAGGTTCATGGTAGCTACAGAGTTTTTCAACGCTTTATGGTAGTTTTGGATGCATCCTCTTCATTGTCTCTCCTAGAACAATATGCTTTGTCAACAAACGACACGGAAATTTTCAAATATGAAATGCCAACTAATACTTCATCTTGATTATTGTACAATATTTAGATTCCTTCGTTGGTTTGGCATTTGAAGTTTCCCACGAATTTGCTCTGTTCCTTACATGGACGAAATATTTTAATACTTTTTTTTTTTTCATTTGGTCGCGTGGTCCACTTTTGGAAGGTTCAACGTGTTCCATTAAATACAGAGCATAATCTGTGGAAAGTATGGCAAAGATTTACAACTTTTTTCATGTGAACAAAATACTAACATTTTGTGCTATATATGAAAAAAAAATCCATGTTTTGACAAACAGGTTTAGGCTTCTAAAGTCAAAATTAGAAGAAAAAAAGGAATACAGGGAATGAAACGTGAATGTGTGGTAGTGAATGAACATATGACCTGATGAAGGTTCTTTACTTGCATGGAAGTTTAGTAGGATCTGGATTGTTCAATGGGAAGCATATTCATCACATTTACATTGAAAATGAGACGTTTTAAATTCAATCGATGTCCCTATGTTAGTGTGAAACGTATTATTATTTGACCTTTACTTTGTTGAGTTCTAGATATTAGTACTACTTATTTATTTATTTATTAATTATTCTTAATGTGAATTTTTAGTTTTCCTATATAAATATTAGTATTTTCATTCTAAAAAGACATTTTATTGATGACTTTGCGAACATGTTCAACTTTTGATAAATCATAAAATTTAACACTTAGGTCAAATGACATTAGTGAAAACATAAATCAGGTTAATCGGATTAATTATTCGACTCTTCTTTTGACTGATTCATGCATTTGAAAATTAATTACTTTGAATCGATTTAGTCGTAGAACTATCGTTAACTTGGTACACAAAGCTCCTTGTAATATTAAAAAAATACAACAAAATAGTCTTTCTGGGTAAGTTTTAAAATGTTTAGCTTTCAATATTTGATTTAAGGATAAGTGCATATATATATATATATAGTTATTAAAAAAATAAATTTAAATTCTTTGTTTTAATAAAAACTATTGTTTAATCAAACCCAAAATATTTAATCAGGCTTAATTATTTGAATCCTCAATCCAAATAGGATCCATTAGATATTGGGTGGGTTTCACAGATTTTTATGCCTCAGAGTAGCCCTTTTACAAGAAGCCCAGTCTCCTCTGCAGATTTCAGACCAGCTTTGGTTACAAGTTAACAATAAGAAGCCCAATCTAATTTAAGCGGAGTAGTTGTTTGCCTGCCAGGCGTTTTTTCCTTAAGCCCAAATTCCTAAAACTAATATCCACTGCATTCCATTTTGTACAGGTTTTTCATCCCAAATTTATCTCGTGGGTCGGTCTAATGTAGGGAAAGAAAGAGTGTTTTGCAGCATGCATGATTCTTTGTTTGTTATGACGCAATCAGGGTCTAATGTACTACAGTCTTTGTTTGTTATGCCTCTTGTGCTTGCCTGGATTAATAATATGATCGATTTTGTCTTTCCATATCTCTTGCAGGTGATTTTCCCAGCTGCCATTTTTTCTCAGTTGTTAGTTGCATTTTGAAGTTCTTGGCGTCAATCTTTTTGCTTCGTCCTCTTTCATGGTTTCTTTCTCTCCAATAATGTTTAGCCTCAATCAGGGTCTCACTTCTCACTATTAGTGGTGATCAAGAACTTATTAACTGCTATCATTGTCAACGAACTATTGTCACTTCTCACACACAATCTATCCATCATGTCTTAGAACTTCAATTAAACCTTGAATATGACCTTGGGAAGAAAACCACCTAATGCTACCTTGACAAGTAGGAAAAAGACATAGGCTTACATCAGTCATCACTGCAAATGGGCCACAAACTCTTATTTATTTTCCTGTCCTGTAAAGAATTTATTGGCAAATCAGATCAGTGTGAACTCGAATGCTATTAGCACACTGAGACGTCTATCTTGTTTTCTAAATTTGGTCAGACGCACTTATTTTCAACAAGGCAATTAACTGCCAATACCACATGATTTCTTCCTTTTATTCTAAATTTAACTAGACACCGGAGGTCTCTAATGGATACTAATCTTCTTTCCGAAGAAGTAATACCCTCCCTTGTTTTTCTGTCACCTGCAGAATATGTAATGCGCAGTTGCTGCCTCTTGCTTTACCTCCTCCACCAATGCCTGGAATGGTTGGTGGGGGGATCGATGAGTTGAACTTTCGCTCCACCTCCTCCAATGAGTGGGATGAGGATGCCTATGTTGGAAGAGGTACTCCCATCATCTCTGCCCCAATTAACTCAAGTAATAAAGTGTGGAAGGAGGAAAGCATAATATTCAGCAAACAATCAAGACAAACAGTTACGTAGTCAAAGATGGAGCTCTCATGTCCAACGATCAACAAAATAATTGGAGCAATAGTAGCCTAAAGGTACTCATGACAGATTTCACATCCCTTGATTATTGTAAACTCACATATATTGTATTTAATTCTCTATCATAATTTTCAATTTTATCAAGGAAACCAACATTTGTGTTGTAATAAATTTTTCTTACAAAGGAAGGACAAGTTCTTAAAGATTCACAAAAAACATAGTGAAATCATATAATTGTTTCTTCTTCTTAAATTTCATCAGCTTCCAATGGCCCCTATGGCATGGCACTAATGTGTAACTATTGATATCTCTGATTTCTAATTAGATTTGATAATTTTACATACGATACAATGACGCAATATAAAAATGATACAAAAAAAATTATGTATGAATTTAGTGTAATCGTATTTTATATTTTAATTATGTCAACACAATTAAAACATTACATAATTTATATTAATAGTAATAATACGCTTGAGACATGATATTGTTCATAATATAAAAAAATTTTAAATTTATTTTTAAAATAAATTAATAATCATATTTATCATATTATTTTGTGTTTAAATAAATTATAAATATTTAATTTTAAAATTATTTTTTAAAATACTAATTTAAATGATATTTGTTTGCTTAAATAAATGAATTAATCATGTGTAATTGTGTTATTCATATATAATCGAATTAATCATATCGTGTTGTGTTATATTAATTGGATATAAATTAATTTTAAATGTATTAATCATATTGCATTACGTGTAATATATATAATAAATATGTCATATTTATGTTTAACTTGTATAAATTAAAAAAAAATAAATTTTATGTCAAAATTATTCATATCGTATTTAAAATCATGTTTGATATAAAATATAACACGATGACTCAAATTATCAAATCTATCTCTAATGAAACAAAGGATTCGTAGGCAAGAAATGTGTCAACTTCTACAAGGTTGAATCTCTAAGTGCCCATAATTTCTTGTTTACAATTTACAATTGAGTATGAAATTGATCTTCTCAGTGATTGTGAAATACCGAAATATTGAGATGGAAGCTTGCATTCTTTCCTAATGGTTCTGGCATTGGGTTGTGGTAATTTATGCCCAATGAATTGTGTCAAGTCTGCCGCATTTACATGTTAGTGGAAAATTTTAATGTAAATGTTAACTAATAAATTTATAATTCAAATATTATATTAAATAATTTTAAAATTTAAATATTATATTAAATATTTTATTATAATTTGAAAATTATTTATAAAATCAACTTTTTTTATTATACCCCAAAAATAATGATTTTGATTGAATACTAAAAATCATGTAAAAGTAAAGCTGAAATCTAGTAACAATGAAAGAGAAATAATTTGGAAAATATACTTGATTACTGTTTACTAATGAAACTTATTTTTTTGATTAGTTGTTGCTTTTTATTGATGGAAAGGTGTTTTTTTTTTTTTTTTAAGAACAATATTGAAAAAAAAAATTCAACAACAATCCAAACAAGTCCTTGTCCTTGGCAAGTAAAACCCTAGTCCCAACTAGAATAAAGTCGGGCCCACCACACAAACATCCTACCTTCTCTCATTATTATTGAAAAAAAAATTTACATTCTGCGTAACCATCACGCCACCTTGCACTTGCCACAATTTCCATACCCCCTATATAAAAGCCATAAACCCCAAATTTCTTCCACTATCGACAAACCAAACGCCTCCTTCTAAAAATCCAATTATGGCAAGCAAGGAGCCCGATCACGAGCACAGAGAAGACGAAGAAGCCCCCGCCGCCGACGATGAAGACACCGGAGCTCAAGTTGCCCCTATCGTTAAGCTCGAGGAAATCGCCGTTAGCACGGGCGAGGAAAATGAAGATCCGATACTCGATATGTCTGTATTCTTCTCTTATTTATATTTCCGATTCAAATGTTTGAAATTGGAATGATCTGAATATATATTTTATTTATTAGGAAGTCGAAGCTGTACCGATTTGATAAAGACGGGAATCAATGGAAAGAGAGAGGCGCTGGTACTGTGAAGCTGTTGAAGCACAAAGAGACTGGAAAAATTCGCCTTGTTATGAGGCAATCTAAGACTCTCAAGATCTGCGCCAACCATCTCGGTTCGTTCTCTTTGTTCTTTTTCTCTTCCTCAATTCCATTACTGCCTACGTTTTTTTTTCTTGTTTCATAGTTTTATACAAAAATATTTGTGCAGTGTTGCCGACGATGACTGTGCAGGAGCACGCCGGGAACGACAAATCGTGCCTATGGCACGCTTCTGACTTTGCGGATGGTGAATTGAAAGATGAACTTTTCTGCATTCGTTTTGCATCGGTGGAAAGTAAGTATATTTCACTTTGAATCACTTTACTTCCTTTTAATTGCTCAATGAAATTGAATCAATTTTGTTTAAATTCTTTACTTTACTAAGGCAAATTAGAGTTTAGTAACTCAAATTATTCATAGAATGTTAGAGAATTGGACATTGATATATTCTTCAAGTAGTTTGTGACTATCATTTCGGTTACTAGTTGTAATATTTTACCTTAACTTTGTTCTCTTGACCGAATGAATACTTGGGTGGGCATAATTCAAGGTTTTATACTTAAATTTCAAGCAATTGTAATTTAAAATTGCATTCGTTCTGCTTATGCTTGTATCGGTTTCAAATAAGTATTTGGCGTAAAAAATGATTGGATTACAAATTTCTGGTATGAAGTAGGAAACTGCACTCATCTTTTATCAACATATTTCAAAGCATATGAGAATAATAGTAACAGTTATTGTAGTTGGGTTCAGGTTGTAGTTATAGATGGGTGCATTGGTTCTTTGTAATTTTTATTCCCTTTATTTGACAGTTCTCATTTTTCCTTTGAGGGAACAAAGCCTTGTGGATTTTACTGAATTTTCTTTTTTCTTACTATTAGATTGCAAGACCTTTATGGAAATGTTCCAAGAAGTTGTTGAATCACAAGCACCGAAAGAGGAAGATAGAGATGCATCTGCTGCTGCTGGACTACTCGAGAATTTGAGCGTTGAGGAAAGGAAACAGAGGATAAAGCTGGAGAGGAAGATAGAGATGCATCTGCTGCTGCTGGACTACTTGAGAATTTGAGCGTTGAGGAAAAGGAAACAGAGGATAAAGCTGGAGAGGAGAAGCCTGTTGCAGCAAAGGGAGAAAAGGAAACAAAGAACGATACAGAAAAGACAGATACTGAGAAGAAAGATGGGGAGCCAGCTTCCTCAACTTAAAAAGGAGTTGCGTTTGTTTTCCATGCCATATGCTTTTGGCGTATATGGTGAGATTAGTCACCTGACCTCACCTCCCCACCCGTGTCTTAGCCATACTGATGAAACTAGATGGGTCAACTTATGGGCTGGAATGGTCGAGGTCCTTTGCGTCCTTAGTTTGAGTGTGTCTGTCGAGGATTGATCAAACCTTGGGTCATGTCAGTCATATTTGCATGTTGAGAGTTGTGTTTCCCGGTTTGAGTAGAGTCAAGGAGGGTTCATTCAACAGGTTTTTCCCCAATATTACTACTGTGTCCAAGTTGTGCTCGGTCAATGCACTGAAATAGTACTTGGTATAGACATATTTTTTGGGATTTAATTTGAATTTTTTATCTCTGTGTCGGATGCTAGTTTTGGCAAAACTTCTATTTTACCGTCTTAAGAAATGATCGCATAAGGGAAACCTAAAAAAAAAAAAAAAGATAAATAAAGCAAATTCTCTCATATGTTTTTTATGATTCACAAATCTTTGTGGATTGATTCTTTTTCAAAAGCGATGTAGGTTTGGTAACAAACAAATGCATGATTGGAAGTTGCCTGGCCAGTAATTTTGTTGGCACTTAGAACTTCAATTTTATTGGGCCTGGGCATATTATGGATTGCCCAATCAAGCACCTAAGGGCCTATTTGCAAGTTGCCGTCATATTTGAATGGCAAAATCGAGTGCATGGCGTCGGCCAATGGGCAACAATCAACATCTTCAAATAACCTAATGCATATACCATCTTCTGAAGGAAAAAAAAATAAAAAATTCCGGTTTCATCTTCTGAACAAAATGCGGATACAGTCTTCAACTTAATTCTGGTTGTCCAATATGCTTTGAAGACTTCCCGGTCAATCAAGTGTTTGCTTGCTTGCCATGCTCGCACTTATACCGCTCTGGCTGCATTCATCAATGGCTCAACAGGAATAACTCTTGCCCTTTGTATCGGTTTAAGCTAGCTAGGCCTTGGTCTCAGTTTCGTTATGTTTCGCTGTCATTCCGTTAATGTGAGTTTGCTTTCTTGTTTTGTTTACATGCTGGATATCTGTGTTGGTTTATTTTCTCTCTTTATAATTGTATACTGCTTCTCAATTTTAAGTCATTGATTAATTATGCACTGAATCAAAATAAGTTGATATAAACATATATATATATATATATATATATATATATAAACTATAGTCGTCGGAGAAAATTTTCATTCATCTCGTTCTCCATCTAATTTAACATATCATCGATCATGTATTATTATATATACAAATTTGTGTTTTTCATTTCTTTCCCAGAAATTGTTATACAGACTATAGTCTTTCATTGGCAAACAAAAAAAAAAAAAAGACTATAGTCTTGAATTTTTATTTGAATCCACCCGATCGGAGCCTTTATGAAATGAATAGTTAAATTAATAAGATTCTAAGTACTAATTACAAATTACAAAGACTTTTTTTTTTCTTGTGATTCTCGGAGAACGCTTAATTACCATATAAAGTGAAATGGGTCTTCTCCAAGAAAGCTACCCTTAGTTTTCGTTTAACCAACTATAAATACCCTCCATTCTTCAACCAACACTCTCTCAACAGCAACTCCGCAGAGCAATCCTTCTTATTTTCATTTCACTTTCTTCCTCCAAAGATCCTTTTTTTTTTCTTGTCATTCTCTTGATCAAGCAAATCCACGTAAAATGCTATCCAAGTAGAATCTCTATCAATTTTTTTGGTTGTTCATTTTTCTTGTTTGTTTTACTGATCCGACATGGATGCCACCATTGGTTCTCAGCTTGATTCATGCAAGGCTGGAAAAGGCCTTCTAAGCTGCCCATCCCAAAGTGGTTCAGATTCAATTCAAGACTCCCATGCTCCTTCCGCTATCTCATCAGAAGCCACCCTAGGGCGCCACCTGGCTCGCCGGCTTGTTGAAATAGGGGTTAAAGATGTCTTTTCTGTTCCTGGTGACTTCAACCTGACACTTCTTGATCACCTTATTGCTGAGCCAGGGCTCAACAACATTGGCTGCTGCAATGAGCTCAATGCTGGCTATGCTGCTGATGGATACGCCAGGTCTCTTGGGGTTGGTGCATGTGTTGTCACGTTTACTGTTGGTGGCCTCAGCATCATCAACGCCATTGCTGGTGCTTACAGTGAAAATCTTCCTGTTATTTGAATTGTTGGAGGACCCAATACAAATGATTATGGGACTAATAGGATCCTCCATCATACCATCGGTTTACCAGATTTTACCCAAGAGCCAAGGTGCTTCCAGACTGTCGCTTGCTATCAGGTATGGCACATTCTTGAATTAATTTTGTTCAAGATTTTGGAAAGTTCTATTTTTAAAACACGTACTCGTCATGTTATACTGGTCCAATAAATTACTAATATCCTTTATTTTTTCTGCTCGCATTCCATTGATACTTAAGTTTGTATACGGTCGAATTGGATATTGCTTTTTTTTTTAGTTAGGCCCGACTTAAATGGCTTTTATGTACTAATCCGATCTTTTTTATTTTGGGTCTAATTCTAGGCTGTGTTCAATAACTTGGAAGATGCGCATGAACAGATAGATAGAGCTATTTCTACTGCTTTGAAGGATAGTAGGCCTGTATACATCAGCATAAGTTGTAATTTGGCTGCAATTCCTCATCCAACTTTCATTAGAGATCCCATTCCATTTTCTCTATCACCTAGGTACAGTCTTTTTTTTTTGGTTCCTGAAGTTTATGAAATGGCTTCTTATCTCCTGATCTTCATGTATGGATACGTTTTGAATTTGTTGTTACAGTTTGAGAAATAAGATGGGTCTAGAAGTTGCTGTGGAGGCAACTGCTACCTTTCTGAATAAGGCAGTGAAGCCAGTCATGATAGGAGGGCCAAAACTTCGAGTAGGTTGAACTGGCTGATGCTTGTGGCTATCCAATTGCTGTGATGCCATCAGCAAAAGGATTAGTGCCTGAACACCACTCTCAGTTCATCGGAACTTACTGGGGTGCTGTAAGCACAACTTTCTGCGCTGAAATTGTGGAATCTGCTGATGGTTACTTATTTGCTGGACCAATCTTAACGACAACAGCTCTGTTGGGTATTCTCTCCTCCTTAAGAAGGAGAAGGCCATTATTGTGCAGCCTGATCGTGTAGATATTGCTAATGGACCAGCTTTTGGGTGTGTCCTAACGAAGGACTTTCTCCATGCACTGGCAAAAAAGTTTAACCGCAATGCAACTGCTTACGAAAATCACCAGCGTATTAGCTTATATTCGTTCCAGATGGTGTTCCTCTCAAATGTGACCCTCAAGATCCTTTGAAGGTCAATGTCCTCTTTCAGCATATACAAAAGTTGCTTTCAAGTAACACAGTTGTGATTGCTGAGACAGGGGATTCCTGGTTTAACTGCCAGAAGCTGAAACTACCAGAAGGATGTGGGTACGTAAGAAATATTGTAGCTGCCTAGCTAGTATTTAATGCTTGTTTGACAAACATAAGGGAGAAAAAAGTTGGTGTTGCAGGTACCAATTCCAAATGCAGTATGGTTCAATTGGGTGGTCTGTTGGAGAAACTCTTGGACATGCACAGTCCGTGCCAGACAAGCGTGTGATAGCTTGCACTGGCGATGGAAGCTTCCAGGATAGAATGGATATTTTGGCTGTCTAATGGGATTAATCATAGTTTTGCCTTTTTCCAATTTTTTCCTGGCAATTTTCCTATACACAAAGGCCTGTAACGTTGATTCCGGGTGTCATATTAACATTGTTCTCGACAGGTGACTGCACAAGATATATCAACTATGCTGCGATGCAAACAAAAGAGTATCATATTCCTAATTAACAATGGGGGCTAGACCATTGAAGTTGAGATCCATGACGGGCCTTATAATGTTATGAAGAATTGGAACTACACTGGATTAGTTGATGCAATTCACAATGGTGAAGGAAACTGCTGGACAAAAAAGGTTAGAATGTTTAATTGGTTACATGCGTGCTTGTTTGCTGTACGAGGAAACTAATCTTCAGGACCTTGTTCTCATCTGTCTTTCTAGGTTCGCTCTGAACAGGAGCTCACTGAAGCAATTGAAATAGCCACAGGTGAGAAGAAAGATTGTTTATGCTTTACAGAAGTCATTGTTCACAAGGATAATAAGAGCAAAGAGCTGCTTGAGTGGGGATCCAGGGTCTCAGCTGCAAATAGCCGCCCCCCAAATCCTCAATAGAGAAACTGATCAGGATTTTGATTAAGAGTACGTCGCAGAGTTGCGAATTTATTAATTCCATTTAAAGTTTTTTTAGTTGTCAAGAAACTATATCTTAATTGATAAGTGGATAACAAGAATGTTCCACTTGGGATTTTTGGATGTGCTATGTCCTATGAGCTTTCTTTTAATATTATGAAAGAATTTGAAGTTTTCTTTCATTTTTTAGTGTGCCTTATGAAGTTGGAACTGTTTGAATACTTGGTTTTCCCCGTTGGCTTAACATAGTCCGCTAAAATAGTTTCAGAAAAACATAGTCCGCTAGAAACAGATCAAACATAATATCATTCGAAGCAATGATAGATTGAAGCTGCCACTGGTTTTGGTTTAAGTCTTGCAATTAAAGTAAGAAATCCGTCAAAATTTTGAATAGAAGGGATATGCTGGAAAAGCAATCCAAGAACCAAGATATATGACATTTTTTTTTTTGTATAATGCAAGTATTTCTACAGAGTGGTAAGAACTGGTAAAATATTCAAAAAATTAGGAAAAATAATTTAGTAATAGTGTGTACATATAAAATTCCTTACTTTTAACAAGTTTTGGCAACTTGATTCATAGTAGAAGGAAAGGCTTAAGAATCTTTTTTTTTTTAGTTTTCCTCTCATTTTCCATCATTTTTGACAGCCTTGTAAAAAAGAAAGATAAATTCTTCCCAGTTTTGTTAATCCATGATGTCTACTGGGGCACAGCTAAGGTGTTCTAGTCAAATTAAACTTCATCTATGGCTTCTATATTCAGATTGGCTCAGCCTCATGGGCTAGGCTTGCTTGTACGCAGAATTATTCATTTTTGGGAATCCCTTATCCTATGGTCGCATGTAGCAAACTGTCTCAATCAGTACCAAATGATGAATAGTCTTAAGTCTCACATTCCCCTTGTCTCTGGGCATATGCCAATCCCTTTTTTCTTTTCTTTTTTTTTGCATTTTCTTCCCTCTCAGAGAGTTCAGAAAGGTTCCCTGGTCACTAGGGAATTCACTTATGAGCTAAAGATGGCCATGGAAGCATGGACCCTGTGGAAATTTGGGGGCCTCCCAGAAAGTAAAGCTGACCTGTGCCGGCTAATTAAATCCTCCAGGGTGTTTTTCTTTCCATCTTTAGAATGAGTAAGAGTATAGCCTCTGAAAGATTAATCCCAAAGTTCTGCAGCAAATTTCAAGTCTTTAAAAAGCTTACAGAAGAATAAAGAGATCATTAAGGAGCACCTGAAAGCCTAATATGCGCTTATATTATTTACTTAAATTATAATATCGTGTGATTCTAACTCTCTGATTCAACCAACCCCGAAAACAAAACCTTGCCATTTCAAGTATTTTGTCTTTCCCCAACCTGAATAATTAGCCATTATATTGGAAATTGATTACAATGAAATCAAATAACTTTTCCGTACTGACGTATCAATAACAACTTCATTCAACATTAGAAATTAAGAATGTCTTAAAATACCTAGCAAAACCAAAGAAAGCTATGATCGCTGAGAATATAAATCCTGATAGCTTTTCTAATAGCAATATAGAAGCATGTGTATAAATGTAAGTAAAGGAAGAAATATATAAATATGTAAAAGACAAAGGAAGAGAGAAACAAAGTAAAACTGGAGATCTTATTCTGATAAGCCATAATAATCAGTACCTTTTCTTTTTCTTTAATTTTGCACTGTCACCATCCTTCACCATCCTTCATTCACCCTTCTTTCTTGATTCACAAGCAAACTCCAGCCAAATGCAATTCAGTCTAACAAGGAACTCTACAACACTATAAAGACGGGCAGTACAGATTTGATCTACTGATTCCAACATTCCAGTCGAAGACTCACACTTGGTTGGAAGGGAAAGCGCCACAAAAAGGCGGTTGGCAACTTGCAATCAGTCATGTGTCAGCCCCTAGTTTTGCCTAAATAAAATCTGCTTACCTAATAAACTATGCTGAATAAGTCTTGGAATTCAACGTAATAGGATCCAGAAGCTGCTGCAATATAATCTGCAGGAGTGTTAATTAATTTAAGAAACTAGAGTCTTAAGGTAAATTTGATCGGAATTTAATGGCGCACCTAACATGGCTTGCCGAGGACAACTACAATGCAGTAGCGACTTCAGTGCCAGCAAGCTCAAGAAAATCTCTAATCAGCCACAGTCCATATAAAAGTGAACATAATAATAAATCTCATCTGATGAAATGAAATTAGCAAATGCCAAAAACAACCCTGGCTAGAATATTGCCCATTGCTTGCTTCAAAATTGCAAATACCAGCACAAGAATGGACATTTTGTGAAGTATCACTCCTCAGACTTAGGTAAGTATACCTTGCTTAAAAAGTAAAGAGCATGAATAAATGGAGAAATATTCAGCAAATCAATATGCTCAAGCTCTTCCTGTCACCCTTTTGAAGAAAGTGGAAAAAGAGAGGAAAATGCCACTTGAAGATGATGAATCAGAATTCTGTGAAATCACCCGCCTCAAGATGGAACTTGAGACTTCTCTGGCTAGAAATGATTCAATGGAGAAAGAAAACCAGGAACTAAAACAGGAGGTAGCTCGTCTAAAAGCACACATCAGTTCCCTCAAGGCCCATGATAACGAGAGAAAATCTATGCTCTGGAAGAAGCTGCATAACTCCAGCGACAATAGCAATACGGATCCATCTCCACAGAAATCATCAGATTTCATGAAAGTTTTGGAACAGAGTTCTGAAGCAGAAAATGTATATCCAAGGCCAAGTTTCCAGGAATTAGCAGTGAGAAAGGATAGGCAATCAAAAGTACCAAAATCACCACCGAGGTCTAATCCTTTTATCTCCCCTTCTCCAAAGGAAGTGAATGAGAACAAAGTTAACGCGCCATCAGTACCAGTACCACCACCCCCTCCTTTACCATCAAAACTGTTAGCTGGCTTTAGATCAGTGCGCCGCGTACCAGAAGTTGTGGATCTTTATCGTTCACTAACAAGGAAAGATGCCAACATGGAAAACAAAACCAACGCTACAACAACTCCCGAACTTGCATTTACTAGGAACATGATAGGAGAAATTGAAAATCGTTCAACTTATGTTTCAGCTGTAAGTACAGTAGCTTTTTTACTTCTCAACTGAAACCAACATTTTTTTCATAACAGTATGCCTATTTGAATTAATGAACAGATAAAATCCGACGTACAAAAACAGAAGGAGTTCATAAATTTCTTAATCTCAGAGGTTCAATCCGCATCCTTCAAAGATATATCAGATGTAGAGGTATTTGTGAAATGGTTAGATCAGGAATTATCTTCCCTGGTTGATGAAAGGGCAGTTTTGAAGCATTTCCCACAATGGCCAGAAAGAAAAGCAGATGCTCTGAGAGAAGCTGCCTTTAGCTACCGAGACCTAAAGAACCTTGAAGCTGAAGTTTCATCGTTTGAGGTAAATCCCAGAGAGTCATTTAATTCAGAGCTTCGAAGGATGCAAGCATTGCAAGACAGGCGAGCATGTATAAACTGAATTACTATAACTTGCTATTTTCAATCAATAGTATAAATTAACTGCATGATGAAATATTAAATTTACAGGTTGGAGCAAAGTGTGAACAATATAGAAAGGATAACGGAAAGCACCAACAAAAGATACAGAGATTTCCAGATCCCATGTGAATGGATGTTGGATCATACAGGACTATTTGGTCAGGTTGGTAGCTCATTCCATGATGGTTCAACATAGTAAATTGAATAAAAAAAAAAAAGTAACATTTTCCCATTGCCCTATCTATTTTCAACTATGAAGTGCATTTAAAGGGATTATCAAATTAATGAACTTAACCTTGCTAATGAAAGCTCCTCGATACCAAACTAGGGAATTCATCATTTTAAGCATACTTTTTTCCATCTATCATTGCTCTATAAAGAAAGCTCTAAGAGAACTTGTATCTCGAAGACATCCTTGTTTTAATTACCACTAGAACAATAATTACATTATTCTGCTTGCAAATGTTGCAGATGAAATTTAGCTCATTGCGGCTAGCCAGGGAATACATGAAAAGAACAATCAAAGAGCTGCAATCCAACGAAGCCTCACAAGAAAGCAGTCTCTTGCTTCAAGGAGTTCGATTTGCATATAGAGTTCATCAGGTACTCCTTCAATCTCTCGACAAACTTCATCTCTTTCTTTTAAAAATTTATTTTTTAGCCATTAACAACCATTTTAAGGTTTCAGTTTGCAGGTGGCTTTGATGCAGAGACCACTCGAGCATTCGAAGATTTAAAGAAGATATGCAACCTTGGTAATCATAAACAATAGCCTGTTTTAAATGGAAAGAAGGCTAAGGGGCCTTGGAAAAAAAACACTACCAATGATCAATATTTGCAAGCTGCCGAATAGTTTATACATATAAATACAATTTGATTTCAAGTTCAACAGATATTATATTTAAATGAACAAACCAACTGAAAATAGTGCTCCATTGATGGGCTAAAGCCCAAAAGGAAAGAAATCGACTGAAGAAGAGGTTGGAATGAGCGGTAACATCAGCTACTCAGATCTCTGCCTCATATTTCTGTGCTTTTTTTTCACCTCCTCATCCGCTTCTTCCTCCACTGCAAAACCAATGAAAACCCATAATCAAAGTTATTTTCCATCTCTACCAATAAGCTCTATTTCATGGCAAATAAGAGATTTTGAATTTGGATTAAAGGGTTTTACCCGTGATCATGTAAATAAAGAACTTTGTGTACAATGGAAGCTAAATAGAGATATGTTTGAGCTGTGAACTGAAAACAAGATGTAATTACATCTTTGTAACAGATTTACTGCTTATTGGGTAATGAATACATACTCTTTGAACATTCTTGGCACGTAACCTATTTCATTCTTTATCATATTTAACTCTTCATGCTCTTCTCTCACTGAATCTAAGATAATTGTTTCTTTGATTCTGATCTACTTTTTACTCTTGTTTTTTTCATCAACCATTACATTTGCTTTGTTCCTCTTAATACTGGTTGCCTTTGTCTAAACTTTTATTTCCCTCGTACAAGAAATTATTCTATATTTTTTCATGTTTAGTGAGTTTATTTGAAAATCTTTAAAATAAAGTGAATTAAATATATATTTGACTTAATGTCTTTTTCCTTTTGTTTTTAATAAATTTCATTTATTTATAAAATTTAAACATGGTTTGTCATTAATTAATGGATTTTGTTAAAGAGTATTTTAATGATATTTTTGAAAATTATAAAAATAATATTTTTATTCAATACATTATAAATTATGTATAAATGAGGAAAAAACAAAAAGTTGTGCCCTACTAGTTAACTTTATTTCTCTAATTAAAAAAGTCTCTAAAATGACGTGGCAGACAATGATTGGTAGGAAAAGTTGACCAGAAATCAAATATAACTTTTGTTACAAAAATTATATGTTAACAATATATGTTCCAATTTGCAGGTTCCACTTCATACTATCATAGAAATGCAAATGGGGGTAACAGGGGCTCAAGAGAAAAGATACAGACCCATGGATTGAACATGCTTCAAGAAATTTGTTTTTCTTGACATTGGATTGACTAAATGTTAAGAAGATGAAATTTTCATTCATTTTATTTCAATTCTTTGTCAAAATATAACGTTAGTAATAATACGATAATTACTAATAGAATGTGTAAATTTTTCTCCACCAATTTCATAAAATATATATATCAAATTCAAATTCTACATTAAATATGACTAATTTCCTAACATCAAACTATGTTTGATCTATGCCCTGAATAATCCAGGGGATCCACTCTGTCGCAGGCTTGCAGGAATGGGTTCCTTGCAGAGGGATTGGGTCAAGGAAGTCACGAGCTTACTCGCTCAAAAGTTTGAGAACTTGCCCGAAACATGCAGCAAAAAAAGGTGGAAGCTGAGCAAGTTATGGTTTCTACTATCAGTGGACTGGAGGGTGTTATGGAGTCAAAAAGGAAACTCTGTCTGGTTGGATTCATATGGGATCCCTGAGCCCAAAAAGAATTGACCCCTCGCCCAAAGTTGTGTTCGGTGACCCTACTTTGCTTGCCCTCTCAATTATGTAGCAGAAAAGACAGAAAAGAAAGTGGAATTGTAAAGAGATGATTCAATTAAAGGTCACAAAAAGATCTTAGGCATTGGGATCCCTAAAACAATCACATGAATCCAATAACCCAGTACTCAGCTGCCGTCGCCTTCACGAGTCCTTCATTTCAGCCTTTTTCTCTCCTATGCAAGAATCTCGTTCGTCCCTTGGATTAAGGATTCTCTTTTGACTTAAGTACACTACATTATATGAAGATTATCATACATTACTTTACAAAGAAGAGAGAGAGAGAGAGAGAGATAGCTGTTGTTGCAGGCTAACACACGCAAATGTTTTAGGGTGGAATATCCATAATTTAATCCCCCATCAAACAACTTGACTTTCACGTAAAATTTCCTAATATATAGAAGATTCCATTGATTTTTTATTCTTGTTCAGCCATTAATGACCATTTAACCGCACTTCCATCGCACCCTAAACCTGTCCATCTCTATCACGTTCACATCTCTTATCTTTACTACACAAAAATTCAACTTTGCATACTAAAAATGTCAGTTTCGCTTGACTCTCCAGAACATACCCCAAACCCTTTTTCTCATCTCCTCAACAGCATTTCCTCCTATAATGGCAGCGTAATGCTAGCAGCTGTGATATCTTTGCTCCTTGTAATCCTCTTTGTGCTGCTTCTCCATGTCTACGCCAAATGGTTCTTGGATCAAGCTCGCCAGAGAAGTCGATCTTCTTCCATGTCTGTATCTCACGTCTTCCGCCCTGAGCGATTCCAACATTTCCATGCATTCACATTTGATACTAACGTTCCAATCTCCCCATCAAAGGGCCTCGATTCCTCTGTCATTTCATCCATTCCATTGTTTGTTTACAAAATGGAAGAATATAAGCATGGTTTAGAGTGTGTTATTTGTTTAAGCGCATTTGAGGACAATGATGTTGGAAGGAATTTGCCCAAGTGTGGGCATGGTTTTCACGTGGAGTGCCTTGACATGTGGCTACAGTCTCACTCAAATTGCCCCATTTGCAGAGCTCCTGTGTTGAGTAATGATAAGGTTTCAGTTGTTACTTCAGCGGATTCTCAAATAATTTCTTTGGAGAGTGTGGGGGAATTATTGAATGGTGAGATGGGAGTGATTGATAGAAACTCTAGATTGGACAATCTGATAGATCTGTCCGATTCTGATAATAGTCTCCAAATTGCGGCCACCAATGATGATAATCTTTCAGCATCCTCTTCTTCTTTGACTCTGTCATCTTCCTTTGTTTGCACTTTGAAGAGAATGTTGAGCAGGAACAGATCAGAGCGCAAAGTTTTTCCCTAATCCAATGCCAGCGAGCTAGAAGTTTGAGAAAGACAAAGAGTGTTCTTTGCCTGTTAATGTTCATAAACTTCGGCACTTTGTAGACAACTTTGTATAGGTTTCTTGGAAACTTGTATCATCTTTCTCCGAATTGCGATTGACCCAGGTGATTAAAACTATATCATTTTAGTTCATTTCATTGATTGCAAGCTTTTTATTTGGCCTTAATCATTTGCTGGCTCAATTATATGTTTGACTTAGCAATTCCTTCTCTGACCCGAGAAAGTTTTCTTGGCCATGATTATCCAAATATACAAGCAGCCCATGACCTCCATCACACATTCACACTAGTCATGACTTGACTTGACATAACACTCAGCAAACTTACAGAGAAACAGTTTTGGTAAATTTTGTATAGTTAGTTACAGTCTTATTTGAATCTCTCATTTTTCACTCCTTGTAAGATTAGATGTTACAAAACTTTTATGTACAAACAGTACATCTTAACTATAAATTAATAATTTTATAGTTTAGGAGCTCTAAAAACTTTATTATGTAAATGAGCACATTGAGCAGTGGCTGCTTTTGGTTGTTACAAACCAGTAATTTATGATCAAATATAGGTCTCAAAAGTCATGATGTCTGAACTCTGAATGCAACGGGGACATTTTTGAGTTGAGGACAAAAGTTATCGTAACGGTCCTTGTTTTCTGGTCAATATTGTTGTTGCGCCTTATCAATCAATCATGTGAGGTGAGGGAGAGAATGGTCAAACAACTGCCGCACATTTATTAGAAATCCTATGCCTGGCTCAGGTCAGGCCCATTAAATTTACTTCCTTGTCGTCTGCTGGTATCTCGACTTTACAAATGCTTGAAAATGAAAGTTGAAAATAATGAATGGTTTTTTATAATGGGATATGATCTTTCCTTTGAACTTTTTTCATAATGGGATTTTTTATGGCATTACAAAATGCAAAAATGTCAAGAATGATTTCAAGCTAGTCCAAATCTCAGGCAAAAATGTAAGTATATGATATGACTGCAGGATCCTGTAAAAACATTTTACTGATTAGTACGTACACAATGGGGTCAGCTGCAGGTTGCAAGACTATTCAATTTTTGTCACATTTTCGCATCATGGCATGGCATCTGCTACAGAGTCTAATTTGGTGCACCAGACAACAGTTTTTTTTTTTTTAATCATAATACCTGCTGTCACTGACAGACAAACGTCAGCATTACAGTTAAGTTTTTGTCAGAGGAGGGGAAGTACCTAGGGTTGAAACAAAAAAGTTAAAACATTTTGAATATAGTGGGCATATTGACATGTTTAAGGAGAGGGGTTCTGTTATTATACATGCTTCAATACTTGGATTTGCAGTTGGTCCTTCATGAGGCATTTTCAATCATCAAGAAGTGCACTTAGTTAAAAAGGAGAGAATTCAGATGCTTGAGTTTAATCTCTTCTATCTCTTTAAGAATAACTTCGGTTAAGTTGAGCCATTTGAGTTTTGACTCCAAACCACCATACAAAAGCTGAATATAAAGGTTTACGAGAGTTGAATTCTAAAATGGTAGCAATTTTGGAGTTAATTAAAATGGTAATAATAATTAAATTAATCTTCTTTTTCTTAATTACTATAGTCAAATTCAACTCCGGTGCCAATAACTTTGCTTGAAGTTATAATTACCATACATAATTAAACTAGGGAATCTTAATTAATTATTATATACCATAAAAACAACGTTTATAAATAATTACATGCCATACATAGAACATTTTTAAATGTTAGTAGCTTGTTCTGGATAATTAAATGATTTAATTCATTCCAAACCAGCTATGAATTATTCATTGAATAATGAAAGAAGTTGTATGTATATTTCAGTTGCTGAAAGGGTCAAAAGCAAAAACAATGTGCAAAAAAAAAAAAAAAAAAAAGCTCACTTCAATAAACCAGCCAATTGATCTTCCTTAGTTATCGAACGGGCTTTCATGGTTCACTAATTAGATGTGATATCGAGCTCATGGAGTGATAATTGGACTCAAAGAAGCTCTGCAAAGAGGACAGCTTGACTGAGAATTGAGCCACTTGTCAACACACTCAGAATGATATGCATGGTTACATTCTGGCAAGACCTTTAGGTTCTCTTCATCTTCAAGAACACCTAGACAGATAGAGCATTTAGTTTCTTCAATTAATGTTTTTCGTTACTGTTTGTAACCCTAGAGTGGTGTTGACATCGGAGTGTGTGCATAACATACAACTTGGGTTAAGACTAAGGCAAACTTATTCAAAAATAAGATAAGCTTATCCTTAATCCAAATCCACTAAATAAATACATAAATAAGGTGAACTGAAATAGAGAGATTATGTTCACACTAGCTGAAAAAGAAGAGCATGAATATGGATGAAATTATGATCAAATTCATTATCATGTAATCTGCATGAGTAAATAAGTAGATTATGTTTACATGCAAATCTCATGATTTTAGGCATAATTCTAGCAATACAATCTGAAAGTTTTTATGCTTGGAGGATGTTTCTAGCCTATATATTTTCTATTATTCTTTGGTAGAAGGAGAATAGAGTTTTATTTATCATTAAGCAATCTTCTAGATTGTTTTTCAAGTTCTGTATTTCCTAGGTGGATTTCTTAAAGTAGTGAACTTTTATTGTTCTGTATCCTTGATTAGAATTCTGAGGGTGATGTTTCTGTATCCTTTAGTTTCTAGTCTTGATGGTAAACTTTTATCTATTTTAATCCAATAATCATAATCTATCATTATTCAAATTCTTCTGAGTTATCTTTTTTGTGAGTTTTTTTATTTGCAGTTAATTTTCGTATCTCAAATATCATTTCTCGATATTAAATTGGTATCAGAGAATGGTAGGTCGTCGTCATCAAGCACTAAGCAAAATCGATGTTGCAGCAACTATCAATGTTGACCCAAGGGATGCCCTCATAGAAGATATGCGACAATAAATCTTTTAATTACAACATCAACTGTATATACAAGAAGAGATAGAGAGGAGATAAAAAGGCAACGAAGGAGAAATGAAAAAAGTGAAGGAAAAACCAATCCAAATCGTGGAAACAACAACGATTTTAATGATAGCACCCTATCTCACCCATGGCAAGTTAGAGACTATCTATGTAAAAATCAATTTTAACCTAGCATATTCAATTTGAAGATAAAAATTCTTGAGTTAGAGGAAAAGATACAAGCTGAAGAATTTTTAGATTGGCTACACACAGTGAAATACATATTTGAATACCATGATGCCCCTGAACATCTTAAGGTGAAGCTAGTGGCTATCAAACTTAGAAAAGCATACATCTTTTTGGTGGAAAAATTTGAAGAAGCAAAGGGAAAGAGAATGTAGGAGAAAAATTACAACTTAGAAGAAGATGAAAAGAGAATTGAAGAGAAAGTATCTTTCAGACAACTTTCGGTTATATGTCTTCCTTAGGCTTCATAATTTGAAGCAAATGGATCTTTCAGTGAAAAAATACATTAAAAAGGGAAGCACATCCAAAACCAGTGTGTCTACCACACTCTCTTTAAATCTACCACTAAAGAAAAAAAGAGTCATTCTCAACAAATCACAATTTAGTGTTGTCAACACTCAAACCTAAAAAGACTTTAAGTGCCAAAAAGTTGGGTATACACATTATGAGTGTCCAAATCTCAAGATAGTTACGTTGGTTAAATATGAAGATCTTGAAGATGTTGAAAGAGAATTTATTTAAATACCCAAGGATCTTGAACATGGTGTTAAGAGACTTAGGGTAATCTTCATTTGTTATACAATGTGCATGTAGAGGAAGAAAATTGGTAGCACAAGAATAAATTCCACACTAAAAGCACTGTTTATGGTAAGATATGCGATGTTATGATTGATAGTAGGAGTTTTGAAAATGTTGTTTCTATTTTTTGGTGCAAAAATTAGGCCTTAAAACAGTGGATCACCTTCAACCATATAAGTTGTCTTGGTTGTAAAAAGAGAATGAAATTAAATTAAGCAAGGGGTGTTTGGTTTTTTTTTTTATAAGAAAAAATATTAGGTAATGGGATATTATTTTACCTCAAATAGAGTTTGCCTAGAACTGTTTGTCAAACCAAACCACTAGTTGCAGCCCTTGTAATGTGGTATATGGTAAAAATCCAATAAGTATTCTAGATTTAGTTCATCTCCCTACTAATCAACAATTTAATGGAGATGTAGAGAAAATGACTAAGGGTATTAAACGATTGCATGAACAAGTCAAAATTAGAACTTTGCAAAAAAATGAGAAATATAAAAGGGCAATAGTCATGCATCGAAGACATGTGAAGTTAAAAAACAATGATTTGAAGTGGGATTACTTGCCAAAAAAAATTTTCTTCTAAGAAAGTTTAACAAATTACAACATAAGGCAGGTGGTCTATTTAGAATTCTCCAACGTATTAGGGAGAATGCCTACAAGATAAAGTTTTTTAACACTTATGGAGTATCTTTCACCTTTAATGTTATTGGTTTATCACTATCCCATGGAGAGAATACTAGTTCAGACTTGAGGACAAGTATTTTCTAACCAAAGAAGATTGATACCAAAGTGTCTGCACAATATACAACTTGGGTTGAAACTAAGGTAGACTTATTCAAAAATAAGATGGGTCTATCTTTCGTCCAAATCCACTAAATAAATATATAAATCAAGTGGACTGGAATATGAAGATTATGTTCACACTAGCTAGAAAAAAGAGTATAAATATGGATAGAATTGTGATTAAATTCATTATCATGTAATTTGCAGGAGTAAAATGACAGATTATATTCACATACAAATCTCATGATTTTAGGCATGATTCTAGCAATGTAATATGAAAGTTTTCATGCTTGGAGAGATGTTCCTAGTCTATATATTTTCTATTATTCTTTCGTAGAAAGAGAGTAAAGTTTTATTTATTTTTAAGCAATCTTCTAAATTGTTTTTCAAGTTCTATATCTTTTAGATAGATTTCAGAGTGGTGAACTTTTATTGTTTCGTATCCTTGATTAGAATTCTTATGGTGGTATTTCTGTATCCCTTAATTTTTAGTTTTTGGTGGTGAACTTTTATTTTTTTAATCCATAATCATATTTTGTTATTATTTAAATTTTTGTGAGTTGTTTTCTTTGTGAGTTTTTTTGTTTGTAGTTAATTTTCACATTTCAAATATCAATTCTCAACACCAGGTGCAAAATGATCGGCAAATTATTAATGGTATAGGGTCAAGCCCAAGGGAATTAAGAGCTAGTGTTGCATTAGTCTATCCAGCAGCAGTTGAGAAGAGGCGTTGGCCACAAATCCAATGAGCAGAGAGGAATAATGTGGTGATCAAAATAACTAGGGAGAAAAAGATCAGTAAGAGAAAAAGGCCTTGGCTGTATGAATTGAAGAAGCTGGTGTGGTTCAGGCTAGTGAAGTCCCACTGTAAGATTTTGGAGCCTCCTGGTGAGGCCATAATACCGAGAACTGGCTAATTAATCGGTGGATTCAATTTCCTTTTGGTTGAGATTGTAGAATTTAAGGTGTTGGATGGGCGGTTTGGGGGTTGAGATGAAGTACGAAATGCCCATGCTGTAGTTAATCTCAGGCAACTTTACATCCTGGTTGGTTGCTGTCAGCATTTGTTACCATTTCTGCTCGCACACAACTGCCGTCAAACAATTTCTGTGATATTTCCATATCAATTAGGTTGGGTTAGCAGGCTAAATTTAGCTTGGATTCAATTCCCACATGAAAGAACGACTTGGATTTGAGGTTTGACTTGTTTTAATTGTCACACCCCTTGAATTATTGACAACAATGTGATCAGATGAGGCTTAGATTTCTCTTCCTATTCATTACTTGTGATTATCTCAAATAAAAACCATACATATAGGTCTTGCATTGATCAGCTTTCTTGGAGGGTGGGTGATGCACTTTGTGCACGCAAAAAATGAATTTCCAAGGCGTTGGTGGGCTTTTGGTTGGGTCTGAATGAAGCGGGCCAAGGGATGAAATAGTTCTAATTTAGCCCAAAAAAAAAAAAGGTTGTCCAAGACCTAGAGTAGTGTTAGAGGATTCCAAAGGATGGCCCTGTAAGTACTTCAAATTAAGCAGAGATTGTCGGCAGCAGCAGGAATTGATTTGTTATTTTATTGCGCATATGCTAATGCATTAGTGTTATACGTGTTCTATACGTGTATGACTGAGGAAATTAGCCATTTTACTGAAGCAAATGGCCTATTCCCACTTGATATATACTGCTTTCACGATGGTGCTACCATGGAGTATATGATTTATTCCTTTTTTTTTTGCCTAGAATATGATTTATTCCAATTTAATTTAACCATTTTTTCCTTAAATTTTCTTTGATTTTCTTAAACGTTTGTCACAAAATGCAACATCAGATTGTTTATATTATTAGAAATATTGATTCGAGTAGTCCATAAACTATATAACCTTGTCAAATACTAATATATCTTGTCGTTTTTCACGATGAGTGCATTGTAAGTTGTTAACTCTTGAGTTTAGAGTGATAAAAAAATGGGTTATTTCCACAATCATCCAACTAAAACAAGTTGTGAAATATTTGAATATTTAAGTTCCAGTTCGGTAAAAACTAGAAAATGGCCAGGATACGGGTGGTTTCAGCATGAATTAATGCTAACCACTCTGGCATTAAAGGCTTGATTTGATTGTTCAAATCACTCTTCATTTCATGTCTGTCCCTACTTTAACTATATCTGTTCCTACTTTTAACTCAGGATAAACAAATGGTCCCTACTTTAACTTGGAATTAACAAAAATTAATTTTGGTCCCGGCGAGGCTCGAACTCGCGACCTTCGGCTCATAAGACCAACGCTCTAACCAACTGAGCTACGGGACCTAGATATTTATTTTTACTAAAGTTCCCTTAGTATTGATATTATATATTCTTGTGACGCGTTTGTTTTATATATGCATGGATATGGTATGGTGCTACTATACATAGTATCCTTTTGAGTAAACCTTAAAGATAATGGAGAGAAATAGTAGGAAAGTAATAGATATTCATATAAGCATAAATTTTATTATTTGAAAAATGAGGAAATAAGAGAATAAATTGGGGATATATATATATATATATATATGTATGTATATATCGAGCTTTTTCTGCTGAATAAAAATTTTAAATTAATTTACTCCTCCATTTGCCCTTTTTTTTTTTCTAATTTTCCCTTGAGAAACGTAGAAGCATTGTACTGCTTATAATTTTAAGTGGATGGAACCACACAATACTTTGCATTATACCCTACAAAATTTCAAATATAAGAAATGCAAGCAAATATATTACATGGACCTCAACATTTTTATAACTTAATAAAACCTTATTTAAATATATATAATTTCGTAAAAAAAAGAATTACCTAGTTTGAGGGTTAAGAAAATAGATTTGTACATCTACCAATATAATTAGACAAAAAGAAACATGTCATTAAAAATTTCTTATGCATACATACATACATATATATATATATATATATATATAGAGAGAGAGAGAGAGAGAGAGAGAGAGAGATGTACAAAATCTCTTTCTATATTGGGCTAACGTGTACATGCATGTTTGCTTTATGAATTTAGTAGCATTTCACTCTCAAGTTGTCTCAGCAATGCATTTTCACTTTACTTTTGTGTTAATGGAATTATAGCAAATCAAAGAAGTTATAGAAAAAGTTCAAAGTGGATTACACGTCTCTCCCGCATACCCATTTCTGAAATTTGTGTTATTCTTTTGCTTTCAAGATAAATACAAACATTTTCAAGCCCAAAGTGCAAGGATAGACATGGAGGTAGAGCCGAGAACTAAGGCAATGAATGAAGCCTTCTTCAACCACTTTCGTGAACCCATCAATTTGTTGTGGAAAAAGTCCACAGCAATTAGATCAACCAAAGCCATGTAAATGAGTATACCCGATGACAGAGAACCCAATACACCTTCCATTATCAAGGCATTCCGGCTACCGTCGTCGTATCCCGTTACTGAAAATACTACCATTCCCAACACTATTCCCATCGGGGTCGTCACTGAAAACATAAAGCACATGTATGCAACTGTTCTCATGCTGAAACCGGCCTGATATCATTCACAAATCACAATCCTCAGTGCATCAAATAATAATATACTTTAACATTTTCTTTTATTTCCTTCATTAGCAACGGTTAAGGATGCAAATACTATTACTACTAAATACATCTATACGGATACTTTCTGTTCTGTGCTTAAAGGATAAAGCTTTCATACGTAAGATGTACATATGAGTTTGTATTGGACTAATATCTTCTTATTAATGAATAAACATAAATTTTTACAAATCCTTAAAATAAATATTCAATAATTTGATTTTTTTTTTTTAAGAACTTTTTCATTAACGGTGTGACATCATATTATACACTTATGTTTTATATTATTTTCTTTATATGGAATGTCTATTAAGGATAAAATGCAGAAAATCAGATTGAACAAGTCAAAGATATTGAGCATCGAATTAGCAAGTTATCTCGCCTTCTGAAATCTGTTGTTGTCATCCAAATCTATTTTTCTATTTAAATTGAAGACTCTTATACTCTTACCTTGTAAGCATATATGTATATGTATAAATAGAAAATGAATATCAGAAATGTGATTTGTACTACTCAAACAAAACACTTATTAGAGTTATTAATTTATACAATCATGTAGCATTAAAACAACATTACGTATACAATAATCAGATACTATAGCATGCACTTGCTAAGTTGCTATATTTTTTTTCTTAAAAATAGTAACTTCAGTAAATTTAATTAATGAAACTATGAAAGGACTAGACTAAATAGTATAGAAGACACCAGTCATAAGACTATTCCAAAATAATTAACTCCAAAAATTTTAGGGCCAGGAATCTGCTAGCCCCATTCCTACATAATTTACTTGTAATTGGAATTAGGGAACGTCCCATTAAGCCAGTGATAATCAATAGTCAAAACAGCTATCTCTGGGCCACCCCATCAAAACCCAGAAAGCCGCAAATCTATCAAACACTAATGTTGCTGAAAAGCAGCAGATCACATTACGGAAGTTACCTGAGCAATGCAGCCACCGAGGCCCATGCCTTCAAAGATCTGGTGAAAGGCGAGTGCAGCAACCAGTGGCCTGATCGTACACTGATTTTGCGACATCCCCATCGTCACTCCGATTATCACCGAATGGAAAATGATCCCAATCTCCAAAACCTGGGAAACCAGCTTCTGCTTAAGCTTCAGCATTTCCTCGTTCGAACCCACCTTCTTTCCCACTGTTCCATCCTGTGTTCCCACAGGTAAATAATCCCCACTCGGGTTATGACTGTGTTCGACGTGTGAGCTAGCGGTTAAGTCCACGAAAAGAGCCAGCAGAGCCCCGAGTAAAGTCAGCAGTCCGGCGAAAGGGAAATCTTTCCACGGATGACGAGACGCGACGTGACAGTCGGATAGGGCGCTGAAGGCTTCGGGTAGGACATGGACTAAGGAGGTTGAAAGGATGACCCCAGCAGCAAAGCACTTGATTATTAGGATCGCCTTGTCGTACACAGGTTTGCCTTGGAAATAACGAGCCAGGAGGACAGGGGAAGATATGCCGCTGACACTGGTGAAGAAGATTACTAAAAGTGAGATAAGCTTGAGGTGAGTGGCGGCTGCACCGTCCCTGCAGCCGAGGGTTCGAGCCGTGTCGCTCACGCACGAAACCATGGCTAGTGGGCCACCCTGGAGGAAGGAACACAGAGAGGAGAGAAAGGGGAGGCGAGTGGGGATTGTGTGTGGTGCGGAAATGCACTAGGGAAATTTTGATGATTTAATTGTGGGTGGGGTTAATGGGCTAAATCCATATGAAAATTGTATTTATAATTTGAAATATGAATAAATATAAATATTCATAATTTCACAAAAATTATAATTTAAAATTAAAAAAATTAATTGCTCATCAAATTTAAATCCAAATGCAAGTCGGTGACTTTTTAACATTCATTAGACCACTAAAGAAATCCTAATCCTAATAAATCTATAACACTTGATCTAAATCCATATTTTATCCAAACTATATGTATAAAAAGATTTCTTTTTATACTCTTTAAACTCGATTTGTCTAAAAAATCGTGGGATTAATTGGTTATTCAACAAAATTATAAAACTGCTAACATTAAATGTTGATGGAGTTTTTATGTTTGGCTGATTGGTGGGAAGGGAAATTGGATGTTTGATGAGCGTGATTAGCAAGTTGCATTTGTGAAGATTTGCGGAGAGAGTTACGTTGAAAGCAGTTGTCAAAGTGGAGGAGTATTTTTTTTTTCTTTCTTTTTTTTTAATGATAACATCTTTTTTCTTTTATATCACTGAGACTCGTAACGATTGGTTGAAATGAATATACTTACGTATGAATAAAATAAAAATATTCTAAATTTTTCTTTCTTTTTTTTCCAAGTTATTTTTATTATTTGTATATTTTTCTAAAGAAAGGAAGCATGCAGAACTGATCATGCAATATGACTATAAGTTCAAACATTAACCTATTGTCAATGGGAAATATGAATAACGTTATGTTTTGTCCTCTAATTATTGTAAGTGAAATGTTAGGTCCGTTTTGGAACACGAGTTGTGAAATTTGCAAATTTCACCTATGTATTAAAAATAGTTGTTTAATTACATAAAAAGTGTATACTCCATGACTATTTAAAAGAAAATTTTGGTTTTGTGTTCATCAGTTTGGTCTAATAGGATGACATGGGCTTATAATGTTCTGCTGCTTCCTTTGAATTTTTCAATGGGCTCGCTGCCAGCCATTTGGATTTGACTTGGGCGATGGCAATCAACCAAGACTGGATTTGAGTTGAGATAAGAATGTGTAGTTTATGATTGGCTACATGGTATATGTAATCTTCAACTACATTATTGTTTTTTGGCCAAAAAAAAAAAAACTACATTATTGTACAATTCACTTTCACTATTTGTCGTCTTAAAAAGTAGAAGCTGTCTGAGCGTAGATGTAGGCTTTTTTGCATGTTCATCATCAACAGGACATAGCCACATGGTGACTGGAGTTACAGGCTTTCTGCGATAAGTTAGGCCATAGAATTGAAAAATATCTCTTTACAACAGCAAATGCAATGTTTCAAAAGATTTTGGGTTTTTTTCTTTTCTTTTTTTTTTTCAATTGAACTTTTATCGGTCAGAATTGACGCCCAGTGGCCTAAAGAAAAGGATATAAGAAACAGATGGCCCAAATAGAGGAAGCCACTGAATTTCAGACATAACCATTGTCTTGTCTCCCCTAACATGCCACTTATGACTTTTGAACTAAGCTTTAGGATCAATTGATCTTAGATTTATTGTTTATTAAATCTAGCCTTTCCTTTTCCTCTCTCCTTATAATGTGCAACTCCAAAATATGCAAAGGCATAGAAGAATGTGAAAAGGTTTTCCATTTTCCTATATCTAAAAGTTTTTGTACAAAAAGAAACAATACATAGGCACAGATCAAGACACAAACAAGCAGAAAGGACATGAACAATGAGGGGGCCCAGATGGTGATAATCCAGAGTACTTGGTCACCCCCATGATCATTGATCTTCTTCAAAGACGGATCATCGCAAAAGCCCAAGAGTTTTTCCAATCAAAACTCATATAGAGTCAAAATAGATATGGGCCCCTGACCTACAAAAAGAATCCTGGGCCAACCCCTATCATTTTCCCTTGTGTGCCTGTGGTAAGCAGGAAACCCCAGGAGATCACACAAAGGGGATTGCATATGCAATTCCAAAGCAAACTTTCTTCTACTGATAATTGCACAACTTTTACTTAAAAAAGCAGGGTTTATTCATGCACGACTTAATTTGGTGAACCAAATGATGAGACAAATTTGCGAAACATCGGCCAAACGACGAGAAAAAAATAGTGCCTTCTCTCCTATTCTTACGTACCTTTCACTGTTTTTGATCGATCATGCATGGAACTAGTTCAAGGAATATTATTCAAGCAATCTCTGTCTCTGCTCACTTCCTGTACGTGGAAACTATTTGATTCAGTAATTTTTTCCCTCCTTCCTCAATGTCATTAACACTTCGTCTGGTACAAAGGGAAGAAAAGGGTAAGAAAGGAAAAAATTCTAATATAATGGTTAAACTACGTAACAACATGTGACTAAAACAGTTTAATCTAAATCTAATCTAACTGTAGCTTAGCAATTATATTAAGGCTTTTTCCTTCTCTTCATCTTTCTTTTTTATTTTTCCTACCAAATGAAGTGTAAATTTCGATAGGATTAGAAACTTTTTAAGAAATGACATTGTGAGGGTGATCATACCAATAAAATCTAATTACAGACTTCAATATTAATTTCTCTTCATCAACTGCTAGTTAATCAGCCCAATCTAGTAGTCCCATTAGGGATAATTTCCTCTTTAGTTAAGCAGCTGATATCAAAGCTTTCAATATTGGACTGTTCTCTATGAAAAACTTACCCGAATGTCAATTTTCTATAATGTGATCATCATTAAGATCATATAGGAAATTAAGTTGAAACCTGACCCTTGGATAAAACAATCAGAACCCTGATTTTGCAATGTCAAAGCCATTGAACTTATTTATATGTACGTACATCTAATTTACGTCATGTGCAGATGTGTATGAAAACCCTTCCAGGGCGCCTTAACTTCAACAATGAACATCAACTGATGAAGCTAACAGCTTGGAGTTTTTAGTGCAGCCAGTCTGATTAATCCAATCCTACAATATACCTTACAAAAGTTTGCATACCTAGCACTTTTGTCAAAGAAAGGTATTAGAGGAAATTTCAATAATAGAAGCTCAGGGTCAGCCATCCCAATTGATTTTCATTCTCCTTGTGACTATTTGTACATTGTGGTTCAACATCGTACACATCAATTACTGTAATATTCTTGCTCATAATCTCTAGGGATATTTTTAAAACTAAATACCACCGAGGAAAGTTTTCTGTTCACACATTTGTGTGTTGCAATGTAATCAAGTACGCTGGCAGGAGAAGAAAAATCGGTGTACTATACTGGAAAAAGAGTTTGCACTATTTTTTATAACGTAGATTTTTTTAATGGTATTTGAAGATGTTTAATCACTGAAATTAAAAATTTAAGAATGCATATTCTTTTGATGTAAGGCAAGTTGAATTAGTACTGGTTCACAATATAGAATAACCACTTATAATTAGGTTAGAAATCTTTTACATATAATTAATCAAAGTTTTTGATGTATGATGTTAGCTCAATTCAAAACTTGTCTTTTTTTTTTTACACAATGAGGATCAAATCACCATAATTGGAATCATGACATTAATTATCATCATTGGCGTACTGTTAATAACCAATTACCAAGTTCTTATTGGCACACAAGGGGTTTTGAACGAAAAGGAATCAACAGTGACAATGATGAGAGAGGCTTCCATGTTTGGTAGGAGAGAATAGATGCCTAACTCCTGCTGCTTTATCAAAAATTGGTCTCATCGACTTGACAACTGACCTAAAACCCTGACCAACTTTGTTCCTTCTGCATAAAATAGGGTTACTGAAAATGTAGGGTGCCGTATTCAAGAGTGAGATTGACATCTTCTCCACTCGGAATACTACAGCATAAAACAAAGAAAGAAATGCGCCGAGATCTTTATGTCGGAAATGTTTTGCTTGAAGCATCAAAAGCCATAATTTTCATAGAGAAGTCAGCTTTTTTTTTTTTATATTTATTTTATAGATTTTTTTTCTTTCATGATAACGGGAATCCCTCAATCTTTAACAATAGTATGTTAGGGAAGGCAACAATATGCGACTCGACAAATGGAAGGAGGTCCAGATAAAATATTTATGTAAGGCGGAAGGGACAAAGTTTGGACCACAGAGCTGCTTGATTAGTCGGAACCATGAGGTGCAAAAACGAGTTACAAGCAAGGACACTGAGGGTGGCACCTTATTAAGGAAATTTTTTGAGATTTTGTGTCACCGACGTGAAAGGAACAAGAGAAAAGCCCTCACCAGGAGAGATGGATTGGACTTGTCAAAGAATACATGAGGTGGGGTGTAGCTCAAGGCCAGGCAAAATTGAGTAAAGATTTCCTTTGTTTATGCCTCTCTTGGGTCTACAAAAAGAGCTCTTGTTGGTGAGGTTTTTGTCAATTCATGCAGTCTGTTCCTCTCTTCATTCTTTAAGGCCTTTATGCACCACAAATCTTCTGGACAGGACAGTAATTTCCAATGTGGGATGTGAAGTCTCAATGTGTCGCTACCTTCAACTTCTGTAACAATAACCTTACAATCATTAGACTTTGAAGCCATGTTATGCACGAATCGGCACAGGGTCCGCACCAGCTTGCCAGACAATGGACCTTCACGATATACTCCATATATGAAGTAGAACCCGAACGGACGGAAAAAATCTGGTATGGCTGGAAATTTAAAGCAGGGAAGAAATTTTTCGATCAACTGTGAGCTCTTCGTGTACATCAAACAAGATAAGGGTGCATTCCCTAACCTCAACTTGAAAAGTTCCCCACTATTCCAAACGCTAAGCATTGCCCAACTACTAGGAACTCCCCCATTTGGCCCTGAATGACCCCATGATTCACCTCTCGGATAAGCCACCCAAGTCCCCAAGCTTAGCTTGTTTCTCAGTATATTGCCTATATCAATTGGAAAGAACTCTGCTGAAGACATGAATTTACGGTAGAGAGATTCAGCTTCTTCAATCTTGAGCTTTGCTAATTCAAAGTTCGATGATATCCTAGATATCCGACGGCTAACAGGATTTACAAGAATGGCTGGCGTCCGGAACTTGATATAACTGAGCTTGTCTACAAAGAGCTTGAATGACGCCTCATTGTCTTTTTCTGTGGCCATGTATGCATAATCAACATCACTTGCAATGAACCATTCTTCCAATTTGATCACCAGGCTCGAGCCAATCCCTCGTCGCCGATAAAGAGGTTCAACCCTTAAGCCCAAGATATAGCCCACCCTGGCTAGATCCTTGGTAGGTTTATGAACTGTTACAAGCTTTATAGAGCCCTGTATGACACCAACCAACAGGCTGTCCAGCTCGGCTACCTAATATAAAAATAAAATGATCAGTTTTATTTCTCCATAAGAATCAATATGACAAATAATGGTTCGATCATATAGATAAAATAATGTATAAAAAAAAAGGAAAAGAAAGAATAGCTAGAGACGGGAGAAATGAAAATAGTGCTACCAGCATATTATAAATCGGACTGTTTTTGATTCTGCAAATGGGGTCACCCAAAGTGTCTGTGAAGAGAAACATTCTTTCAGCTGGGCCTACCTCACATCTTCTCTCGAGATCTTCCACTCTAGCTCTATCGTTTTGGGCTTCATAGCTTCTTATAATAAGCTCCCCATATCCCATTCTAATAATTTCAATAAACTTCCACCATAAACACAAAGGACTAGTGTTTTCTTATATATAAGAGAGAAAAAGATAGATCAAGATGAAAGAGAGAAAAAGAAAGGGCACCGGGGAAAGAGTAAAAAAACGTAGCAAAGCAATGGTATTGTTTGATTGATACAGCTAGCTAAGCCCGTTGTGGCACTAGAAGACTTTGCTTGGAAATTCATGCTGATCATGATTTATAATAAGGAAGGGGAAGGGTAGGGAATTGTGGAATGTTCTCTATCATCAACATCAACCTATGCCTTCAAAAAAAATATAACAGTACTAGACAAAAGGTGATTAATAATAGTTAGGACATATGTTTTTTTGTCCTTTGTCTTTTGTAATTGTTAACCTTAATTAAGCCAATAATCCGAGTTAGGATAACCTCATCCTCAAGCATCGTCTGTGCACACCTAAGCTCCTATTTGTTGGCCAACTCCCATAATCCATTTAATCACCTATATTAGTATATATCTTGTAAATGCATAATTCTCTTATTAAATCTTGACGCATACACAGAATTTAAGCGTATTTCATATATGCACGAGATCTTACTAACCTAGGACCTAATCCTATAGTTTTAGGATAGTTAATTAATAATTGAATCAAGTAAAGCAAGTGTGGCCTTGGGTGCTCCGTCTTCTCTCCTTCTGGGCACTCGAGATTCGAAAATGAAAGTGAAAAGTCCACTATAAGTAATGCTTGGCTTTCTGCTAATCTAGAAATAATTATATCATTATTATATTATATGGGTTAATGATAACAATGTGGGGCAACGCGCATGCCTTAAGCGCGTTTATTGAACATAACACATCCTTGAAATATGCTATCACCACAATAATACACCCAAAGGACATTAGCTGATTGTTGTTTTTGTTTAGTGAAATCAAGAAATTTTTTTTTGTAGATTTAAAATGAGACAATGGTTCTTTTTACCCAAGTATGCTTGTAATCTTACCAATCTTTGAGGGTTCTATCATAGTACGAAAAGCTCACTATACGAACAAAGAGGACGAAATTTCTTGGGAAGGACAATTATTTAATGCCTTTATAATATGCATTTATTGTAGGAAGCATAAATTTTCTCAATTCTCGCTACAATGAAAAGAGTCGCAACACAACATTCTCTCCTAAAAGAGTGTACAAGGAAAATTAAGGACCGTCTATATTTTATAGACAAGGTATGAGTGACCAACTCAATTTATTGGATCATGCATAACCCAATACCTTAATGCAGGATCCCAGCTCTCAAGCTTAGATTTAATTTTGGTTGATTTAAACTTGCTTTCATAAAATGAACAATTCCCATTGTCGAGTGAACCAAGTGGTTTTGAAAAAAATCTAAAATAATTGTATAAATTAATTGAATTAAAAATAAATTTCTCTTTATTATTTCAAAAAGAAAAGAAAAGATCACTTAGTCCTTTTATGTCATTTTATTCCCGCTGGAAACTTTCATGAAATTACAGCACTTGCAAAACCACGGTACTACTAGGCAAGCCATGGCAAAACAGAAAACTCCAAATGGAATTAATGGCGCTTCTGTCCTTTTTCACCAGGCTTAGTGCCCATGTGATCTTTTTTTCAACATTGCATCATTATGGATTCATGTAATAGGCGAATAGTGGTGGTCTAAAGGGTCGTGAGTTAAAAGTTAAAAACTTGCTATCTCTGCCAAACCTCTGTGAACTGATAATATCAACCTTGATCATGAGAAATCATCATTATTTAAAAGAGTCAAAAGTTTCAAGAAATTGATTGAATTGAAACCAAATATGATTATATAAATTATTCAATATTCATTTTGGAATCTCTTAATGTTGATATTGTAGATAAAATAATTTATGCACCAAATTTTATTCACCCTAATGGGATTTTTTTTTCTTTTTTGAGACAACCAACTGTGATTTTTCATGTGAACAGTGCAAAGGACAACGTGGGGGTTGGGATTATCTGTACGCGCAGCTTTGGGTTTTGTTATAAAGTTACATAAATCATAATCTTATGTGATTAGTCCACCGAAAGAAACAAAGTAGGAAAAATATATATATATATATATATCAAACAGAAACCCCAATAAGAGAGACATTCCACATTTTCACTGATTAAAATCAATATTTCTCACAAAATGAGACGCCCACGAAACCCAAACTGTCGCTACCATACTCTTTAATTCTTTCTTTTTCATGATGGACTCTTTAATTCTTTCTTTAATTAAACTGATCATATGTCCTTCCAACAACCCTTCCTTTTTCTTCGTTAATTAATCATAATAATCATCAAACCCCCCATTATTAAAAGAAAAGACAGTAAACCCAATTACAAACTGCACGTGAAAATCCTCACTCAAAACACCCAGTAAAATTACAAAGGGGCTCCCCCACCCACTATATATCCACCCAAAGGGCAGTGAGAGCTTACCCTAAAAGAAAATAATAATAATAATAATAATAATGGGACCTTAACTCATGATTTAACCCTCCACAAAGAAAGTGAACAATCTGTCTTTGTGTTTTTCTTTGCATGAATTATGTTGTCTGCATGTTTCTCTTTGATGGGTACTTTGGAGGAGCATTTACAATGGGGGTCCCACTCCTACCCTTAACATCACTTGGGGGATGTTTTGCAGGAAAATTTTTGCTCGTATGGAAGTTTCTCATTGGCGTGAGGGTGGTTGCTTGCTTCCATTTTTTCTTCTTCTTTATTTGGAATTGGATAAAAACTTATTTGCAAATATCAAGCTTTAGTGCTTTTAAAAAAAATTCTTAGCATGTTCCAAAAGAGTCCCTTCCTTAATCATAAATAATTGGTAATTCTCTTTCTCTCTTTTTCTTAACCTAACTTAGGATGTTTACATCAAGTCTTTATATGCTAAGTGCCCTCGAATATGTGATGAAAACTAAAGATAGATAATATAATCTAGCTAGTGCCTGCAGCCTGTTGTCCGTATTGTAGAAGAAGAGAGTTTAAAAATCATATGGAACCTAGCAGCCAGCCAAGATGCCAAAGCATGAATATGGAAAAGAAATGGAACAGGAATGAAAGAAAAGAAAATAGCAGCTTACTATACCAGACAGGATACCATATATAATCTGAATCTTGAAGGATTGGTGGAAATAACTAATGGTGCTAAAGGACATATAATTTTTAGGCAACAAAACAAAGGACAAAATGGATACGCAACCTTATGTTATCACATTCAGATAATAGGATGAATGCCCAAGTAGGAGAGATCAGATCATCTAGATGTTCTTTTTCCAATTTTCCGAACAATCTTATCATGGAAACATCACATTCAATATTTGCAGAAATGGGCAATTGTGGGTGTGGGTATTCACTGCACTAAGGCATCTTCTCTCCTTTCCCAGGACTTTGGTTTACTCCTAAAGAAAACAGATGCTAGTATTTCATAGACTTGCATGTCAACTATATTATCCTTTTTTATTTTTCTTTTCCTTTTTGCTAGGCTATTATCCATCAGACTTACCCATAAACAGCATGTGAAATGACCAAATTTACCAAAGAAGGGGAAAAAAACCAAAGAACAATGATTGTAAGATTATTATATTTAATGAACAAATATATCTGAAACAGAACGTTATCCATGAAACAGACCAAGATTAATTACAAAGAGAAATTAGTTAATTACAACGTTATTACTTTTGCAAGCCATCGGTTATGGATAAGACAGTATTAGCTCATATGTATCCATCATTATTTACCATTTTATATTGGCCCTAATAAGGGTATCCTAAAGCAACAGGAAAACTAGCTTGATGTGATTAGAGTAGATGGAAAAACAGAGAAGTTACATACTGATGAGTTCAATGTTATAGATCAGGTACTGAGGTTATTGCCAAATACAATTACAGCTTTTATTCATCTTCATTAACCATGCCAGATTCAAATGCAAAAAGACTGGCTGAAGATTCTAATGATAACTGTTAAGTGTTTTTGCTTCTCATGTGTCAACCATATCATCAAGACTGAACTTTCAAGAATTCCACTTCTAATTTTACATTTAATAATATCAGTAGGCTACATTTACAATATCACAGCCTCACCTTACCATGTGAAGAAGCATCCCATTCCTCCCATCCCATCCCAATATTGACACTTGGTAGTCGTTAACCCATCTATCTTGGGGGCTTGGATATAATCCAACTTTAGCCTAACTATAGAAGAGAAGCCCATTACTCAAGATTGGGAAGTATTTGATTGATTAAGCGGAAGTTCACATTGACATCTATCAGTCAGCAATGTACAAAATGCAAAACAAACAAAGCCTGTATACTGTTATAGGAACATCTTAGTAAAGTTTTATTTATTCGTTTTGGTTGTGAATAGCTGTTTTTTTAAGTATAAACGTAGATGCATATCCTGCATGCATGCTCAGTTAGCTTACTATTGTTATCTTCAATCAATGCTTGGGTGAAGCAGGATATGTAATTGTGATCATTCATGAATGTTCAAGTCAATACTAATCTTCAATTAATCTCATTTCCGCCGCAATGTACTCCTGTTTGCAAGCTCCTCATTCTAGAATCTATTAGAGAATAGTTAGCAGTATTGGGTAGCTTTCTAACTGCATTAGTGGTTGTAGTGGGCGTTTAGAAAACAAATTGAAGTGTTTTCGATATGTAATTCTTCCAAGTGGATTAATAATTTCCAGTTTTAATTTTATTTTCGAAGAAATTCACCAATAATTTTCATACAATGTCTAGTTAAATGATTTTTTGTTAAAAAAAAAAGGATTTGAATACTTAAGATGGCATTTAATTTAAGAGACAAATAAGAAAGTGAGAATTGAGGGAATTAATTGATTTATTTTTATTATTAGTATTCAAGTATTTCTTAAAATAGATAAATGAAAAATATTCCTTTTTTATTACCGCACACACAAACAATTGCAAAGCTTTCATTTCGACGATGGATGATTTAACTCTCTCTGAAATCATTTACCCAGAACTCAAAACCAGCTCCAGTCTGAATTACACAGGCACCAAATTCCATATCTGGAAAACCAAGCTAGATTTTGTCCTTGAAGAAAATAAACTCAAGTATATGTCCTAACTGAACCAAAGCCCTCCAAGGACAACCTAGACGATGTCGAGCGACACGACAAATGGGTCGATGCCGACTTCACGGCTCGCCACGTCAGCCTAGGAACCCTCCGTGACAACCTTTACATGACGTATCATGAACGCAAGACAGCCAAGTCCATGATGGACGCTCTCACCAGGTTTTTCACGAAGCCTTCGATGGCTAAACGGATTAATCTTTTCAGGCGATCAATGAATCATAGAATGAAGGAAGGGACAAGTGTTAATCAGCACATTATTGAGATGAATGCTGTGGCTAAGGAGTTGGAGTTGGAAGGTGAGAAACTGCCTCAGGAGTTGCAGGCTGTGGCTTTGATCGAGAGTTTACCGGAGTCGTGGGAAGATGTGGTGACATCGATCACTTTGAACTTGGCGAGAGATGAGTAGGATTTGGGGTTGGACAATGTTTGCAAGAACTCAATGAATGGTGGGGGTTGGAAGGGGGGTTTTAAAAGGGCTCGTGATGATGAAGAAATTAGTTCAAGGGATGGTTCAGGAGGAGGGTTTAATGGAAAGTAGTGATCAGTTAGGGATAGCAGTGAACTATTCTCATTTATTACTATGACCTTTTGTTGGTTAAAGGAATAAGATCGTACTTAAAATCAGTATTCTTGTAAATTCCGGATTTCATTTCTTTGTTAATAACTTATTGACTTTAGTTTACCACGTGTTTTGCTTCAAGATTCTCAATTCCTTGTTCATTGATTATGGACAAACAGTGGGATGAAGATGATAGTTCAGTTGATGATGATACATGGGTTTTCATACTTTCACTTGCTAAGTTAGTCTTCGAGTTGCCAATTAGTTGGAAGATTGTTCTCGCTGGAAGCTCTATTTTGACGTGTTCTGCTACTGTTGGTTCACTCAAATCTTCCTTGCGATGGAACTTGTTACAATTACAGCAATGTTCTATGTATGTTTTAGCCTTTTATGGTTTTGTTTATATTGGTTAATTCTTCAATTTCTACCGTTGGTATTGAAATTGAATCCCTTGTGGCTAAGCGGAGGAGTTTGTGATAGCTCTGATGCAGACTACTAAAAACAAAAATTCTGTAGATGATCCTCGGTTTCAAGGAGCAAAATCAAATTCTCCTCAATTTTGTAACGTATTGACAAATAAGAGAATAAAGTTTTGTTGGTGGGAAGGACTGAAAAAATGTGGCTTTCCATCGACTTTTTTATCATATTAAACCTCGGTCATTATCTTAGAACTCGTTTGGTTTAAATCTCCCTTGGAAGTTATCTTAAAGTAAAAGAGAAGGAGGAAGCATTAAACATCAGTTGTGTATGAAATACACATTCAGCCGTCTACTGGAACCCAACAGAGTAGTTGAAATGAGAGTTCCATCGACTTTGATGTCTCCTCACCTTAAGAGACATAATCAGCTAGAAGAGCAGCCCAGAAGGCCAAAATCAATCTGCAACCTTACCTCCCCCTCATGTCTCTATTTCTTTCAGCCCCTTTTCTTGCTTACTTTCCCCTTTTTGCCTTTGATAGAAGTTTAACACATGAACAAGAAAGTGAAAGACATGCAACATGCAGTTCAAACGAATTGGGAAGCTTCTCTAAATCCAATCTTTCTTTTTAAATGTCGCCTTCAATTTTCCAAACAAGCATGAACTACCTCTTATCCGAAATTAATGGCCTAGTTCACCTAAACAATGTTAAATATTCCCAACAAATTCTCAAATAGATGTGGAGAAAGCTTGGAATTTAATTTAACTAGGTGCATTACTCAGGTTGCTCACACTGAAGTTTGTGACATGTTAACTGCCTTTGCTCAAGTTTGCTTCATGGCTCTCCCTCGTATGTCCCATTTGAATATTCCTCACCTGCAAAACCAGGTGTTCCATTTGATAACCGACTTGTGCTGGTAGAATTTGTATACGAAGAATATGTCGAAACAGGGCTGCCTCGTGAATACTGGTTTTGTGCAGCTGTGCTACTCCTAGTAACCTTGAGACGAGCCTTTCTACCCTGTAGCAGAAATAAATAAGGCATTTTTATCATCTATAAGGTGTGCAATTTCGGAGCATGGCACATCAATGACAACTGCAGTAACTAAATCACCAGCAGAGTTTATCATCGTGGATACGACCGGAATATTATATTACATCTTAAATAAGAAAAATATATAGGATAGGAATTTAGGGATGGCAATCACCTTTCCCATGCATTTCTCCAAGTGAGGAGCAAACCTCCCAGCCGCAATTGATCTCCCACAGTTCATGCATTTAAATATTTCATTGGCTACAGGAGGGTGTGTTTGTCCAAATATATCCACCACATACTTGTTGTTTGCTTCTCCACTGTTACTGGGATCAGCTACCGATGCTCGGGCTTGTGCTGACAACCTCAATTCTTCTTCCTCTTCCTCCAAGTTACGATCAAGGCCCACCTTTGCTATCCGGTGACACTCAGATGCGACATCAACAATTATAGAATCCAGGAGATCCCCAAAAAAATGAGATGAAAGCTGCAAAGGCAATCACCCAAATCAAAGAATTAGGCCGAATTACCAGTAAAGCATCACTCACTTCTAAATGAACTCCAAAAACCAAAAAGAAAATATGCACCCTAATCCTTGTTCATCTCATATCAAATTGTACAACGTAAAATCATGAATTACCAATGACTTGAGGATTGATTCTTCAGTTTTTGATTTAAAAAAGGAAAAGAGTCAACTGAATGAACAAGGGTACCTGAGTATTATCTTCATTTGGTGCAGACATGTATGAATTATAAAGAAGATAATTTTAGCTCAGAATAATAGCTACCAATCCAAGCTTCAATCAGAGACGGAAGAACCAATCGATCACAGAGCAAGCTGATCTAATACTGATAGAATGAAATGATTAAATTTCATCAAATAGAAAATGAAAATTCAAATGCACTAAATCAACTGCTATTATTAACAATAAACTCACATGAACGCAAATTCCAAAAAAAAAAAAAAAATTGTACTTAAGAGTAAAAAAGAGTCATCAATTCGGCATCAATGATAATCGAACTTAATAAATCTCAGCAATTATTTTAATCATAAAATGATAAATTCATCCAATTTAATCCGCAATTGTTGACAGATTGAATTTGAAATATTCAAATAATTTCAGCTAAATTTTACAAAATAATTACTTTTATTATATAAACCGATCACGAATTTAGGCTCAGGAAATTTATTCTTCGATCAATCCACAGTGCAAAAAGCACATTAATTCAACAGATTAAAACATTTACGGTTAATTATATAAAAAAAGATCTCTACCTAAGATTTGAGAGAAAAGGAGTGAGCTTACATGTTGGAAATCGTTTCTACTTGAGCGAGTAGAGAGGGAGCGGCTCTTTTTGCTTCCCGACTCGACTCGGCTTCCCCAGTGAAGGAGGAGAAAGGTTAGAATCCAGTGAATCTATTACGCATTGGGCGCATCCACGTGGAGGAAATTAATGTTCAGAATACTACCATTTACAATCACAACCGTTAATCTGAGAGATTAGCATTAGCAACAGAGGCATGAAAATCTGCTAAACCTTTGGATTGTAAGGCCCAATTTCTATAAGATGGGCCGAATGAAGAGACAAATTGTCTGTTTGGTGGGCTGTAGCCCATTGTTTCATTTGCAGTCGGCATTTGCCTATTCTTCCTTACGCGACCTAAATATACCCAACATCTACTCTTCCTTCGGTATTTCCCTTTTCTACATTGTCATCTCATCAAAATTTCCTTCCTTACTAAGAAAAGAAATCATATTATAATAAATAGGTTAATTTAATCCTATTTTTCTCATGTAGCTTACTTTTTTTTTATAAGACAATTACGGATATCTCAAATTTTTTTTTTACAAAAACAATTGTAATTCGAAAATAAGAAATATGATTACAAATGTTAAATTTTAAAAATTAAACTTATTGATATCACTTGCTGAGGGTGTTTCAAATTTTATTTAAACTTAATTATCTCTTCAAATGATCTTAAGAAAAAAGAATTGTTAATTATCTAATAACTAAATTATCTTTTAATTTGAAAATATTAAACAAATTCAAACATTTAGGGTGAAGTATACACGATACATACAACACAAAATTAGGAAGGAAAAGATATTTAGGGGGATCACTACCAAATTATTCTTTAATCCATCTTGTAAATTAAACAAGTTATTTTTATGTTTAATTAAGTTGTTTGTTATTTTTAAGACTTTGGCGCCATCTAATTTTTCTTATTGGTAATAAAAAGCAAGTGGTTTTTTAATACAATGGAGGTCGAAGAATTATTGCAAATCATCTAATTCTCTACCTATAGGGTATGTAGCTAATGTAATTCGTTAAGTTTCGTTAATGCAAAGCTTTTTTCCTCAAAAAGAAAAAAGAATAATTTGTACTCCAAATTATTGAAGTAAATGAAGCTAAGGAAGCCAAAAGAAAGAAACAACAAAAGGAGCATTGTCACAACTCACAAAGTTAGGCCCGCGTTTATATCAATTATTCTTCTTGCTCAAAATTTAGTTGGCAGAAAAACAAAAGATAAAGGAATACTTGTTCATATTTGGTCGATTTTGTTATGCAATTAAAGTCATATGTTTCACACGAAGAAAGGAAGATATAAAAACAGCGAGATGGATAGGCTACGCTCGACCAAGCTTTCGATTTCACCATCAATGGAGCCTTCAACTTCACAACCACCAACTCAGCTTGTGATCTCCCACGACAGGCATTTCGCTTTGCATGGCGAAATTTGGCTACTGGTCGTTGTCCTTATTTTTTTTGTCTTTCTTGCATTCATCCTCTTTTATTCCCGCCTTGGACGTGGTAGAAGCCCAGAGTCAGAAGTTTCAGATTCTAACAATAATCCACGGCGGAGGAACTGTCTTTTGATGTCTTTGAGGAAGTGGAGGAGGACAGACGAATACGAAGTAGAAGAACAACAATATCCGAATCGAATCAATGAGAAGTTTACTTTGTAGAAAACGTAAGCTAAATGTTTCAAGTGTTGTTTTAGATTGAAGGATTGCTAACTTGTGGCTCTGAGTTTCTCCTTGTTCTTTTATATATATCCTACTCAGTCGACGTCTAAAAACTAGAGATATATGGACTAATCTCGATCCTGTAATCCTCAAATGGTGTTCTATAATTGGAGATATACCAATACTTTTTGCTCCGTATTCCTCTTGTTGCATTCAGTTTCTTCAACAAGTCTTGATTCTAAGTGTAAAGAACAATACCTCTTCAGCTGTTTCTTAATAATTGAACCGGCCACTGAGGAACCCAATTGCTTCCTCTTCCTTGTGTCATTTTCATCTGATAAAAGACAGAGGATGTGATTGTCTGCAAAAAAGAAATCGCTTGAGGTTTGAGCGTCTGCAAACGAAATAATTTGTTTCAGCATTGTAAAAATTCATTGAGATGGAGGGCAGGCTGTGTCGGCAATCACCACCTCACGATCAAATAGGCACTAAGCACCATTAAATGCCATTCATATCTGACTTGTCGCTTGTGCCGTTTCCGGACTACCGTAAGGCACAGGAGACATTGTCTAAACACCAAGTCAAATTCGGCAAATATTTGAACACTTAAATTTATGCCGTAACCTTGAATAGGATGTCTATCACAAAAATGTAAAGAATGAAAAACAGAACACTCATGGATAAGAATTAAGCCTCAAATGCTGTCATTAGAATGCCAGTTTGGGACTTGAACTTCAATGTCATCAGTGGAATCATCATTGGCTACATTTGATGTCACACAAAAATACAACATCTTTTTTATAGTAAATTGGCCCCTAAATAAACAATGCTCCTAAAACTCACCTCGGCCATAATTAGCTTACAAGTTGCAGTTATTCTTGAATCAGAAAACAAGACTGCCGACCAATATTGACGATAATGTAACTGTGAGGTTGTCATCAAGCTCAGTACTAATCGGAAGTGACTCCACCAGGGCTGAGGCAAGAGACACAACCAAGAAACCCAAAACAATCTCCCAACTCTCTTGAATATATCCACAGTAGGAAAAATAATACATAAACCTGTTACAACATTGCTTGGTATAAATGAAAATGCTAATCATGTTGAGGCTTAATCTGGACAAGAAATGGGGGAAAATATAAAATCCAGCCAAAACTTACCCAACAGAGGCAAAAAAACCAGCTGTTGCCATTGCAACACTACCAGCTATGGACTTGTTCCTATTGTAAGGAAGTTTCCGTCCACCAAATTGCCTTCCCACAACATCCGCAAAACCTTAACAGTTAAAGAAGGTAAAGTTTGCTTGTCTAAGGCATTTTGACTAATAAGCACCTCAAAATTCAAAATAAATCACCCCATTCAGCTTTTTTTTTTTTGGGAAGTACTTGAAATGTTCATCTAGAGGAGCCATTTAAGTCCGGCTAAATCAGAACAGCAGAAAATAAAAAAATAATAATTGATTTAGTTAACAATTACCATCTCCAGCACAAAGGTTACATATTGCAGCAATTGCAATAGGTGAAGTCCTCCAATAGAGTGCACAAGCCAAAGTAATTGTTGTAGCATAATAAAGTGGTCCTTTAAGAAGTTCCCTGAGGTAGTAGGAACTAAGTTAGGGACAAGTTGAAGAAGTCGTACAAAAATGGTTAATAGGAAATGATCCAAAAAGGGATTAAAAATAACACATTATTCTAGCCTCTTCCATGCCCTGTCTTGTCCTGTCTTGTCTCAAGACCATTGCTCATGTGATATCTAGAATTGTATACAACTCTATTTTCAGATTGCTTGATCAAATAACAGCAAGTTGTCAACTTTGTACAAACAATTTGATAGATTAGTTTGCCTGATTATATAAGTAGAAGTACCAAACTGGTCTATGTGACTGAAGCAAACACCTAACAAGTGAAAGCTACTAGTAAGTAGAAGTATTCTGATACTTGTAAAATAGTCATCAAAAACTAAGCTTTCATCTTCATTCTAACCTGTAGTCTCCATATCTGCTCATTGACTTCACTGTGGCTTCATCTTTCCATATTCCAGAACCTATAAGAAGCATTCGTATAATGTTGATGCCAGGAGTAATAGCTGCCAAAATTGCTCCCCGATGCCCAGAACTGTGATGTTAAATGTTAGCTATTTCATTAGCCAATATATGGTAAAACAATATAAAGCTGCCTCAGTAAGGAGACCACCTGAATAATGGCCAGCAAAGCATGAAAACCAGGCCGATGCTGATATGCACAAGCTTCCGATTCAGTTTCTGAACAAGGAAAGAAGTTACGAAACTGTTAGAAAAACCAAATTCTGCTAATGGACTGGTTTACTTAGGAACAAACTGAATACTTGTAACATCTTAGCATTGTTTCTAGAAAGAAATCAAGAGAATCTAATTCTTTACTCAATATATGAAGGATAGCAGTTAACTCATTTATCATTTTATATTGAATGCAAGATCAGTCATAAGGCAGTAATCTTATCCCTGAAACGATGAAAATATCCATAATTATCACATTGCTATCCAGAAATCAATGGGAAATGAGAAATGTGAGTGATTTGAAATAGTTTATAAAAATCGTAAATCCAAAAATACACATATAACTGAATTACAGGACTTCAATCGTCATTTCATCATCATTTAATCTGTTTTTCTCTCTAAGCAGTGAATTATATCAAACTAAGCTTATCCGGTGACCGAGCTATAATTTTTTTTTTTTTTTGGTTAAAGAAAAGGAAAAGAGAAAAGGAAAAAAAAGCTAAGTACTGATGGCAATAACGCCGTGTTTGGGAGCATGAATTTGACATTAGAACTGGAATCGGATGGAATCATCCAAATCCCAAGAGATCGACTTTGATGCAACCAAAAGAAGGTATCTTTTAGCGAGAAAAGCAAAGCGGCTAACTGACCTGATCAAGGCCTCTTTTGGCAGTTTCTTGCCAGCGTAAAAGAAACACGAATATACGCCGCAGCAAACCACGGCGAAAAACAAATCAGACACCACCGGATTTTAGCTCACATTATTAACCACCACCAATAATAATATCTCCCTCAAATTTTAGCTAAACGACGATCTCTCCTTACCAGATCCCGCAAATAACAAAATAAAAAGTCGTAAGCTGCCAAACATATTGACTGCTTAGCTGGAAAGAGTCTATCCGAATTGACAATAAAACCGAGGGAAAGAAATCAAGGAAGATAAAGAAAATATGAGGAGGGAGTTTGACCTGGTCAAAGAGGCGGCGTTTGGCGGTCTCCGCCCAGACACGGAGGACCGAGAGAGCGACAAAGCCTGAAAATACAGTTGCGCAAATGTCGGAAAGGACGGGATTTTGAGGAAATATCATGGCAGCGGCGGGAGGGCTTGGATTTCGTCGGTGGAATTTACCGGAGTCAGTTAATCGGAAAGTGAAACGGTTAGTGGTAGTAAAGGATAGAGAATAGGGAGTGAAAGAAGGTGTGGCGTGAGGGTCAAAGATGATTGGAATTGCTGGAGAAAAGACAGGGACAGTTGTTGCAGCCATTCGAAATTAATTTGCTTTGGTTGAAGTTAGGAGTTGAGTTTCACTAAAAAAATTTCGTTTGTATTTGACATATTGGTAGTTTTCAGTTTCGAGCTTTGGCAAGTATGGTAGGTCATGTTAGTAAATATAAAAATTAGTTACAGACCAAACTAGTACTCTCGACTCTCATGTTCGCATTTGAATTTAATTAGGTGAATATTTATCAAAAGCTTTTTTTTTTTTATTTAATTGAAAAAATGAGAGTGTAAGTGAACAAAATTTTTGATGAATTATTTATCCGATTTTTATTTTTTTATATTTATTTATAAAATTTAATAAATAATTTTAAATATCATTTTAACATTCGTTTATTAAACGAATTAAACACAAATAATTGTTTATTTGTTTATTTATGTTCATAAACAAATTTATTTATGATTCATTTATAATAATATTAATAAAATTATATTTTTATTTATTATCTTAATCATATTTTATGGTTCATTTATAGTTATTTGAATTCGTTTATGATTATTTGTTTAAATTTATTTAGTTATAATTTATTTATTATTGATGAATATATTAATTTATATATATTTGTGAACATATTTTTAATTATGTTCATTTAATATTTAAGAATAAATTTGTTTAATTTAATTAAACAAACGTAGACTAAATACAAATAATTTATTATTTAAATAAATAAACAGAACAATTTTTTTAATAAATACTAATCCAATATAAATATCTTTAAAAATAAATGAATAAATACAAATATATATTAGTTTATTTATATTTGATTCATTTTTAATCCTTATAGATAAATGTTACAGTAATTTTTTACATAGGTTATGAGGAGGTAGCTGACGTGTTTATATATACAACAATAATCGATGGAAAGGCAAAGGCCCACTAAAGTTGTATTACACTCGTTTTGTATAACATTTAATTCAGTTTGTATTTTTTAATAGTTGATTGATTTAATTAGTTAAAGTTTATTTTTTTTAATAAAAAAATTTTGAGTTTGAGTTTTGTCGGTGATCACTTATTAGGATCATCTCAAATGCATGATTTACAGCTATTTATTTTAAGCTGTTAAGTATAATACATCTTATCTTGACGTAAAGAACTAAACAACCTATTTGTTTTTGACCCAAAAAAAAAAATCAGCTTGCATTTCTTTGAGGTGTCGTTCAATGGATATTTTTGCTTTTTATTTTGTATTTTTAATAAAATTAAAAAATTTTAAAATAAAAAAATGCCAAAATGTAAAAAAATTAAATAAAAAATCCAATGAAGCCTTTTCTACTATTAATTCTCAAGTACATAAAAAATAGCTTTGCTACAAAAATAAATAATTCTTTGCAGGATAATTTTTTTAAAAATTAAATTCCCAAAAAAAAAAAAAGAAAAAAATGATTAGGGGTTCATATCATTTATACTCAATTGTATACATTTGATGAGTTTGCAAAGTTTAGGTGGTCATTATTTTTTATGCATATATATATATAATTCATAAATCTCATTCAAACTTTTCATAATTCATGGTTCTAAATTATAATGGAAATGTAATTTTAATTTTTTTGTTGTGCCCTAATTGATGGATCGGATGGATCAATTGTTTTTTTTTTCCTTTTTTTACTAACTAGTTAAGCATGTCCATGTAAAAATTAATTAACTTTAATCTAAAAAACATAGATGAGTATAGGCAACTATCATAATTAGTTTGATCCATCTCATTATTTGCCAATTTGTCTAGCTAGTTTGTATATTTTGTTACTAATCACAATCAAAATAATTAACAATAAATGCCACTACAAGAAAATGAAAGATTAGTGTAATTTTGTAACGGCGTTTCACTTACAAACGCAGCTAGTTTTCGTGTTTTTATAAAACTTAAGGCGTTTATTATCAAAACGCTATTAAATATTCAAATAGCAGCGTTATTACTTATAAATGCACTAAAAACTTGATATTAGCGATCTTTATCAACTAAAATGCCTTAAATAATCCTGTCTTAAAAAATTGAGTGAATACTAAATGTGTTTTTGGCAGACAACACCTTCAATAATCCCCTCATAAAAAAATGTATACGATTATTGAAGGTATTTTCTACAAGAAATGCCTTTAATAATTCCTCCAAAAAATTTCACAGGCTTATTGAAGGTATTTTTTTTTATAAAAAACGCCTTCAATAAATATCATATCAAAATTTTAGGATCGTAAAGATGTTAACCATAAGGTGATAGGTTCGATCTCTCCCTTTAACCTTTTTTAGGTTTTTGTAGAGATTATTTGTAATTGATTATTCTAGGCATTTTTTGGGCAAACTTGCCTTCACCAATTGCTTTAAAAAATTTTGAAAAGAATATTGAAGGCGTTTTTGGTAGAGAAACACCCTTAATAATCCATAGGAAAAATATTGAACCAATTTTTGAAGGCATTTTTTACCGAACTCGCCTTTAATAATCCAATTAATAAATTTTTAGTTTGGATTATTAAAGGTAGTTTTTGTCAAAAATGCCTTTAATAATCCATGCACAAAAGTTGGAATGGATTCTTGAAGGCATTTTTTGCTTAAAATGTCTTTACTATTCCATAGTATAAATTTGAATGGTCAAATTATTGAAGGCAGTTTTTTTCAAAAACGCCTTCAATAACATTTTGTTAGGAATTACTTAAGGCCTTTTCGACAGAAAAATGCCCTTAATAATCCATATGAAAAATATGGCACAGATTATTGAAGGCATTTTTTACCGAAAATACCTTCAATAATCCATTCAATTAAATTTTAGTTGGTATTATTACAGGTAGTTTTTTTTTTTTAAAATATCTTCAATAATCCATACAAAAAAGTTAGAACGAATTGTTGAAGGTATTTTTTTGCCCAAAACGTCTTTATTAGTTCACACAATATATTTTTAGATGAGATTATTGGAGGTGATTTTGGTTAAAAATACCTTCAATAACATTTTGTTAGGAATGATTCAAGGTATTTTCTTGCTAAAAACATCTTCATTAATCCCATCAAAAAAATATTTTTGATATTATATATGTCAAATCAATTGTAGGTTTATGCCTAGAAAACATTTGAAGTCGGTTGTATATTTATGCCCAGAAAATATTTATTTATATATGTAATACTACGAATTACATTTTGAAATTTACATAATGAACATTGTTGTATTTCAATAAATTGACCATACATTCAAATTTAAAGCTGATAACGTTGCCATATTAATATACTTTTTTGAAATAATTGTACTTAATAATATATTAAGTACATATAGTGTATTCATATTAAGTATACCAATAATATTAAATCAATACCTTAATCTACAAACTTAAATTTTCTATTCAACATGGCATGTTAAAAACATTATAACAATTTGTTTCTCATATATTTACATTTAATAAACAATATCTAACCTCAAGATTTATCAACATTGATAAATGGTAATACATACTTACACCATTCTTTATGAACTTCATCTAGTTCCTCTACCGTGAAGCTTTCTTTACTCTTCCACTAAAAAAAAATATTAGAAGTAAATATTAATAAATGAGAACATAATTTAGCTTTTTATTTTTATGAAGATATAATAAGTTTATGAAATTTATACTAACCTTAAATGGTGTGGTCATAAAATCATATAAAATTATCTCATGCATAAAACGAAGGACATAATATCCACATTCAGTATGACTGAGTTGACGAGGTACCTAAAAATTAAATTGAGTGAGTTTAGGAAACATTTATCTACACAAACTCAACATAAAAAAATAAAATTTACATTTACCTGTAATGACACCTATTTCAGTTTTTTTACCTTTTTATCGAATGCAAATATTATCTTAAATTGAAAAGAAAAAAATTAATTAATACATAAATAAAATTACTTATGAAGAAATAGAATATATATAATATAAGAAAGTATACTAACTCTTTATAAAAGTTTGAATATCGATTTTAGGCATCGCTGTTGGATTAACTGAATTAAATAAGTATGACATTAAGAATTTGCTGTCAATCATAATAAGCACCTAATAAAGACTGCAAAATAATAACAATGATATACTCAGATTACGCATTAGATTAATTTTGTGTAAGGTTGGAATAATTAAGGTTGAAATATAACTTACTATGCATTATACGAGAGCAAATAATAATCAACCGATCTTTTTATGCATTTAATCATATGATTAACATGATAAGTAACTGTGCCACTCTACTCACTAATGAAGTTGAGATCAACGAATCTAAATCTGTTGGTCAACTGTCTCTTATTGAGCTCTCTATATAAGAAGCTGCATGATAACAATCAATAATGATAGTTAGTATTACACCATAATATAGATTAATACATATTAAATGTGCATATTTGTATTTATAAGCTAACCTCATATAAGCAACAATATCAATAGCTGATAACTCATCTAGTTCACAAAATTCTTTAACCTTTTCCATACCAATGAAAAAAAATGATGATTTATCAAATAAGCCTTTTTCAAACTCAATGGTTATCAAATTTCCTCCGGATAAATGCTTCAACAAATAATTAGATAACTCATCCACGATAGCCTGAGCAAGGGTCATACTCTAAGTCACAATATCTTGCTACAATATTTAATAAAATATAAGTATTAAAACCTAATTAATAAATATAATAAACAAATTAATATTAAACTTATAAAAAAAATCATACTTCATGGGTGGTAGCGAAAGTTAGGTTCACTGTCTGACTTATAATGGAAGCTTATCCTACATAGACAATGCTATCAAATTGGCCTACTGGCATGCTATGCTGCATTGCTGCCAACATGACCTCTAAAGCAGTGAGTTTTTGCTGTTGCTCATTGAGGCATTGCTCCTGGTCATCAATTCATTACTGTTGTTGCTTAATGATTACTTCATATTATACATTTCTCATTCGTGAAGTTTTAGGTTGATTACTAAAAAACTTTGATAGCAAAACAAATTTACCAACCCCATGAACCCGATTAGGCTTTTCTTTGGCAACTAATTCTAAAGACAATGGATCTTCGTCATACTGGATTGCCAGTTCAGGGGATTTGACTTTGGTAGCATAATTATCTTGAAAGACAATAATAAGATAGGCTATAATAACAAATCTATACAAGCCAGTATACAATCATGCACACAAGCACA